TGTGGCATCACTGCAACAGCCATGTCTGCTAGCTAAAGAGAGAGCAGAAGCTGTGGGAGGGAGTGGGTGGATATCAAAAGGTGATATGCAGACTTTGCAGCAAAGCTACATCTAGTGGAGTATGATTTTTTGTCTCAGATGCAGGGTCCAACGTGTTTTTTTCAGCTTATGTAATACTCACTGGTGGTATTTGTATGTATAAAACATAAGACCATTACAAAAGATAAATTTCCCGTCCGTGCATAACTGATAGAATGCTAATACCAAGTAAAATGGCTCAGTTGTTCCATCCAAGTATATATGTGGTGCTGTTTTAGTCTTCCCTTAAGAACTAAATTCATTCAGAAAGAGATGGTGATACTTGACTTTTTTGTTTGCTCTCACTTCAGTTAGACCAACTCCTGGCCCAAAACAGCAAAGCTACAGTTGGACTGAACAAGACAGTTGCTTGAGAATATGCTGAATATTTGTCCTGTTCCTCTCATCTGACCTCCTCTTGTATCTGTAAGAGCTTGAAAATATGCCACTACTGTAGAAGGATATTTTTCTGGTTGCTTTTTACTGTTGGTGCAGATGGTGTGCCACTTAACATTGCAGAAAGAAATTGGCAAAATTTGCCCGTTCCTGCTCTTTGTAAAGTGACCTAAAGGGACCTAAGGTTGACACAAATACAAAGGGCTCTTTACTAAACATCAGTATATGTCAAGTTGAGAATGAGAGCATGCTTCTGAGGATGTGCAGTCTTATCAGCTGTTGGCTGGCTTTGGTCCCACAATGTGAAAAATCAAACCTTCAGATTAATTTGGACATGTGGATTTAATTTGTTTCCAGCTGGAGGGTGTTTCATCTGAGGGCAATTCGAAAGTTGAGGGTAAATCTTCTAAAAGAGTCCATGGGATTGACTGTGTGGTGAACAGTTCAATGTAATTATCACCATCAACCACAACATTGTCCAAATTGTTCACGGAACATACAGAAAAACAGCAGTAAAAAAGTAATTTAATGAGTGGATACACAACCTTAAAGAGTAATGTATTCTTAGTATGGCATCTAGGGAATGAATTCCATCTATCCATTGTACAAAATTTATGAATGGATGCTGTCTTTAAATTTTATGCTCTGTTCAGAGACCTCACTTTGTCTGTATGATTGATGCTTTATTTGAGAATCTGTTATTTGCAGTTTCAGGTTGTTCACGTCCACGCCTTGTTTTTTTTATGTTGCTCTTGACAGTAATTTCGCCTTTCTTAAATCTTTTTTAGCTTTATCAAGCAGCACGACTAATCATGTCAAGTCTCTTCTGGGAATGCCTAACTGCTCCACTGATGTGGATTAGAGTTGTTTTGTTGACAGTTAGTGGTGGCGTCTCAGCAGTGAGTGCTGTACTCTACAGTTTGGCTGCCTGTTGCTCAGCTTTTCCCTGTGGCCTGAGCAAGCTGTGCATTGGTATGGAGGCGGGAAGCCTAATTTATTCCAAGCAATCAACCATCTTGGGAAAAACACTGGCCAGACACTGACTGTAGCAAAGCGGCAGAGCTTTAACTTAGCAGCACAATGCTTTACCAGAGCAGAGGCCTCCCCCTTCTCCCCCTTCTCACACTGGCCTTAATCTCCCTCTCTGTTTCTCTCATCTTTTTTTGTACAGGATGAGGTGCTGACAGCAGTACCTTGCAGGAATACCCTTTCCCCCCAAACAACAACAACAGCAGCAACAAAACTGTGTTCAAAATGCCTTTTCACCTCCCGTAGCAGCTGCTACTTCCGGGACTTGAGCTACTGTTTTGGGAGTGTAACAAATAAAAAGCAGCTTAGAAAAACTCCAAAAAGATCAGAATTACTAGTTGATAGTGTTGAGCGGATTTGTAAAATTCTTTTACTAGTCATGCAAAGGACCAAAATAATGCCAAGCGGGTCAGGAGTGCAGACTAGTCCAGTCTGGGGAAGGAGTTGGTTTGGTGAGGCGTCATCACTCCATTAACGTCTGAATCTGGTCCTGTTGTAGAATCGGAATTGTGTGGGTTATGACATTTTTTTAAAATAAGCACTTGAAACAATCCACACTTTACCTCAGGCAGATGAGCTGCAGGCTGAAGGTGAAACTGAGTTGTATCAGCTCATTGCAGGGAGAGTGGGTGGTATTGTCCAAGATAGAGCTCAGCAAGATATCCTCCCTCTTGCTGATGCTTGCAGGCTTTCCAGATTCAGCCCTATGACACAGCTAGCTTTTTTCCACTAAACGGTTTGCTGAGCCTACAGGCATCCCCTACCCTGATGTCACTTTTAAGAACATATTACAACATGTAGCTTGCCTGAGTCTTCTAACAGTGTTATAACAGTGTTATATGTCACAAAACAACAGCAGTGTGTGCTTGTACTTGTTCTGTCAGCGTACAGTCTGGGTCCATGCCATTTAGCAACTTCTTAAATGAGACAATCTACGAAACCTAACTATATCACTCCTGTTTGATGGCAAGTGTCACTGTTGTCCTGCACACTTCTTTAGTTGTCCACCGTTTGTTGTGAAAAGGAGAACTAAAACCAGCTCAAATTGACTTTGCACTGACATGGAGTTGAAGCACAAAATTTGATGCTGCATTTAATTGTTTTGTTTGTCTCTGTGTCCACCCCGTGATCAACCGGCAACAGATCCAAGGTGACATCTGTGAAACATCACCGGTTGGGGATGTTTACAAATGTGTCAGCAAATGCTCTGATGTGACCATAAGCACAAGCGTGCTAATAGAGCCAACAGTAAAAAAATCGGCTGGATATAGACTGCTTCTTGCTGTTTACATTTCTAAACTGAATGTAATGGTCATTTTTGTGTAATCTTTGGATGAAAACCACATCTGGTGGTTTTAATGTGCGGCCCCGATGACCTGAAGCACCGGACAGCCATGCTTGTAAGCAAGTTTAAAACTGAACTTGCAAGCATGGCTTGTAAGCAAACCTGGTGCAGTTTTTGAGAAAACTGGCGTATGATGATTACTTTAATGTAGGTTGAAAGTTGTATATTGTTGGATCGCCACCACATACGTGGAAGTAGACTTTATACTCTGCATTACAGACCATGGTTTGCAAGCCCACGGTGTGCATTCATTACTATTGTTAGCTTTGATTTGACACTGTTTTGTTGCCCCAGCAACCAGTCAGTGTCATCACTGCAGTGAATTTGTGAGGTAGGACTTACACGTAGGATATAACAGATGGTAATGAGCTCCAGGGGAACGGAGAAAAGAACATGATTATAATCACACAAGACTGATTACAACTATTTTGTTCTATGAGAAAACAGTTACTGCTTTCAGTTTTGATAAGTAGAGAGTTTCAACATCATTGATCATTTATATGCAGAATATCATTTGAAACAAACTAATATACCGTATATCACACACACTAACACACACACACACACACATACACCCCCCCCCCCCACACACACACACGAAATAAATATACGGTCCACATTTGTTTTTTTCTTCCCCCTTCTGGGAAAAGAGATCTACCCCACACAACCTTGAAAATCCTGTTACAGTTCCCAGTTTTTTAGCAAGGGTTACCATGGCAACTGTGCATTTTATTTCTGGCTCCCTTTGAAATGGTGTGAGATCCCAAACGTTATGTAAGACGATGTGCACTGTTCCAGACTGGGGTTTCCTGCTGCAGAGAACTTAATTACAGGGGAATGACACACACTCAAGGTGCTCCAATAGCGTCTCCTTATTTAACTAAGAGCTTTTATCACATAATGGCAAGATGTATGCTGTGACTGCTGTGCAGATAGCTGAGCACAGGTATTAGTGATACAGTCCTTTTAAATAGATGCTACACTATTTGTTTTGAAAAATAGAAAGGTGCATTTTACTGTCAAACTAAAAGATTTAAATGGTGTCTGGTTTACCACCGCTGATCTGTCACATTGTTTGCAAGCAGGAGACTTACATATTCTATGTTTCTTTATTTGAGTGTCTTCAACAAATCTGAATTACAAGTCAGGACATGATTCCTGTTTAAGTGATCAACATCTTATTTATTATTCAGATCACCTTTCAGGTGTCAGACCACCAAAAGCCAGTTGTGAGCTGAGGAGAAATGTGGTTCTTCTGAGCCTTATAAGGCTTTAAAGAGCATATGATATTTACTTCCACCTGTTAAGATCAGAACATAAAATGTGTCACTCCATCTAAAGTTAACTATGAATCAGTATATGCATATATCTGGATATCACGCTGCATGTGGTGAGATTGTTCAATGGGCTAAAATTGTAAGAGGAAAACAGATATTTTTGACTCTTTGCCATTAGGTTATGAAAAGCAGTTGTGCTGAATGAGCTTCATTAATGATTTCTGTTCATTTTGTATTTTTGGTTTATTCCTGTTTTAACTATTTAAACCACAGTGAATTACTAATAAAATAGAATAGATAAAATATTACCTTTTGTGCTTTGTTTAAACAGTTATAGCTACAGTGCAGGGCTGTTCTCTTTGTGCATTTACTCAGGAGAAACACTTTCTTCTTTGTCCCAGATAGAGATCTGTTATATCTTGTTTCTGGGTCATTCGCTCAACTATTTAAACTTCTGCAGACATCTTCTGACCAGGAAAAACAACTTCAGTTAGGCAAATTGCTTAATTAATCACAAAGTGAAGATAATGAATCCCAATTAGCTTCAGGATGCAGTTTATTTTACATATGAGATTAATCTAGATTCACTGTGATTCAATTCAATGCCAGGTATGCCTATAGAGGAATTAAAATGTGACCTCTTCACATAGAGAATAATTTCAAACAATGTAGTTCTTTATTCAACAATGTACACAAAACAATCTATTCTACAAATTAATTAACTGTCCAACATCATAGAGGTTAATGCTTCTTTAAAATAGTATTAGTTTGATATTTAAGTCTGAAATTAGCTTAATGGGTGTCAGTATTTATCTGTTACATGTTGAAAAGTCATGTAAGTTCTGGGGTTTTGAAATTAAAGGAGAACCTCAGTGAGTCACAGCAATTCTCTCTCTGTCTTACCTGCTCTCATGTCTATGTTTGCTTTTTATTCTTTTCTCTTAATAGACCAGAAGTTTCCATCTTGGTCCCCACCGTCCCCGCCTCGGAAGTTCAATGAAGGCAGACGCCTCCCTCCTGCCAGGAACATGAAGGGCTTATCGGGCAGCCGTTCCCAGCATCAGATTCCTTTACCCCATGCTTTGGACTACGACCCTCATGTCCATGACCTCCACGCTCACCATGGCTCTGACGCCCGCCATTCATCATACCTGCTTAGCCCCACGGAGAGCTGCCCCATGGACTTCCACCATCGCTACTCACCCCGCAGCTCCATCCACTCGGACTGCATGATGATGTCCCCCGTCACGATGGCCCCGCCTCCCGTGTCCGACCACATCTCCAGCAGCACCTTTCCCCGAATGCACTACAGCTCTCAGTATTATGACTCAGCCACGCGGGAAGACTGTGCTGCCATCACAGCTTCCGCCACCTCCCCAGCTGTTGCTGCAGCTGCGGCCGCTGCAGCCGCCTCCGCCCACCACGCCGGCACCAAGAGCAACCGCCTTCCAGCTAATCTGTTAGACCAGTTCGAAAAACAGCTGCCACTCCATCGCGACGGCTTCCACACGCTACAGTACCAACGCACCTCCACGACCACCGAGCGCAGCGAGAGTCCCGGCCGCATCAGACACCTCGTCCATTCCGTACAGAAGCTCTTCACCAAGTCCCACTCGCTGGAAGGTTCCTCCAAGATGAACGGCACCAAAGGGGACATGGCAGGGGGTGGAGGAGGAGCAGGCGGTTACTACCATCACGGCCACCACTCCACCAAACACGGTAGCAAGAGGAGCAAAAGTAAAGAACGGAAGCACCGCTCTGGGGGCTGGTGGAGCTCGGACGACAACCTGGATAGTGATAGCACCTACCGCACACCTAGTGTCATGTCACGGCACCACGGGGAACACGTCAGCCACTACTATCCCGATTCCATGCACAGCCACCACTTTGGAGATTTGTCACTCAAGACCTCTAAGAGTAACAATGATGTCAAGTGTTCAGCCTGTGAAAGCATGGCCATGGCACCCGAGGGCAAATTCATGAAACGGAGCTCGTGGTCAACACTAACAGTCAGCCAGGCCAAGGAGGCTTACAGAAAGTCGTCACTAAATTTAGAGAAACCCATGATGCATTCAGACCATAAACCTTCATCACGAACATGTCACTACCTTCAGGTGAGTTGTATTTACCTTGTATACAGTATGTCCTGAAAAAAGCACGAGTATTGATGGATACTCTAATTATGTGTGGACAGTTGCAGCAGAAATCAGTTTCAGTTAAAAGTGCTCAGTCTCTTCAATCTGAGCCAATATAAACCGAGATTTTAATCATGGTCCATTTTATTTCCATTGTAAAATGTCTACAATTATTGGAGGTATTCATAGTCATTTATATTTGGGTGTATGATTCAGTGCTGCAACCTCCCTGGCTACCTACAAGTGCGAGGCAGGGATAGCAGCACCAAGACCACACAACAAAGCAGCACCTATGTTAATAGACACCACGGATCAAGTTAGACAGTTTGTTTGGAGTGGAGGTGGGTTGCAATGTGGCTGGCAGAGGAAGTTTCAAAGGCAGGCAGGCTAAAATAACCTTAAAAAGAAATCTCTTTATGGGATTTGCCAATTGAATACACTGAAGAGAACGAGCTCAAGATCAGCAAAGTTATCGAGTGTAAGCACCTGATCCAATGCCATGTAACATTTGTTTGAAATTTGTTCAAAAAGAGAGAGTGGCAGTTTATTCCTAATTATACCGAGTGTCTGTGTCCAAATCAAAATATCCCTCCTTTCTCCGAACTCTGTTTCGCGGTCTACGTGTTTTAAGGCAAGTATTTACAAGTAAATGAATAGAATAGGGCATACAGATACCATGTGCTTCATCTATTTAAAAATACTACGAACAATAATTCGTATCCACTTATCCCCTTCAACACCTACTGTGTAGGAAGCAGTGATTGACATTTGGACAAGAAATCCTGACAGAGTGTCAGGTGGATTCAGCTCACTTTCACATTACTCCTTTGAAAGCAATAATGTGCGCAGAAGTTTCAGAAGTCAATATATTCAAGATGAAGATGAAGATTACCTTTTTTGTGAACACCACAGGGAGCTTTTGAATGTTGAGACATGGAGTTTAACAGAGTAAATTGATGCTATAATGGAATGCTCTTGAATTTAAATTAAACTATAATATAGAGAGCAGTGGTTAGGTGTCTTAATGAGAAACACATGCTTTTCACAAGGAGGTCTTGCAGAAGGCCTACAGTATTTTTGGGCTCAAACAGAAACAGGAATAAGTTTGTACGACTTTTGTTTGTTATTCTCACCCAAAGACTGAACTACAGCAAATCAGTTACCCGTATAGGCTTTCAATTGAAAGCATGTAGGTTCAGCAGTCTTCGATTGATTTGTGTTCACATTTATAAATGTGCATCGTGTTAAGCCAAACCCACAAAAAACAAAGACTGGGTAGCTTTTATCAAGGGACGTTAACGATATTTCAGAGAGCAACTGAAAAAGAATGATTCAAAGCAGAAAATGACTGATTACAACCAGGTGTGGAGAGAGGGCCAGAGCAGTGGGATGATCATCGCAATGCACAAAAGGTGAGGAGCAAATGCAGGAAGCAGAAGTAAAGAAATTAAATGGCAAAAAATGAATGAAAACTCTCTGCTTAAAGCGAACGAAGAGTCTACATAAGCTGGGAGTTGAAGTGGTTTCGTGAAAAGCCAGATATGAAAATGAGAACCAGTCTATTCTCTGTAGGTCTTATTTCAGTTCCAGCTGCATCAGACGGTTTAATGTATGAGAGAAAAATGTCTACAGGTAACAGCAACAGAGTGGATTGTCTTTTTAGGTTTAATGATGTTATTGTTAAACTAGCTCAATGGTCATTCTGAGAACATTTCTCTTGGACGTGGTTAGCTGGTACTTGCATCTCAGTCCACTAGAAATGGTTCACTGTTCAAACTGTAGAGCCAGAGGGACATTAATAAGCCCTCAACTCCCCAGAAGATTAGTTATTGTATGCCTTCTTAGAACAGCGTATTCTTCACAGTGTGCTTCACTTCCTTTTCATGTTTCATCCACTTCCAACTGACACCCAATTCAGAATAATTGAGAGCTGGGTTAAATGTATGCATTGGGTGACATTTAAGGGCAGCTTTGGATTTTAGAAATGACTGAGTAAGAATAGTGATGAAGCATTAGCCTGGTCCACCATGTTGAATCTTTGCAAAATCAACTCACTTAGACTCTTAATCAACACAAAATGTTGTTCATGTCGAAGGAGGAGATGATAAGGAAGCATACTAGGAAGCCTTCAGGTGCGGTAAGCACATTCTGTTCCACTTAGATGTGATATATTTAGAGCCCGGGTCCTATTGGTGATTGTTATCTGATGACAATAAGTATCAGCTAGGTCAGTTTGAACTTTAGATTAAAAAATGAATGGGGTTTTTGACAAAATGATTAAACTGCAGACATTTCTTACAGGTCTAAAATGTGGCACCTGAGTAGGAGATAGAACTAATGCAACTTTTTATGGAATAGCTTTTTCAAACAGTTATCCGGGAATAGTTTTGTTCAAGGTTCTCACAGTGTGGTAGTAGCTAATGATGCTGTGAGGCAGCCCATCTACACCACCCTCAGACACACAGGTGAGCAGGTCTCCTCGAGTATGGCATCAAATGAGTGCAGACCTGACACAGCGATAATGAGCTTGTGTACAGCCTCCATGTGTTGTGGCTGGCTTGTTATCCGCAGCCCCGGACCATCGGCAGCTGCAGATGAAGATGAAAATTTTACTTTGTAGCTGTCTTGGAGGATGACTAATTTGGTAACTGTGTATTATGCAAACAGAGCAGATCAGCTTATCTGATAAATTTACTGTTAGTTAAATGACACAAAAAAGGAGTGTTGACCTTTTAGCGAATGGCGATGAATCTCTAACGACAACAGTAACAAACCAAGTGATTATAATGTGCTGCACAATGCCAAATGGGAGTCAGACCGTCCCAAACAAGTTGCCTTTTTTAGATTCAGAGTATATGATCTACGACACTGGGTATCTGGGTACAATATTCGAGACTGATGAGGGGTAATAAAGTCTTAATTATGTAAACAGAATCTCAGCTGGCAAAATCACCATTCAAGTGTTGTGAACTAGGAAATACTTACATTTATGATATTCTTACACAGAGAAAGTTAAAAAAGTTATTTGACTAAATCAATTTACAGACCATGCATTTCCTCTGGGACAAGGGCAGTGGTCTACTTCAATAGCGAGATTCTCGATGGACCATAGAAGGACCTTTCATGTCACTCTGAATGGATGTTGCAATAATATGCAATGTAGGAAACTAAGCTATTCTATAAAAAGTTGCATTAGTTAAGTGAATTTGCACGTCCTGTGAGCTTGTGCAGCTTTTTGTCACTCTAGATCCACTCCCTGCAAGCAGAATAGACAAGTCAGTCTGTTCACAATAAAGGCCACTGGTGACAAAAGCAAGTTTTCTGGCTGGCATTTTTGGCACACATAGCAGAGGGTACAGCCGAGCCCGTTGATGTCACAAAGTCTGTTTATAAGAGGTGTTTAGGGCCAACTGGCCAAGATGGCCAATTTGGCACATCACCATTTTGACAGACATGCCAACCTGTTTAAAGAATACAACCGACAACAGGTTTGAAGTTTTTACTGAGCACATGAAAATATTTTGGAAATGGTTTGATTTGGTGCGCTCTTAAAAACCAGGCCTTCACAACTTTGGTAATGAAATAGGAATTTCTGATAAATTATTTACTTTTTGTATTTACGGTCTGTGTTTTTGTCAGTGATCATTTTTATAACCGAAAAGTGTAGGAAGGAGAATCTTATGCTCCTTAGGCTGCTCTGCTTTGTGAGGACAAAGTTGGATGATGGTGATACGATATGGACTGTAGGAGGACTTCAGAGACATATGTGCATAATAACACGAAGGCTGCTGTTTCTGTTGTTCTCGAGGAAAACATAAAGCCGGTGTGAACAATGGAAGGCGATGATGAAAGACTTGTTTTAAAGGTTTGCGAAAATACCACCATCCAGTGTTGAGGCCACAGCAATGAACTCAGACAAAAACACGAGATATGCAAGAGACAGAATTCCATAAGCAGAAATGAAATTTTCTTGCAAAAAAACAATTTAGAAGAGACAATTCATTGGCACAAACAATGGCAGAGGCCTGTGTTTGATGAGACTAGTGTAGTGTGCAACTCAAAGTCTTTCTTTTGGGCGCACCAGTGCCTTACTCCCCACAGTGAAAAGAATTGGGCCCGACCTCCCTCTCTGCATTCGTCAGTTTCTCTGCATTCAGTTGCAAATCATTACCCAAATTGTGTGCACCTGTCACCTCTTCCTTTTGTTGTTAGGTTGTGGAGAGAGAGTTTCAGTTCTGCTCCTTTTCCAGGTCCTTCTGAATATCCCTGTCCCGAACACGACTGCCAGAGCCGAGATTTAAGAGGAGATTACTTCATTTCTGCTAATGATCGCCCTTCAGCTAGACGCGCAGATGTGCTTCTTCTCTGATGTTTGAAGTGTTGACCCTAACTTAGAGCATTCAAGTGATTCTTTGGATTTTAATGCACATGGACTCTCCCACAAAATCACCACAGTATTAATATAATTGTGATAAATTTTTAGTGCTCAGATTCAAAATAAAATATAGAATAGTTATTGTTTGATCAATGCAAAAAAAAGCTGATTTTTCTGTTTGGTGAAAGGAAATTTATTGTAAATGCTAACTCTTGTTGGCATTTTAAGCGTTTTCACAGGTGACTTTGAAGCAGGGATTAATGTTGTGAATCTGTGTCATGTTTATAAATGCAAAGACAGATAAGACTACAAGGTTGATCAACCTTTGATAAGCATCTGAACTGGCAATGGAGGGAAAGAGGTAAAAAGGCTTTTATATCTCAGGTTAAGCTGGTGTTGATGCTGATCTAATGAATAATGTGATGCCAGTGTGTTGTGGGGAGCACTTGCAGATGTGGCCTCTGTCCACCACTTTTTGGTACGTTTGAATTTCCAAAGGGGGGAAAAGCACATCTGATGTGTGAAGAAAGCTTTTGTCTCAAAACACAAGTTGGAACCCAGAGGAGTACAATCGTGTTGTTTTAATCTAGGAATGTTCCTTCTCACAGGTGCCCCAGGACGAGTGGGGCGCATACCCCGGAGAGAGGGACGAGGAGATCCCGTGTCGGCGCATGCGGAGCAGTAGCTACGTCAAAGCTATGGGAGAGGTGGATGACGAAAGCGGGGACTCCGACACCAGTCCAAAGACATCTCCACAGAAGGCCATTCGGCCTGATGCTCTCGTCCTTAAATCAGCCATGCAGAGACCCCATTTAGACCCCCAAAGGTAGGGCCAACGGAGTTCTCAGTGTGTGTGTTGCAAAGAAGTGTGTCGAGTTAAGTATTTTTAGATTCATATGGCATCTAGATTCCGTGTTGAGTTAAGTATTTTTACATTTATATGGCATCTAGATTCAGCATTAATGGTTCATTAATGTTCACAAATTTTCAAGTTCCACTATAGCATAATAACATAATAATAACAATGATAAGTCAAAGCTTTGGAATTTACTGCTCGTAAAAATACAAACATCTCATTACATAACCATTAGCAAAAATAAACAGTCTTCTAAAGTATTCCTCTGGTCTTCATTAATATTCAAGCAGTTATTTGTATAATATTATACAGTTACAGCGTGATTATCTCTTGCTTGTATAAGATCACTGGTCTTCTCTAAATACAAATAACTGATTCCATCCCACAAAGGGATTGTAGACGTAATGTTAAATAAGATATATGTTAAAACTGGATAGATATATGTAATAAGAAGACAGGGTTAGGTTTAATGTATGTTGTATTTCTTGGTAAACCATCAAAATGTAACAAGTATTTGTAGTTAGCCACTAAATGTACTCATCTTAACTGTGCATCTCAGCATAAGGTAGCTCAGCCAATTTTCACTCCATTAATTGTTCTCTGTGAGTGTTTGCTTTCGGGCAGTAAGGGTTTATAAATAGAAGCCCATTTTCTGAACCTTGGGAGTCCCATCTGCCTCTATGCTGCTATTTTTGTACCATCATCTCCTATGGGTCCTGATCACTTGTGCTTCAGAGTTTTGTCACTGTTTTCTCATGGGAAAAACAAAGTTTAACCTCGAGTTATTGAAAATGGTTTGGATTTTAATTAGTACAATAACGAGAGGATCATCAAAGTGGCTTATATTCAGTCATGTAATTAGGCATTCTGTAGGCCTATATAAGCAAGCCAGTTGATTCATTGACTGTAATTGTTCCCACTGATCTTTCTTTTGTGGCTTCGTTGTGTCCTTGTTCAGCCAGGGTTACCATTTGCAAACCAGAGATATGCGACCTCACCCAAGTGTCACGCTGGATCCTGCCACCACCTTTCATCCCCCTCCCTTTCGCTCTCGCAACCAGAGCTACATGCGTGCCGTCAGCACCCTCAGCCAGGCTAGCTGCGTCAGCCAGGTGAGTCTCAAATGTGCAGCGTGCAGAAGCAACACCTGGAGACACAGTTGAGAGCTTTTCTGTGCAGGGCTGTAGAGCTATTAAACTGTGGAGGTCCACAGCTGATTGTTAGACTATAGACGCAACCCTCTTCTCATTTCTCAGTTGGTATATCAAAGGTTACTCCATTTAAGTCCTAACCGGGTGTCTGGTTCTGTTCTTCTTGGCCTATCGTCATAAATTTAAACAAGCTTTATCTGAACATGATAAAGCAATGATGGCTTTCGGAGATTTTGGCATAGTTTACAAATTTCATGGTCATTTAAATGATAACTTTAAATTCAATCTACACTTAAAGACGTTTTATTTGTCACAGGTGTAAAAAACCTTCACAACTACAAGCAAACAAAAAAAGAAAGGAAAAAGGACACTGTGGCAAAAAAATTAGAAATGAGAAGAGCACAAGTCAATTAGGAGAGTGAATTGTTACCTTGACCATCAAATAGATGTTTACAATTACTATGGCAACTTTAAGAATCACAGTTAAATAAAGAGTTTGGTTTCACAGGGCTGTGAAAAATGTATCATTATTATTATTTTCATGACAGCCAAGCTACAACATCATCAGAAGTGTTTTGGTTAATGGATTTAAAATTTCTTCTACCTATTTTTAAATGTCTTTTTTCTCAAGCAATTCACCAAATTTGAGACTAGGCCAGTAAATCCAGCTTTATGTGCCAACCTTCCAGGTATGTCCTTCTGTAATACTCTGTTATGAATCTACAGAGTGGGATCAGTTGTGCGAGTCTGTTTTGGACCTCCATGGTGACACAAGATGTGGTTGTTGCACTAAGAAGATCTATTACAGAGCCACCAACAAAGCTTCTGTATGGAGAAAGAGTAACAGAGAGACAGATTTTATGTCAAAAGTGGGGGTGTGAAATTTGCTTACTCCTGTGGGGGTTAATTTCCAGGCTCAAGAAAGTCTTAAATGATAGTGAATACTGCTTTGAAATAGTATTTTGTGCATCTAACACAATTCTGAATCTAAAAAAGATGAGATTATGTTGCTAAAGTGTTAATCTGCCATACAGATTGTTGTTTTAAGGGGGACTGCATTAAAAAACGGTCAAAAATAAGTCAAATATTACCAGAACTACGCAGCTACTGCAGTGACTTGGATTTGTGAAAAGGACAAGATGAGACACTTCAGGACAAAAGGTTAGATAGTTTATTTTCATAGTAGTATGATTCATAGTTGTATGAGCTTGATCAACACTTTTTTTAGAGACTAACGAGAAATTAGTCGGAGATCAGAATCTGAGTCCCTGATGCGTTTTTTTTAATCTAGTAGTATTCAGCATACAGTGGTGCGTTTTTTTTTTTATCGAATGCTGATGATGGAATGTTCTGAAACTATAACTGTGTATTGTCTGATTGTTCTCGTCACCCGCATTTTCTTCATTTGATCTGACATTCATTCAGTTTAAGGTCAAATTCGAGAGTGCTCTTTTCTTGCGCTAACACTCCTTCATATTTGCTGTGCAAAGGTGAAGAATCAAAGTGAGAAAGAAAAAGGAAGAGGAAAAATTAAGGACTGCTATTCCTGTTTTTGTCTCTCAGGTGAGTGAGACTGAGATCAATGGCCAGTTTGAGTCAGTTTGCGAGTCCGTTTTTAGTGAAGTAGAATCCCAGGCCATGGAGGCCTTGGACCTGCCTGGTTCGTTCCGAACTCGAAGCCACAGTTACCTCCGTGCAATTCAGGCTGGTTATTCCCAAGATGACGACTGCTTGCCTTCAATGACATCCTCCACTGTCACTTCAACTCTCAGATCCACAACAGGTAAAACAATCCCCCCCCAAGTTAGAGAGGGCTTAGTCTACATATCCTCATACATCGTATACATGCGCACAAACCTGACATGCCTACATATGTACAGTGGGGAACCCTTGAAATTCACAGAAGCCAGGCTGACTGATTACAGTTATGTCTTTGGAGCCTGTGGTGTTTGCGTGTCTGCATTCTCCCAAAAGTTTAGATGGTTTTGCTTGTATGTTACTCTGCATGATACGTACTTTAGCCAAGCTTCTGGTTGGTTACTCGTAGAGTTGTCGAGATGTAAACTAGGACCAATGGTGGGATGGTTACAATTTAAACAGTGAGACAGCAACACATACCCAGGGCACATTTATCGCAGCACAGTCACATTACATGGCATGCCTTAGAGGATGAGTCTCTGCCCTGAGCATGTTAAAGTGTGGTGTTTATTCCTGTGTTACAAAGTGTGCGAGTTACTTGGTGAGGAGTGACGTCTAAAAATGGCCAGGGGTAGGTTTTTGTCTGTAGAGAGAAGCCTTCCACTTCTCCAACCCCTGGTCCTCGTAGCAACGCATTAATACAAAATCGGTAGCTGACCTCACAAAACAAAAGAGTCAAATTCGTAACCATTTTAAGGTAAGTCAACAATCAAGAGAGACTGCAACACACGTACATACAATCAATCACACACATGTGCTGGTTGCACAAAGGGACTGTGAACTGATTGTTAAAAAAAAAACATCAACTCCTCACAGTATTGTTTTATTGTGTTGCATGGAACTCAGATTTTGTGAGCAGCTCTTAAGAGATCTTAATGTGAATGTCTCCCTTCAGGCTCAAACACCTCCCTTAAGATAAACTGTGTTTTGAAAGTGATTTTCTGAGATCTGTTTCAGATTCTTGAAAATGTACTTTTAGTTTATGTACACTGCTCAGTTAACAAAAAGGATTTGAAGGCTTGGTGTAACCCAGTGCAACAATACAGTTTAAGCCCTAATCTAACATTTCAGCCTCTTTGTGCAAGCAGAGTTTTTGCCGCAGCTCCTTCACTAAGTGTATTTGGTGTTTGCCTGCAAGAGTAAAGCTATGAACCCTATTGAAATATTTTTATCTGATAATGTGCTTTTAAAAAAAATACAACTGGTATTTTTTTAATTGTTTTTGTATACTTCTCTGTAACTTTGATATTGAAGACATTTGCTCTTCAAATTATTTTTAGTTTTGTTTTTCTTGTTGAATCTGGAGTTCTTTGTGTTGTTTTCTTTGGAATCCTCTCATCTTCAGTTACCTTTTACAATTTCTTCATGACAGAACTACAGAGGATAAAGGAGTGTACTCCAATCCCACCGTCTTATTTGCTGAACTCTATTCATTTGGCTCCAAATCTGTCAGCTCTAAATGGGCTAAAATGAGAACTTGACTGTACATTGTGTTTTGAAAATTAAAGTGATTAATTACTGATCATATGTGGAATAAGGTTATAGCAATGGAGAACAAAAGCTCTTTGGATGGTGATTAATAATATCCGATATTTTCACCTCTTACACAGGTCAAATTGTAAGTATTTCCATTTGTGTCCCTTTTTGCACTGTTCTCAGAGAATAGTGACCATAAAATAAGATGCAGTGACCCAACCCGGCTATCTTAGACAATCACCGAATTTTGGGATAATTTATAATCAAAGTTTAAGCGGCTTATGAAGCAAACCCAAAGGTTAGTGGGCCCTTGAGTGGGGAAGGGTTCCCATGATGCTCCGTAGGGCAGACGAGCAGCAAACCCCTCTCCATTTGACCATCCATCTCTTGAAGGATAACCAGGGGGAAAGAACAACTGGAGGCATCAGTGATGATTGTTGCAGGTATTTTAATGTTGACACGCATACATATATCTATGTATATGTGTGTTTTTGCACTGCCTTCTCAGTAAAAAACAATAGATACATAGAGTTTATATGTAGGTGGTAGAGGTTCTTCTTTATGTTATCCTAAGCATTAGATACAGTACCAAACAACTCATAAAACCTCAGACATTCCCAAACAACTCCACCTGTGAACATTTTTTACAGCGATTAATGTGATGCTGGCTTTTGTGAGTTGTTTGCCATGTCTCTATTTTAAGTGTTCTTAGACCATATTTTACGTGTAAATGTATGAGCGCTGTACTTCAGAAACATTTAAAAATGTTTTCATGTCGCAACCATAAAATAGCACTGACTGTTATCGCTTTTCCGCTGTCTCCAATCATTTGTCAGGGTAGCGGTTTCCTGCTAAACATGTGTGAACTTTATTTTTTCCTTTACATGAAAATTTGACCGAATGTGGCAAAGTCTGATCCTTGGCATTGAGTTTGTCAGCTACCTTCGACTGTGGGATTGCAGCCTCTCTCTGTTGCAACTCTAAAGGGGCAGAGGTTATCTCCCCCCTTGCTGAGTCAACATAGTTCTCCACATGGGCTTATCAGCCACTTTGGACCTGATATGTTCAATAGGGTTCATATCTGCTTCTTGACCCAGTGGGTTGTGATTCCCCTATTCCCTTTGCATCTTTTCTTTTGCACAATATGGCACAAATTTCAAGTCACTGAGAATCACGAGATGTTTCTTTTTCTGATTTGACAGTGGTTGATGTATTTTATGTTTAATTCCACCTTTTGTTGTGCTGTGCAGTGAAAAGATGGAAAGAAGCCTTGAGATGACTGAGAAGGCAGTGTAAAAACATTGTGAAAAGCCTACAGTATGTGAGTCTATCAAAAGTCATTACAGGAAAGAGACTTTTTTTTTTTTGTAGGTGTTTTCTGCATTGATTGTAAATTACTTGCAGAGTTGACCCTCTCAACAAACTTCCAAAAAAAGAGGGTTCAAGTTGCTTTAAAAAAAAAAAAAAGCTTTTTGTAATTATATGGAAATACTAATGTTTTTAAAATTCCACCACCTTAACTTGTACCTCTGTTTGTTCAACTCTGGTACAGACACACCAATATTGGGGGAGTTAAAAAAGACAAACGTGCTCATCGAGTCTTAGAAAGTTAGGGGGATAAATAGTTGAAACCAGTCGATCTGTAGTGTCTCTTCCACTCACATACTGTATCTTTTCCATAGATATGTGTCTATTTACAAGTTGATGATCACACTCCAGCTGTTCCTTTCACCATGACTTGTCCTTCTGTTTGCACATACACATTTTTCTTCCAGAGGGATATGATGTTGTGGATGCGACATCTTTACTTAATGACGACATGATAGAGGACGATGATGGTGCTAGCTCCTCTGCCTATGCGGAGCTTGAGAGGTTGGAAAGAGAGACTGCTGCTGCTCGCAGCCAGCACAGTACTAGCTCCACGGTAACCGCAATCTCCGTCCCGCCGGCGTCCCCGCCTTCATACAGGGTCCCCTCTGCCTCCCCCTTAGCCACCTCTGAGCCACCGGTCCCTCAGGCCATTCAGGCCTTTAAGGAGTCCGCTAACATGGTCGCGGCCTTCAACTTGCAGTGGAAGGATGAAATCTCGGCAATGCGTTACGAGTTAGCAGAGCTGCGAAGGGATGTCTGCGGCGAATTGAAAACGTTCAACAGCAACTTCTTCAACTTTACTCAGTGCTACAACATGTGGACTTTGTGTCGGGAGCCGTGCAGCGACAGCACCACTCAAACCGACGACAGAGTGTCCATCGGAATTCAAGCAGGCTCGAGCTGGTCGGTTCGACACAATACAGTAGACAAGTCCGTTATGTGCCAGCCAGAGCCGGCACCGTTCAGCATCATGGATTTAATGAACCCACCTCGAATTGAAATCATCGAGGGAACTCCAGAGAGTACGCCAGAGGGATCAGGTAGTCCTGCTAGCCCACTACCAATAGAGGACTTCCCATGGGAGATCATCAAAAAGCAAAAGGCTTATAAGCAGCCAGACACAAGTGGTCACACGGGTGGTCATAGAAGCGCCAGTCTAGAGCTGTGGAGCAGGAAGTACACCAGTGGGCCCATGTCATATTTGTCTATGTCATTCTAATCATCCACATCTTCTGCATATGGTAAGGTGAGCTAGTGAGGCCGGCACAGAAACCTGACGGTGTTCGAGAAAAGCTGGGCAGTGCTGTGATTGTTAGTCTCTTTATTCTATGCAGACACAGAGTCTGTCACCTCTTGAACAGGTTATGATATTGTTCAAGTAATTTTAACCAGTTTCTTGCATAGCCATGGAATAAAAGCGGACGATTTTGTTTTGCCCCACACTAAGGCATGAGAACACGAGCCAGAAAGCGGATGATATTTCAGACCCTCAAGTGCCAACAAGTGCAGCATCATCCACCCTCCACTGTCTTAAACACCTAACCTTAAAAGAAAGATAAATCAACTTAAGTACATATGATTGGGAAAACTGAGGGATGTTTAGTAATAAATGTCAATAATCAGCCATTGTGCAGTGAGGCACTCATCAGCCTGTTTCTGCACATGAATCTGAATAGCTCATTCCAGTTCATTCCAGTTTCTTATCATGTAGAAACAGACTAAGCACCTACCGGTATGTATACTGAAAAAATACTGTGAATAACTTTATAAACCCTAGTTTTATAATGAATGCATAAAGATGAAGACATTATTTAAGAATATATTGATATATTATTTACTCTTTAGTTATCCTAATCAATGCATTCCTTTGCCATAGCCTCCATTTGTTTTGTAGCCAGTCCCTGATTAAATGGGCATTTTTGAATTTGGAGACACAGAAATGTTCTCAGTGGGGAAGTTATGAACCGCAACTATAATACATACTGTGATTGCAAGGATTGGTTGTATTTTACCCCCCTTTTAAATTTGTAAAAGTCAAATCCTCTGTAGAGATTGCACTGTGTCAAGGCTCCAAGGGCGTAGTCCCTGAACAAAATTGTTTACAATGAATCATTTTGGCTGACCGCGAAGTGAAATGGTTTGAGGAAAGTAAAGCAGAAAGGAAGATCTACATTGATCATGAAGTATGAATGTATTGGCTTCAGTTCATTCCTGCACAAACTTGTTGATGTTCAAACTATGTATATGTACTATATAAATGTACCATTTTGTATATAAAGAAACTTATATTCAATACTTCTACTGTTTGCAGTAACAAAAAATACTGTGTTCTGATATCGCTAAGAGGAATTTTAGTTGTTATGATGGTTCTGAACCAAACAGGTCTTCACAGTTCATTTCCATTCGTTTCATAGCTTTCATATTTAAGTTTTTTTTCACCTCATGAAGAAAGTAATTTTTCATTCCAGGATATTTTTTTTGTATTACATGCAGCTGTGACTGTAAGTTTTTGAATGTTTAACAGTGTCTTATCACCACTCTGTTTTGGAGCAGACTGACTAAAACATCCTTACATTTTTTACTGTGTTTTTTAAATAGATTTCATCTCATTTTCAATTGCCACATTATTTTGGTAATGGAGACTAGGACAGTTCATCACATCTGGAATATAACTGAAAAACATAGGACCCCATTAGTAGACAATCAGAGCCACTAAGGGCCTCTACCTCTAAAACTTGTCCCCAGAGGTGCAGTACTGCTGAATGTACTAACACCGCCTCACTAGTGATGGCTTAACCGGGCTCCTGTCAAACCTTAATAGGTGGGAGTCCAGATTCATCTGCTTCTTGTGGCCAAATACTCGTTTTTTCTATTACTGATAAAGTAATAGTTGGCCATTGGTCACTACCCTTCCCTTTTACCTCCCCTTCACTGTCCCACTGTGCCAACATGAAGTACCAAAGTTCATTCTGAGGCGCACGGATCCGAGGCCAATGAAAAACCCAGGTTTGACATCTCTTAGTTTTGGATGATCAGCGCCGGTAGCACAGGACTATGGAAAGCTCATATGTATCAGACCCCTGAGTGAAATGTGAACCATTCAATAAAGGAGAAGCATTACCTCCCACTTTAAAAAGAGAGTGCATCTTGTTCCCCTTTTTCATGACCAAAATATAAAATTTGCAGAAAACGTGGCATTTTGAAAAGAGGATGTTTTTATAACGGGTAAGATCAGCACCAAAAATTGAAGCCGGAAATTTGGAAACATTTTCCCTCCACTTCTTAAACCTGAATTCAAATGCCTAGCTGAATGATACGCTCGCTTTGATAATCTCATCTATATTTCACAGGAGGGCAAATTGTTAATGTATGCTGTTCTTTTAGTTTGTGGTTTTGTGACAAAGAAGAATCAGTTGAAGTGTACTGCAAGTGATCCTTGAAGCAACTTAGTCTCACATTAGAGTGTGAAATTACTACGACGGTCCACCGTATAGAGCAGCTTCACAATGATTCAACAAGGCAAAGATGTCATGTCTTACATTTTATTACATTCAAAAACAAATGGGACACTGACAGTTACGATGATCTTACCCAGTATTGTCCAGCTCCTTTTGAAACCTTTTGTCGTATATGGTTATGCATAAATAATGAAGAACCTGAGGCTAGGCTGAAATATTCTTCAATACAGGTTTATGTCGACAGAATAATTCTGAATACAAAACAACAGTTGAATGATTGAAACAGTTAAAAAATGTCACCATATTGGTTATTGTGACTCAACTATGTTTTATAATGTTTTAGTAAAGCACCTCTCACAGGTTTCTCCCGAGATAGGACTGTTTTCAAAGTTCATTATTTGCAAAACATAAGAAATTTTCAAAGCTTCTAACCTATTGTTGTTATAGACAAAATGATTCTGAAGTTTCCATTAAAGACCAGCACAAATGCTGGATTATCATGGATAAATCATGAAAGGCTTATGACTGTGACAACTTTTAGTCTTTACATTTATATATATTAAGAGTTGTAATCATATCTTTGCTTTTTTGGTTGATAAACAGGGGATTGCACTACCATTTGTTACTTCAGTTTTCCCTTTGTCTGGGGAATAAACACATTTTTTAAAAGGTGCTGTAGACTAGCCAGTCATGATGTCTCCAAACTACATCCATTCATACTATGCAAGTCCTCTGTTTTTTGATGTGTCATCTTAATGTGCTCTATTGTGCAGATGTTAAGCATTTACGTTAAGCCTTCATGCAAGTCATCAATGCCTGAAAAGGAATGGAACACTGAAATATATTGGTGGCTTTTTTATGGTGATATTGAATATATTGTTTATTTATTTCTTCAATTTGATTTTCATGTGTTTATTTATTTTCTTTTGTTTTTTTATGTTTTTTGCATGAACCCCCAGCAACACCAACTTTTATTTAAGTGTTTCAGGCAAAGTACTCACTTTCTCAAAATTTCTCCCATTTTTGCTTATACGTATGCTAGAATTTATGATTTTGGATTTCTGCCATGTAGTTGTTTCCGCATGATTTGTGACATCATGTGTTGAACCAGTGAACAATCATATGCACATTATTAGCAGATAAACAACTGACTTTAGCTAATTTAGAGAAAAGAAGCCCCTGATAACACAACTGGAAATGCTGTGTAAATGCTTAATATTTTTTTTAAACTATAGTGAAAACTGGTGATTGGTTGATGCCAGTGTTCTTGCCCACAATACATACATATATAGATATAGGTTTTATCCAGTGTGTCAGTATCATGTCATGATTTAGTCCAAAGAAGTTATCCTTCCCCTGAAGCAAGTTCAAATGTAGCAACATACAGCTCTATAGAGACAGAAATGTTATTTTGAAATTAAATACTGTTTATGAAAGAAACACATTTAACAAGAACTTCAGAAAAATAGGTAAAAGATATTTACCAATATTTTTAACCATGCAACCATATTTTGTGTAATGAAATATATAATTATTTGTAAAAAACAAACAAACAAAAAAACCCCAATCCAAACTGTCTAGAGTATCAGATATGTTACGGTATGTAATTAAATCATTATTGTTTACATTTTATGGTAATCTAGAGATTTGATGCAACAACTGTGCAAACTCTGTGAAGTCCACTTATTAGGACAAAGTTTTTTGGATGGCATCTGATCTCATCTAAACCTGTAATACTGCTTGAATATAAACCTTTTTCTAACCCTGTGTTCTCCTCCCTCCTTGAATGAAGGTGTCTTGGGTAAAACATGCTTCTCTGTTCATCTTGAAATTTTCAGGGATCTCAGACTTGTTTAATGAATCAGATCTTGTCGACGTTACAAAAACAACTTTTGACAACCGATGTTTAGCCTGCATTTTATTACCCTATCCCTATTTTGTTCAAATATGTGATACGTTGGTTTTCCTTTCTTTTGCGCTTACTGTGGTGTTTCTTGTTATTTTCTATTGGCCTTATGTATTTTTTCATAAACTGATATAAAAACAATGGATTCAAATGTTTATGATGTTTATATTTATGTTTGTCCAAATGACAAAATGGGGGTCATAGCTTTACGATGCATTCAAAGAAACAAACTGACTTACAGTGTTCCTTAAGTTACATTTTCATGTCCACATTTTTACACACAATTACACATGGGCCAGGCAGAATGTCTTTTACGTTAACCCTTTTGTATGCTTTATTTTTCTACTAAGCTATCACCTTTTTGTTTTTGTTGGTTTGTTTGTTTCCTTTTTCATTTTTTAGGCGCCCGTAGCTTAGCTGGGGGGCGTAGACAGTACGGTAGGTCTGGTAGGGTTCTGCTTTTATTACCTTCTGTTTTTGTATGTTGTTACTTCAGCTTTTCATCCATCTTGTCTGACTCATTGACATTATTCCATTCTTTAGGAGTAGAATATATCATAAGATGACTATGTCGTCATGCATAGAATGTACGATACATTTAAATGTTTTCATCTGTTTCCACGTTGAATCCAGTGGAAATTTCAGTAATGATGGACTCAAGAAACCAAAAGAACCAAACTGTTAAAACAAATCTACCCGTTGGCCTTTTGTAGGCTCTCTGGCAGTTACTGTGCTTTTGCATTTTTTAACATTTTAACAAAGAAATATTTATTTAAAATCTTTCTGCCCAGATGTAAATAAGTTTACTAAAGCATGCACGACAAATTTTAGAGGGTCCATAAATTGATTAATTTGGTTTATTTCTGATTATGTTCTAACTTTATTTCAAAGTTACAATTCTTTTCAAATTCATTGGTATTAGTTAGCCATCCTCTTGCTTTAACCATTGTATACGTTTTCTTTTGGTAAACTGAAGGCAATGAAAACACAAAGTAGTGTGTCTTTTGTTGAAATCTCCTTGCATGTTACAAGACAGGTTGTGAGCAACAACAAATCATCACAAATCAATGGAACTCATAGATTATGATATCAGTAAATAACTGGGAAACGTTATGTGATAGGTTTTGTTATTTTCTTATTACTTTATGTGTCTGTAATCATATATATTTTTTTAAATTCCAGTAAGGTGTGGGACCAGGATAGTGGCTTATCACTACAGTAGTCATTGTTACATGGACACACCTGATGTGTATCTTTGGGGCATTAGCATACATGGTCAGACAGCCCAGATGTTTCACTTATTATGTAACATTGTATTAGAGAGAATGACCTGACTTTTGTCTTGGGAGCGTCTTCCAGACGATTTTTGTGTGATGTGTGTAACGGATTAACTGAGGCGATAACCCAAACTAAAGTTGAAGTTGGAGGCAAAGAGAAGCTCCTTTGCAAGTTTTGCTGTTGTCTTGAAGATGGCAAAGCAGACATGCTCTGATTGTTTCGGCATTAGTATAAAATCAGATGAATGAAGCTTTGAATGGATCTGGTTTTAACTTATGTATGATTTCAGATCCTGCAGGGATTCATAAAAAATACCAGGAAGGAAACATGTCTGTATTTTTTATTCTTAAATTTGTCAAAACATCCCAAGTATTCATCATATTCAAGTTATATACAGACAGTCCATCACCAGTACCTTTATTTTTCTGAATCTTTACTGGTTTGGCTCCCAGCAAAGTCTCCTAATACCCAAGGCCTTGTGAGGAGTAGTGCACTTCTTCTGTTGTTGAAAGCGATTAAGTGTTGATACATTAGCTCTCTGAGTCTCCCACTGAATATTTTCTTTCTGAAATAAAAATGGCAGAATAACCCCAGCATCATTTGGAGAATTGCATCACACAGCAGAGACAGTGCAGCAGCTGCTTGTGGGTGGAGATGTGGTGAGGGTTTTATTAGCATATTTATGGATCCCCAATCACTCAACGAGGGGAAAATATATTGCTCATTCTAAGGCCATGAGAGGTTTTTCACGACAAAGCCTTGGAACTCTACAAATCTGAGAAACACAGATGAGTTTTTAAGGGTTTGCTAACTGCTGGGGAAGAAATGTAATCTGTTCTGGCTTTGCCAGGCTCACAGCAACAAGTCAGAGACACTAAAGACTGCGACTCCCATATGAGGAATGCTAAATATGTGTTTACACACTGACAAAATGTACTATTATACCGAAGTTGAAACAATTTGCAAAAAATATTTAGACGGTGTGGAATTTCCACTCAAGCTAATAATTTACAGTCATTTTTACTTCTTCATCCCAGGGTCAAGGTAGATCAACAGGGATGATTTTATTGGTGGTTTTGAACCATTGATTTGTCTTGGTTTATTGTAATAATCACACATGATAGGTTACTCACCTGCCATGGGGGCGCCACCACTGTATGTATATATGTATGTGCTATGAACAGTGTGCTCATTTAGTGGTTAAGAGGAAGACTACTTTTCAAATTTCTGCAGAATTTGGTAAAATCAACTGGAGTTATTGGCCTGTAAACACCCTCAAGTCCTAGTCGTTCCATTTGTCCAATCACTCATTTCCTCTGTCATTCATTCAGTAATTCATCTATGTATCAGTCCTTTCATATTTACTATGGTTATATCAGGGTTAGGAAAAGAGCAAAGTTTTTTTTTTCTCATGATTTTTATCTAACAAGAAAATTATTTCATTGCGTCAGAATACACACACCTAAGATAAAAAATTAAGTCTGAACATTTTGGATGAGATAAAGACGTTTTTCGTAGGTTTTGTGTTTAATGTAAATTAGGGTTAGGGTTAGACCAGCAATGATTTGCAAATCCTATAAACTAATTTAAGTTAAATGATTCGATTTTTATCTTTATATTTTAGGTAGTGAAACTTTCTTTTCTCTTTTAAAATTACAGTTACGCAAATTACCGTTGCACTAACTGTCTTTATGCAAGTAATGGAATAGAATGCCATACTTTTAGCTTTTGTAGAAAGTCAGACTGCCTGCTCATTTCTCAGTTGGTCCAGTTTGCAGTTGGAAGACTCGATAGGAGTCAGGCCCACTTTTTCCGGATCCCATTTTGTCTAAGGTTAATACAGAACAAAACGTAGGGACCTGAGAGATTTCATACCCACGGTGTTGCATTTCCAGCCCCCATGCTCGTGTCAGCAGCCCATCAGTCACTTCACATCATTAACCCACCGTCCACCCCGGCCTGAGAAGCCCGGACAGCACCTTCCCAGCCTCTTTGTCAGTATGAGTCCACAACTTTGGCAAGAACAGCCTCTGGCACAAATGGAGGGATTTGGATCGCGTGGAAACACAAACAGAGCGTTTTCGGCATTTTCTGTCTGAAACATATAAGTGTCTGTTACAAAGGAGCAACAGGTTTGAAAAGTCTTACCCAAAAAAAGCATGAGAGCAAAGGTCTGTCACATGTTCTCTGTATCAATACTAGGAAGAAATTATTCTAGTTTTAACTTTACATTAAGGTACCTATTTCTTACTTTCATTATCTTTTAGATGGGGCAGCTAAATAATTGGGAATCTCAGCCCAAATGGGAAAAAAGACCTTTTTAGTGCAGATAATTGCACTTCATGTAAAGACTGTACAGTGGAGTGGTGATTTTCAGCTAAGTTAAAATTCGAAAAACAGGGGTGGGAAAAGTAAACTAAAAGAAAAGCTATAATTAAAAATAATAAAACATAAGGAACCATTTATCACAGGGAGTAGACACAGAGAACACAGACAGGCTGCTTTGCTTTTCAGTTTCTTCGTCTGGATCTTTCACTACATTTTGTCTGATTATCTTGCTTGTCTTGCTGTCTAAACCTAATATTTAACTCCTTAACTTTAGAAAAATGCATCATCAGAGCAACATGTGGGATGGCTCGTAGTTGACCTTAACTGTCTCTGTTTTTGTTGTTGTTTATTTATTGTGCCTCTTATTAGGTGGCACAATGTGCTCATAAAATATAACCAAAAAAAGTTAACATTTCTAGACACGGTAAATAAATGTATTGTTATTGTAAAAACAGTAATTAATGTATATTGTCAGTATGGAAAACTCAAAATTTCCAATTTTACTTTTTTTTATAAATTATTTCTGCTATTTCTCTTCTATCTTTGTATCTCATGAACAGTATGAGCAGTATGTTTTCATACACAGATAATGCATGTTAAAGCTGTGTTTTAGCATAAGATTGACTTAACAGGTGACCCCATGGTGAACTGGTCTGTAGATGATCATTTATAACATTACATAACAAGGCAATGCAGACGGCCACATTAATCATTTAATCCTCAAAGGGCTTTGGCTGATTCATGCCAAAAGCCATAAAGTGGACTTCCACTTATATTTATCTTTATTTAAAAACTGACTTAGTACAACCAGTTAAACAAGTTTTAAGAACCCTGGGAGGAATGTTGCCTGTGAGCATTGCCTATAAGTTTACAGTTGTCAGCATCAGAGTGTTCGGATCAAGAAAAGAAACAAGAAAGAAACACAGACATGTGCTGACTGATTAACCAGAAAACAAGTTCTTATTAATTTCTCTATCTTAGGGAGAGTTTGACTTCAGTATAAAGCACTTTTTTTTTTAAAAACTACATGCCAAAAGCATGTATGACTTCTAACAGTTATTTTTTGATGAGACACATTTCTGACTGCTATCAAAGCACACGTGTTTCTTTCTCTCCTTTGACTCTGTGACTGATATTTATTGCAAAATGAACAACTCCTGTGAAGAACTTATTTGTAATTTAAACTGTTCATTTGTAAACATGATTTTTGAGGGAATTTGATGATGCTTTGATACCTGTGTCTATCTAACTGGGACTGCTCGCTCTTTACAGGGATTCAGTTTCGTCTCCCTACTTCATGCAGCGTGGACCGTGCTCAGCCGCCTCCAGGTACCATCCTCACATCTCTTTTCCCTCTCCTCATACAAGCACACATCTTTGCAGACATTTCATTTGCAGCCATACTTCCAAACCATAGCAAATAATATCCTGTTGTATTTCAAGGAAAACATTTAAAATAAAAAACAACTTTGAAAAAAGGGGAAACCCAGCAATGAAACCCTGATAAAACTGCCTAGCATACATAAAAACAGAATATAGCTGCAATAAACAAACTATTAAGTAACTCTACTGGCAGTTTTTTGCCCAATTCAGTCAGTCATTGTTCTGTGCAACCTTTATGACTCATTGCTTTTGTGTTGGTAGGCTTAAAATGTATTTGAATGGTATAAAATGCTCCCTTAATGGGGTTATTTACATACAAGATAAGTAACTAATGAAATAAGTACACAAAGCGATACACACATTCATGAATGAAACTTATGAGATTGACTAAGACTAGATTATAAAAGTATCAATACATCAGCCTGCCGGGCCTTAAAACTGACTTTATTCAGATTTAGTTTAAACTATTGTTCAAACTACAAAGCAGGAAAAACAATTGTAAAATATTCAGATTAAGAAAATTACAGAAAACAGCGTTACAGTTTGTGGGCTGTACATCCTACAGGATGACATCTGGTGTTCAGTCACTGTAGCTGCAATACATTGATTTTCTTTTTCTTTTTACTCAGAGCAGGACAGTTCTATTAGAAACATATTTCATCATGATCCAGGTGGAGTCAGCAAATTAAATGCCTTTAACTAACATCTAACTGAGCAAATGATTGCGTACAAGGAAACAAATGTCTCCAAACGTCAGTGTCCAATTTAGAACCAGAATGTGATTGAACCCCAGATTAAGTTGTGTAGTGGTGCTGTCTGGTTTGGAGTCTGTATTATTAACAAAAATTCAAGATTCATTTGTGTTTTAGTAGATCTGCACACATCACTACGACAGAGAAATCAAAGTAATGCGTTTTGCAATCAGGGCTGGCAGTTTTTAAACTGTTGCTTCTCCCAGAAGTGTTTCAGAAACTGAATTTCTCAATTTGATTTAGACTGCCAAGGGGAAGAACCAAATCAGGCTTTATTGATTTCATAGAATTTAATATATATGCTGCTTTTCTGTGAAATCCAAAATTTGATTTTGACTGCAACAGATGTTTGGAATTAGAATGACAATTTCTAGAAGACAAAACAAAAGTGCAGGACTTGTTTTATTAGTCTTTACATTGTAAAGGGATTGCTACTAAAGCGACATTCATCAGACGTTTCAGAATGGAAAGATCTAACAATAGGACAGAAAGAGTGGATGGTTGAGAAGATAAGCCTATATGGGACATCATTTGCTACTACTCATAACACAAATATGATTAGTGAACAGATTTCAACATCCATCCATGTGCTAAACAGCTTATTTCTGATAGGATCAGAGGCGTATCTTAAGCCCCTCCCAGCAAGAAGCATGTACTCCCGGAGGGGCATCTGGTCCATCACAGGGCCACAGATTTCAATGCGTGCCCATGAATGAGCATGAATTCATGTCGATCGAGCCAGATTTTCACCAATAAGTTCTGAGCACCCGGTAACATTTTCCCTTTTTAATTTCACAAAAAACAGTCAACCAGCTCCAGAGTGTAATAATAGAACGTGTAGAGTCACATTCCGTCTGAGTCACACAGCTCTTCATAATCTAGCGGCACCTGCTGTGTCTCACAGAACTCCGAACCCTTTCATTTGGAAGCTGGCCCATGCCTGGTTCCAAACAATCCCCGTTAATACTAATTTTCTTTTGCACTTAGGTGCCTATGTTCTGAATCAGGGAGAGCATGTGTGTTCCATGATACCTGTGCCTCTAAGGAATACGTATCTAAGAAGGCAAATAAAACCCAGAAATCAAGTCACTTATTCGCTGAATGTTTGTTTGTAGACTAATGGATATATTACGGAATTGGAGACCTCACCCACATATGACTAGAGGAAGTGATCACAAGCAGTGTAGGGGTGACTCATTCCTCAAAAAGGCTGCTGTGGACAGAGTTCATAAATGTTCTTGCTGAGGTTCCTGCTTTCCTCATTTTGTGACTACTTTCGGTTAGTAAATAGCCCTTAAAGTCTAGATTTTTTTGGGCAGATTATATATACTGCGATTTTAATTAGTCAAAGACGTTTTCTTTGCCTGTCAAAAACATGTGTATTTTCATTTACCAATAATTTTGACCCAAATTAAAGTCAGCCTCTGACAAATGTTAATCTCTGTTACATAACATTTAAAACAGTCAGTCTGGAGCATTAGAATCAGCCACTGTATTACTCATCGCGACTCCCACAACGTCCCCCTTTCACTTCATACATTTTGAAATGCCCCGGCAGGAAATGCAGAGGTGTATCAATAACGGCCGCGCTCCGCCTGATGGAGGTCCTGTTGTTCTGCCTGCTCCTTTACTTATGCGATTGCCTGGGAAAAGGCAGGAAACTGACTAATGATTCCAGTAATCATGTGCACCTGGGCTTTTCCCGCTGAGACCCGTGAAAAGGTCTGCTGAGAAGCTTTGACTTCATTTCATCGTTAACGTGCAATAAATGACGCCCTGTCGACTTAAGCTCAGTTCTAAACACAGTGGAGTTTTAATAAAAAAAAAAAAAGTCAATCTTTTATTTTCCTGAGATGGGTTTCAAAAACATTTGCATGCCTGACAACTCCATGCTAATTAAAACAAGTCAAACTGGAGCATCTCCAACTCTGTTCTGAGGTCCATCTGAACGGATTAATGTCCAAGTTTTCATTTTTTCTCACATAGAGCAAATCTTCCTCATAATCCTCCGCTCCTCTCCAGTCAGCACATTACGCAGCTGCTGTTGCTTCCTGCCTCACTCACATTTCCCCCCACTCCAAATTTCTGAAGTGCCCTGAAGCCCGGTCTCTCGTAGGGTGAAGCTCTTCCGTCCCCTTCCTGGGCGACGCCGCGGCGCTGGCCCCTCGTCGGCCTTCATTACCGTGTATTTTATTTTTTCCCTCCTCTGCCTTTGTTTTGCCTCGTCCTCGTCCTCTCATCCCCGCTTGTGCCACGCAGCCGTGTCATACCCGCCCAGTTACAAGAAGACTCCGCCTCCCGTGCCCCCGCGCACCGCCACCACCAAGCCTCTTATCTCTGTGACAGCCCAGAGCAGCACAGAGTCCACCCAAGATGCCTACCAGGAGGGCAGGCATCCGCGGGGTGGTCTGTGGACCACCGACAGCCTTGGTCGTCCCGTCTACAGCTCCACCGACAGCCTGGACAGCGCCAAGGCGGTCACCATGGCCATGGAGTCGGCCGCAAGCAAGAGGCTCGCCTCTTTAGGCAGCCACACCTCCGTCCAGACGTGTGACAAAGCCGTGCTGGTGTCCAAGGCTGAGGAGTACCTCAAAACCCCCCGATCCTCCATTGGCATACAGGTAACAAGACGAATGGCCGCGGCCTTCACAGCCACGCTCCCATTAATCACCCAAGCGGCCTCAGGCCTTCGCACCAGTCATGTTCTCCTCCTGTCTTGCTCTGATTTGACAGGTTCTCCTTTTTTAAACCCGGATTATTAACTTAGCAGAGCTGTCTCGTAAAATGTAAACATGTTATAGCTCTCAGTCACGTAAACCTGGAATCAAGTGAGTAAATTCATTCGAGTAAAGCCAGGAAATTAGAATGGATTATATCAGGACTGAGCTGAATCGGTTTTATCGTTCAGGGACACACTTGAACTGGTTGAACTGAACGTCTAACTATGAGTCTGTTGGCTGTTAGCAGATGTTACAAATCCCTACGAGTTTGTCTTTGACCTTTAGATGTGTTAAGAACAGACTTGATTTAATAGGTCTAATTTAAAGGATTCATTTCGCCATCCCTTTTCTTCTCTTTGATCCAGTTGGTGATTTATGAGCTCTTGAGCACATTTTTACAACAATGTGAACTCAACTCCCCTCCCTTTGCAAGGGTGTCCACAAAACACAAAGCCACTCTTCTTTTTAGTGCAATATCTGTCCAGCTGCAGACTCACAACTGCTGCCACAAAAATCCACTTCACCGATTGCTCGTTGTTCCCCCCTTAATGCCAAACTCATGGATGAGATTCAGCTCATTGTGGAGCGCAGTTATATAAACTGGACTGGATTTAAAATAGGAAAATCTGGAGAGAGCCAAATATTTTCCAGGACATGATATAATGTTGTTTTACACCAATGATCTCTAATACTTTTGGGACTTTTCAGCTCTTCCAAAAGTAAGTGTGAAAGTGTTTTGAAACACGGTCCAAATCAACTAAGTGCAAACTGGATAGCAGGGTGAAACTGTGACTGTGCTCATCATCTCATCACGCAGATTCTAACAGAGGCAAACCATGGTGCAATTAGATTAAAGAAAAAATTACTTACATGAGCACAAGTGTCTGTGTGAGGACAACCAACAACATCCCACAATCCCAGGAGTCCATTTGAAACCTGATCATTTAGCACCTGAAATGTTTGGTTTCTCCTATTTGGATGAACAAAAAATATCACACCTGAGGGAAAGGATTTTGCATACTTTTTCCTCCCACATATCACCAATATCATCCATTAAGACCGAGTTTGAAAATGCGATAATTAAAGACAATTTTGTGCTAACATCTAAACATTTCCAAAGCGCAGAGAAACTTTTAGGCAGCTCCATTAGAAACGTCTAAACTATATCAACGATATAAACTGTATAAATGTCCCTGAATCTGCATTTGAGCTGAAACGATGTTCTGCCATCACTGTTTCTCAGGTGGAAACGGTGACAGACTCGGAAGCTGAAAGTAAAGGTCTTCCTCAGTTCCATTCAATAGGGATCCAGGTGGAGGATAAAAAGCGGTACGTGGTGCACGCCAAACATCTGGGCTGATTGGGATTTTTTTAAAATTTTATTTCAAAGTCTCCATTCTCCTTGTCGTCCCCCCACCAGGCGCGGGAGGTTCAAGCGCTCCAACAGCGTGACCACGGCGGTGCAAGCGGACTTGGAGCTGGAGGGCTTCCCTTCCATGGAGGACAAGGGCCTGCAGTTTGGCGGCGGCTTCGGGCGCCACTCGGAGCCCAGCACGCCCACGCAGTACGGCGCCATCCGCACGGTGCGCACGCAGGGCCTGTTCAGCTACCGGGAGGACTACCGGCCCTCCAGCGGCCCGCCCAGCCCGCAGCCGGCGGAGCCCTGGCTGGTGGAGCCCGGCCTGGAGAGCGCCGAGGCGGGCCGGGCGTCCCCCCTGCGCAGGGACGGCGGCTGGTTCATGCAGCTCCTCCACAACGAAACCAAGCGGCTGGAGGCGTGGTGCAAAGAGATGGAGAGAGAAGCCGAGGAGCACGACCTGTCCGAGGAGAGTGAGTGTTCGGAGCAGGGCCTTTTTGATTCTGTTGACAACGACGACGACGTTTTTTTTTCTCTCTGTGATCTTTTCCAGTCTGCACGCTCTGTGTTAGCCCTAGCGTTGACTCTGAGGACACTCAGAGTCGTGTGACAGGCACTTTGTGAGCAGATTGGAATTGTTGTGAATTGCCCGAAAAGATGCTCGACATGCTGGCTCTCGCCAAGCTGTCGGTGATAAACCCCCGAACCTGTTTGTGCGCGTGCGTTTGTGTGTTTCAGTCCTGGGGAAAATCCGAAGTGCGGTTGGAAGCGCTCAGCTGCTAATGTCTCAAAAGTTCCAGCAGTTTTATTGGCTGTGCCAGCAGAATCTGGTGAGTAATATCTGCCTTTCAAATTGAGGACGTTGCATCTCCCTGCCGTCGATGTGTTACCCCAAAAAAAATACAAAAACACAGATCACCGGGAGTAAACGGGCCAATTGGCTTCCACTTGCCTGAGCCTCCAGAGGGGGCTCGGCCCGACACAGCACTTGCACACCTTCCAGAAGTGGACCACAGAGATGGACGGTGGAGCGGTCTCTGCTGCTATCGACCCCCGCTGTAAACGGAAGGGGAATTCCAATAGGAAGCAGCACCTGTGTTAAGGCCGCCCCTTAATGCTCAGAGGCAGCAGGTTGAATGGGAGCTCAGAGTTTGAATAATGAACTGCCATACCGTCCCGCTGTTTAGCCCTCACGTCACGTCTGCAATTCACAAAGTCAGCATATATCTATAGGCAGAGGCCAGCGCTAGAAGTGGGAGGTTTTCTGCAGATAAAACAGGGACTCAGCCACAGCGACAGTGAGTCACAGGCTTAATCACATCCCTCTAATGTAAGGCTAATTAAAACCAAATATCTAATGAAATGAAGAACCTCGTGTAGGTGGTTCACATCTGCTCTCCCACCGCTTTGCGTTTTTTTGGTTTTTTATTTGTGTGTGCGTGCGCACCTCGAGCTCGTCTCTCCCTCTCTCTCCCCACAGATAACAGGATGATGAATTAAGTCTAACATTGGTAGTGACAAGCCGTAGATTGCCCTCAGCTTTCAGATATGTCATAAAAAAAACAGAAGGACTCTGTTTTAGCAACTGGATGTGTGGTGGAACTGCACCCGGTGTCTATAAAAAGCCTCAAATCTGCTCTTGAAGCGGGGCTTGATGGAGCTTTTCATTGCCGAAGTTCTCGTCCACTCAGGGAGGGCGGTTTGTCTGGCGTCCTGTTTGTGTGAGTGGTTAGTTCCAGAGCGTTCCTGCCATCTGGACGTGAAGCACGGGGCGACAAGAACGATATGTTTGCCATTGAGATTTCAAAGGTCGCGTTTATTTTTAAATGGAGTGATTTGCGTAAAGCCCTGTTGCCATGAGCACCTGTCAGCCTGATTTTTTAAAAAGAGTTTCTAATTAGAAATAACCCGGTGAGTCGTTCTCACATTCTTTTATATAAAAGCATGGCGTGACAGATATATTACTTATGAAGAAAATAAGTCATTTATCAGAAACATAAAAGAACTGAAATATGCCCCCCTCCCCCTTTTACAGTACTACCATATTCACATAAGTTTTGACTCTTAGTTCTTTGACCAAGGCTATGTGTGCAATTTTACAGAACATCTATAAATATGTAAAATCTAGAATTTAGCTGCAGCTTTTTTTATTTGATTTTTCACTAAATACATTAGTGTAATGTATTAATGCCCAATGTAAGTAGTATGTTGTTACATCAGTAGTAACAAAATGTGGCAAAATTGCATTACAATTAATGAACTCCAGATGTTATTTATCCTTCATTCAACAATATTATCATTTACAAATAACCTCTAATTTAATCTATTCTCAGGTGTACAAATCCGTAGCTCTAAACAAAACAAAAAAGATGATAACATTAAAGGAATTGATTCATTCTATTAATGTCGTAACATAGTTTTAGCTGGGTAGTATGTAATTTGCATAACTGACAATGACACATTGAAAATATCTGAGACAAGATCATCTTTCCTTAAAGACGAATAAAGCAAGTTTGTAGATTAATTATTTTCAGGTTGTGGATTATTTTTGGTGCTGTACTGCCACACAGTGGTCATTATGGAGAGATGTAAATGAAGACGTCACAATGACCAGCAAAAAGCTTTTAATAACATTCAAATGTTTACTGTATGTATATGTATATATCATGTTTTTTTTTTTAATTAAGAGTAAAATCTGATTTATTATTACTATAATTATTATTATTATTATTAGTAGTAGTAGTAGCATTATATATTGTACATTATATTATTATATTACTGTTTGTTTAGGTCACATTCACTAGTGATAATTGCAATGATAATTTGTTAACTGCTGTCCATGTAGGACCCCAGTGCCATGCCCAGACCCACATCTCAGGACCTGGCAGGATTCTGGGACCTTTTGCAGCTTTCCATCGATGATGTCACTGCCAAGTTTGACGAGCTGCAGCAGATCAAGAGCAACCAGTGGCAGCTGGTGGAGAGCCCCGAGAAGAAGGTATAATTGGGCTGCACTCTCTTAATAATTAGTGTTAATGGGCTCCAGATGAAGTCGCCCAGCTTGAAGAAAAACTAAGCTACTAACATTAGTGTTCCCTTTTAGAGTCCGGGCCAGCGGGAGGTTATTGAGTACAAACAAGCAGGCAGCATCTGTTAAGTTTTAAAAGTGGGCTCGTTCCCCACTGAAACCCCACTGATTACATTAATTTCTCTTTCATATGAATGAATTCTGATAGTTAGCACTTGTTGGACTACATAGAAATACCATTGATGTAATCTTGATACAGGAAGTAGCATTCTGCGTCAATTACTCCCCGTGTGCAAAAGTGGAGCCAAGCATGTACATCTGCACACTAGACTCTCCAATATGTGCAAATACAGTCACAAAAAGCCAGAGAAGTGAACAACCTCAGAGTGATCATGCACTAATGAACAGTACTTAGCATTATTGCAGACACTTAAGATTAAAATGCCGTGAACGGCCTCCTTATTGCAGAATGACTTTTAAAAGCAGATTTCAAAGTGTTATTTTCCCGAGGGTGGTAAAAAAATAAAACCACGGTTGAGTTTTTATGAAATGGCAAAATACAAACATTAATTGTCAAAAACATTACAGATGGGAAACCGTAAACTGGTAACACAACACATTCATCGGGCTGATGCATGACGTTGTGAGGGGCGCATTTAGACGGTTATAGGGCCGTTAGAAATGGAAAACCATCCTTCAAGGCGCCTCGACAATTATCCTGATAACACAGTTGTAGCTTTTAGCATTCATTTGCCTCCAGCAGTTCAGGGGCACGTTGCGAGCTGCATGGAGCTGAAGACGTGCAGTGACACAGCTGCTCCGGGCACAGACCCTCCTCTTCCAGACGGTTGCCTTTTTCAAACCGATGCCAGCGTGCCATTACACAATCTTTACCATCTTTTTTTCCTCAGAAGCATGCCGCTCAAGTCATTTTCGTCCTTTTGGGCTGTTGGCAGAACTTAGGGAGAATCGCACTGCTCTGTGAAGGATACTCTGTTGCTCATGCAGCATTTGTCAGTGTGTTATTGTCTCACAGTCATGATTGCAGAGCTGAATGAAGAGTGTTTTTTTTTTCTGTAATGGGATAACATGCAAAACCCAGCAAATATTGCATTAGTGGGATGCTATTCTCTCCTCTTTTAAGTGCAGAACAAATGCAATGTTAATTTAAAGTGAAACTCTGCACGTCATCTTTAGAAATTATACGAATCCTTAAACATCAGGGAGCGGTGATTAGGTTTTATGGGTTTAATAGATGTCCTCTTTCTTCCAAGGAGCGAAAGTGGCCTCCCCCTCTGCCAAAGAGACCAGCAAAGGGCCGCGGCGGCGTGACTCGGGAGCGCTCTCTGGACCTTCAGGACCGCCAGCGACAGGAAGCCCGCAGACGCCTCATGGCCGCCAAACGAGCGGCTTCATTCAGACAGAACTCAGCCACGGAGAGGGCGGACAGCATCGAGATCTACATCCCCGAAGCCCAGACCCGGCTTTGAGGTCACATCCATCCTCAGATCCCCCCCCCCCCCCCCCCCCCCCCCCCCCCACCAGACCCCAGTCCACCAGACACGTCACTGCCCATCCACCATCTTTGTCTTGTAACCACACTCCCAGGTTGTCCTGGTTAAAGCTACACTTGGCAGATGAAACTGGTAAACGCACCGGTAAACGCAGGTGCTTTTTTATGCAGCAATGAATTGTGGGTTTTTAATTACACGTCCGCCACCTGGAGCTGCTGTACATTTGCCGAGTGTGGCTTTAAAACCACAGGAGACCTTTTTTTTGCTTTTGGGTGAGAATAAGCTTACAGACCCCCAAAATATAAGCGTTAAGTCAAATAATTAAACTCAATTTTGATTTTTTTAAAGAGCCCTTAATTAGCCCTTTCGTGGTCCTCACAGCCGTTGCCATTACACCATTGTGTGTATGGGGATACTTACACACTTGTCAGGTTCAAAATGAATCAGAAAGTGTTTTTTTTATCTTTACGCCAGCATCACTGGTCTATGGCTAAAGCACCCTGCGTGTAGGAGGAGTGGCAGCAGCCTCCTGTATTCCCATACGTCGGGAGGTTTCTTGTTTTCAGCAAGATGAATGCAACAACTTCTCCAAGTTTGTGGTCACAGGATTAAAGAAGCAGGGGTGGGGATGCTAAACAGGCTTTGGTGTTGGTCATCCCTCACAGGCAGGCTGCAGCCAATGACCTGTGCTGCTGGCCTAGATTTAAAAACGAGGCCGAAGTCCTTAATCATCATTTCCCGCCTTTGTTCGTCGTCATTCCTGCAGTGCCATGTCGTCTTCATTCCCCACGTTCCGTCAAATCCGTAACCTATTTGCTGCTGGATGCATTTCCATTGCAGAACAAATATGAAATATTAACATAAAGACAGTTTTGCACAGGTGGCTGCATCAAACAATGCATTTTGCACCTTATAATATTCATGTTTGTATTTCCAAGGGAAATGTAGTTTATGATGCTCATGTGATATTGTTGCAGTTGAATTGCAAGGACAGATATGGAGAATTTACTACAGAATTTCATATTACTCTATAGATCATAGAAACTGCACCTTGTTTGATTCTAGTTTTATTTCTTCTGATGGCTTGAACGCCTCTCCAAAACAAATCAATGTGATTCTAATGCTTTTAATTCTAACTGAACTATGTATCATGTGACCAATATCACAATCTACAGTATAATTTAGTACTTATAGTTAAAAAGCCGTCGGTTGATTTGATAGTGCATCTGTCCTGGATATTAAGAGGTGTTTCTTAGCTGACTTTAACTAACTTTCTGTTCTCTTTTGATCTGTTCATATAGTCTACGGAAGACAGGTGCAAATAATACTTTAACAATATTCAGTTACTATAGTAAATGGTGCTGCTTTTTACTCTTAAACTGTCGTCCTTTCCCCAGTCCTATGTGCACGCGCAAACACACACAAACACACACACCTGCACACACACACACACACACACACACACAGACACACACACTCAAGGACTTTTTAAACAGAGATTTATTAACATGGTGCCCACTGTCTCCCCAATGACTGGTGGTAGATTGTGACATTAGAAACGATCATCTTTGCAATGCTCTTGCCCTCAGTGATTCGAATAAGGAGAAGGTTTTTATGGCTTAACCTCTGTCTCTGGAGTTAATAGGGTTCAGGGATATTTGCTCATTAGATGGGAGAGATTACAGGCTTTTACATTCCACCCCCAAAAAAAAAATCTCAAATGTCCACTTTGAGCCAAGGGCATACCGCAGTGTGAGAGTGCATCATAGTTCCTCCTCACGTTTTCCATCCCCTTACCCCTGCAGTCCACGCCCGGTCATCCTCATCTGCAAACCTAACCCCAGCTAATTAACACAAATGTTGACATTACCATTAGAATAATGTCGGAGTTCAGTGTTTAAAGCCTCTTAATTTACTGTAACGTGTTGGGTGAGGGAGAGACTCTGCTCTTTATGGGCAGGAACATGGCATGAGGGATTTTTGATCGGACTCATGTTGTTCACACATACGGGGGGGGGGGGGGGGTTTTATTTTTTTGGGGGGGTTTTAAATTGCAGACCCTTACTTTACCTAATGGCCTTAACCAAATCACTCATGAATGTACAGTAGAGGCCCCGTCGATGCAAAAACATCACAGAAACAATAGTCCCAGGAGATAAGTACTCCTTGAAATTTCCTCCAGATCAGCGGGGGCCCAGCTGTGTCCTTTTTTTTCACTTTTTCATATCTGGAATAATATTTAGTCTTTAATGGCACAGTGTTAAGAAAAATAGTATCTAAACACCTCATTCAGTGTTAAGGCTTGTTTTCATTGAGAGCCATTTAAAAAAGGGTCTGAACAAGAAGTTCAGAGTCATTCGGAAACTGGGAATTTTTCTTTTTCTTTCGGCTGGTTTAATCCCCGCTCACATAATAAAAGTTAACCTTACTTGCAGATTTCATTACCCTTTAAACAGGAAGAATCACTTTGGAATTACTGCGCTTAAATGAGCAGAACCGTTTTTATTTTTTTCAACTGAACTAGAGATTAAATGAAATTTTTTAGTTCCCACAAATCTTTCGCAGTCAGCAGCAGCTAAAGATGTCTGTAACCCCTGGACATCTCCAGAAAAACCTTTAATGGTGTGAGGTGCTTCTCCTGCTCCAGGTTGAAACTGTCTCTGTGGTTTATTGCCTTGCCAGAAAACTTTCCTTGGGCTGAAATTGATTCATATGTCCACAGACTGCTGATCCAGAACTGCCTGGGAGTTCAGGATGTTTTTCAAATATAATCTGACCTCTCTCCTTTGAATGGTAAACACCTTGTTGGGGACTTTGTGTTGCATTCATGGATAATTACATATTTGATTCCTGAAAGAATATGTGAGGAGATCATGCATAAATTCAGTTGTTGTGTACTTTTGTATGTGCCACCAAAGGACAGCCTGTTTGGCTGACACTTACATCGGCTTTGGGCCAATCTTACTATTAAAAATATAACTATATTAATGAACCGTGATTCCAAAATTCTTCTTTCAATTTTGGGTTGAATTCCCCCCAAATTGAAGCTAAGAATGGGATCTTTTAGCCTATTTTTTTTCCGAATAATTGTGATTTGTTGATAGCTTACTTCAAAGAAAATTAATATAATGTAAATTAATATAATATATTTGGAAAAATTGGGTCAGTATATATAGTATATATGCGTAGGCTACATAACTCTGTATGTGCAAGTGAGAACAAGCTGTTTCCCATCATCCCAGTTTTGTTCCATGAGCTTTTCATCACTCTTTGCTAAAGGACTATAAAGAATAATTAGCTTAACAATTCAAGTGCATTATATACCAACAGAGACTGATAATATGGAAAGGGCTCACCGTTTAAGTTCAATGAATCAATAGCAGCTTCTCCACCTCTTGTATTGTATTGCAGAGAGGAAGAATCCAACAGGTTGGGACTGATGTAATTACTCTTCTTGAACAGGAAAAGTATAAGTGAAGTAATTATGGGCTCTTGAGGCTTCTAGCTCGCTGGTTAGCAATTCATTTTCTCGCTGTTACAGTGTTCTGTTTCAGTATTTGATGGTGTGAAAGTGAGAAACACACAGGGGATGCCCTGTTTACCAAGAATAATCTGGAGTTGGTGGTAAATTGTGACCTTTTGTGGTGTTAGTGATGTGTTTATTTTACACAGTATTCAGTTAAGTTGCTCTTGGAGAAGAACCCCTTGTGGTATTTTTCTATAAAGATTTTTCAAAAGAAAAAAACAAAACAAAACATACATTTTTATGGAGAAGAAAATGTTGCTATTTTCATCACAGTTCTATCATGTTTCTAACAACCGTATTCACCATTTACCGTTGTGTTTACAGCATTGGCTTTAAAAGATGTAGTTGAGTGCTTTATGTCAATTTTAGTGGACATCAGGCAGGAAATCCTTTAGTTACGGTGGCCACTGTTAATGTCACAGATGATCTAATCGCGTTCTTATCTTTGCTGTGCCGGGTTTCATCGATCAAGATGTGTTTGGAACAGGAAGGAACACGCAGTAAGCTTTAGTATCAAAATGCTTATTTATTCACGCAGCTTGTCCCTTTACTTTAATTCTGTAAATGATTTCCCTGACTGACAACAGCCGATGGCAACTTTAGCAATCCAACCGCTCTTCCACCTGACTGGAATCATGGTCAGATCTATTCTACTTCCCACAGACTGCAAACTGTGACTCTGTCATGTGAAGCGCTGATGAAATGGTATTCATTCTCACCAGGGTTTGCTTTCCTCAAGTAAAACTACGGAAAGCCCGGAACCTTGCAGTTCTCTGCCATGAGGTGCCACATGAAGTCCGTAAAGGACCTTCTCCTTCTTTGTTATGTTCAACATTGAGAGAAGAGGGTTAGGGTTGGGGTTCAGGTTTAGACCTATTAAGACAGATTTAGACCACCGGGAGAAAACCTGACCAACGATCAGCCACTGGCTGTTGAGTTTTTTGTTTTTTTTAGGTCTGGATTTCCTCAAAAATCACAGCGCACTATCCTGGAAGTGATAAATAACTTTAAAGAGATAGATTCTATGTCATTGAATACACAATCATTTGCACAATGTGTTTTTGTGGTATCATGCAGGGCTGTTCTATCATCATGGTACCATTTCCACATCAACCCCCCCCCACCCCCACCTCCACCCCCACCCCACCATGCTATGAGGGGCTAAGGAGTTTGGCAACTATGTACGTGACAAATCCTCAGGTGCCTTACGGTTTGATTCTCATAGGACTGAGTGAATGTTTTGGGTCGGGCTATTCGAAAGGACTGCGACACCTTTTAGAGTGCAGGTTTGTACCTTCATAAAGGGCTGGGAGTCTGGTTCTGGTCAGACAGCAGAGTTTAAAGTGAATTTTATTTCTACCTGACTGAGTCAAGTGTCCTACTGTAATAAACTTCAGCACAAAAAAGCAGTCCAGAGGATATCAGATGAGTTTTTGTTGGTATTTTCTTTTCTTTTTTTCCTCGTGGGTTCAGACCCAAGTGGTGTTCTGCTACCAGTCACAACCGATCGCAATAGAGAGCTCCGTTTGAAAACACAAGTCTAGAAAAATCTGTGGCCGTGACACTGATGAAGTGTCCGTGCACGCCACAACCATCTCAGTTACTCACAAACAGACAACTTACTAACAACAAGAAAAATAGCCTTTATATTTATTTTTCCCTTTCAGTTACGTTATTGTATCCTTCTGATATATATTTTTTTTTTTACAATTTCTGGCATCTGCATGTATACAGAATCTGGAGACGGACAACACTTGACCAGCCAAAAAAGTGCAATAGTGTTTTCATACGAGGATGGGGATGCTCGCCTCCAGCTGTTTACCTCACGCTGAAGTGCGTACGTGCTTTTGTGGGAGCTCTGCGTGAATACTTTGTCATGCCTGTGTACTATGCAGCAGTACCTCTGCGGGGCAACCTGTAGGCCGCCGCGCAGACCGCCCCACATTCACGAGAACACTGTAAACACCACGCTCATCGTTCCCAACCCCCTTCAGACGCAAAACACCCGTACTGTCGTAGTCCTCCATGGACTGTGATCCGGTTCATCCGTCTGTTAGGATTTACTTTATGCTGATTAAGACAAAGCTGTGCAGAGAGAAACTAACTGTCAACCATGCTCACACACAGAGATGTAAGGGGTTAGTTAGTTCCCTGTTCAGGCTTTTCTCACAGCACCACAGTTGACTTCATTTACATAAATCCTGATGGAGGTCTGCATAGGTGCTTAATCAATCAACCAACTTCTGTCCTTGTGCTCTTCATGAATCTTCTTTTCGACTAGCTTTTCTGTTGTTGTTGATTCTGACAATCAGCACACGCCAAAACCATCAAATGCATGCGAAGCCCCGCCGGTGTCACCTCCTGAGCTCGGGGCGTGGGAAGTTTTTTTTTTTCCTCCTTGTTTCTGTTACGGTTGCACTGCAAAGATGTCTTTCTATTGTTTGCTCTCTCTCCTCATAAATTGTGTTTCTTTGTCTGGATTTTGGATCCTGTTGTCACAAACTGAGCTGGAGTCGAGTGAATCTCAAAATTCGACATCGCACTCGAAAGGTTCTCTGTGGGATTTTGTCTGCTCTTCAAGCAATAAGCCTAATTTAGATATTAAATACCTTCACCACGTGTTTCTGAAATGCAGGACATCCGCAGGGGTTCTCGGCTGATTAGAAAATGCTTTGGATTGGGACACACCTTGTTTTCATTCTCTTTCTTGGATAAGTTATTGTTAAAATATGCAGCTATGAGCTACATATTAGTCTGCTCAGCACAGTCCAAAGATGGTTAGCTTAGCTTAGAAACAAACTGTAACCTTTATCTTTATAAAGGTTTCTAAAGGTTATTTGATTATATTCTCTCTGTAATGTACGGGGCCATACGTGTGCAGGGCCTGAGAACCAGAACCAGAACCAACGCTGCTTCAACACAAATCATTATGAATTACATGTTCAGATTTTCACGCGTTTCTTTGTGTGTCTGTCTTTGCAGAACATTAAAGAGAGATGGTGGATTGTTTTCCATTATTTTATGAGCAGAGAGAGCAGTCACAGTTTTGTTTGCCTTTGGTGGAGAAATGTCGTTAGTGTTGTGGCTATGGATAGAAAATAACTTAAAAAAAAAACAACCTCTCATGAGATCCGACATCAGAAATATTTGATAGCATATAAAGGTTTGTTGTTAGCTTAAAACTATTTTGAAATTATTAAATATATCAATAATGAGGATAAATAAGATGCCAAATATTCAGTATTTGTACAGAAATATACATATATAAATATATAATATATGCCTAATTTATTTGGAACTATTCTCCGCTCTTGACCATGTTTCTGTTGTTTAATGTTCCTTTGTCAACATTATTTTATAAGATCTTCAGATAGCATGCAGGATAGTGAAAATGAATGTATTAATTAGTGTTTCATTGCTGGTCCGTATAACAGCAAACTACAGATCAGTCTGGGTTTGCAGGATTTCTTTAAACTGGGTATCTCATTTCTAATTTTGTTTATTTATTCATTTTTCCTTTTTAAATACAAGTTTTTTTTATTCTATCAGGTTTTTATTATTTCATTATTCCCTGCTTTATTAATGTGGTTTAACATGTTTTGCCTATTCTAAGAACTGCTATCAACCATCTGTTGTAAATATTTATGCAAATTAAACTTTTTGAAGAAAACAGCCCTGTTTTAAGATAATACTTTATTTCCCTGCGGCCAGACCACACAGCGATGAAAACTACCGCAAAGAGCATTCTGGTTTTTAGCTAAAAAACAAGTATTTATATGGATGGAATAAGATTTAGTACTTCTGCAAGTTAGTGCTGTTTTCCACACAGAGACACATACACAAACACATAACACATTTTAGTTAAAGAAGTTTTCTTTATTACAGCAAAGAAGCCAAACATTACAGACAATAATTATGAACTATTAATATCAATTCCAGACTCGGAGTGGCCTCTCATCCACACAACAGTTTCACTCATCGCTCTTCAGGGCCCGAGCTTTACATTTATTATGGAGGAAACGCCACTGTTTACCTACTGTAGTTTCTCTCCATAAACACCCTTCCATCATCACTTGGGATATGGCATAATTGGATTAATTTAGGCCTCTGAAATCTTTTCCCTTTATAGGCCAGCTCAGACAGTCAAATCAATGTTTCACCCACAGAATAAACATCTGCAGCTGGTGAAAGCTAGTGTTCTTTATTTAAAATGCCACCTGCTGTTAAGTTAAATCCTCAAAGAGACCAATCCAGCAGAACGAAGATTCAGAAATTATCATCCATAGTCAAATTCTCTAGTGTTTGTCCAACAATAGAGCCCTTTAAAGTACTCATGATGGCCTACTTACAATAACATCCTTATGACCTGCTCCAACCAAGTGGAACATCTGACGTTTTATATACAATAATATTTTCATTTATTTTTCTGAATCGGTGCACAAACAGAAACATCTAGTATTCAGTAACCTCATGAATCCTCCAAACGAAGCTTTCTGATAAATCAAACACTATGTATGATGGTATTTAAAACATTGATCGTCCATAAGAACGCATTCAACAAAGCCCCGGTTGCGATCAAAGATGCTGTTAAAATGCTTGTTTCACCAGGGTAATTTAAATGATTAGGCACAATAAATGTAGTTGTATCACAGTTCTTGCATGTTTCACTTAATAATCCTGTTCACATCACTCTGTCGGTGTGTATTCAGGGAAAATGGTGAAAAGGACACGAGAATGAAGATAAACAGCTTATCCCCACCACGACTTTAATAGGGATGGCAGCTGTTATACAAAATACTGCACGCATATAAATGCACTGCTGTTCTACTGACCATGAAGAGAACAGTCGGCTTTTACACAAAAATAAACCAAAAACAACAACAAAAAACAAAACACGGTAACAGCAAAGAGATTCACTGAGTGAAAACAAAGACACTACTACTGGATTTCGCCTAAATACTGAAAAGCTACTTCTAAAGCTTTAATCTACAGCTTCTATCAGGGGTTCTTAAACTCTTCTTCATGGACCCAAGTTGAGTGCAAATAACCATGGTAACCTTTACCGGATCATTAAATCGCAGCCATACACACAGCACCCCGTAGAGAAGGACCCACTTTGCATCCCAAAGTTAAGAGTTTAAGAAGCGCTGGTGGTAAACATGGAATGAAAATGATTGTTCTTACAAGCAATGCAAGTAAACAAACAATAAATACAAACAATGTGCTTTATCCATATAGACATATTTACACAAAGTCTTTGGCTTATGAATTAACATCAGCTCCAAAATAAAAACAGCTAAACAAAAAGTGTTGGCCACCAGTGCACAGAACAAGTCTGGGATCAGTTCACCTCCAATTCCACTCCAGCCACACATGCAGGCCTTTTCTAAAACAGACTTACCACTTATTTTAATCCAATGTTTTGAACTGGCTGAATTGAAAGTGCACTGGGCCCAGCCCGAGACCTTTGATGATAAATGCTCAATTTTTTCAGTTTGGGGTCAAAGATCACTTTACCCAGTAGATTATTACATGATACTACAAAAGCAAAACAGAAAATGAACTTGTAAACCTGTACTGATAATAAACTTACATTGACACAAAGGTAATTTTCTTCATATCTATTCTTTTATCAAGCTCAGATGAACTGTTTGTGAATAATTCAAAATGAGCTCAGAGTGGCAATAAAGTACTCGCACATGATGTTTTTGAAATTCAGAGTTCACTAAAAAAAAACAGAAAAATAACACAATGATGTAAAAGAAGAAACAGAAGCATCCACAGAGTTTGGATCGGCCGTACCTTCACTTACTTTTTTTTTTGTTCTTCTGCAAAAGTACTGGCAGCAGATATTCAAACATCACCATGATGAGATGCCCCAAACTGTTAGGGTACTCAGAAAACAGCATGAGTGCAGGAATGTGGCACACTAAAAACTTGACTTGCAGGTCAAAGGGAAGGGAGACATCTAGAGTGCACATTGAGTACTGCAGCTGAGACAGCACAAAGCATAGAGTCCATGGGAGAGGCTTCCATTTAAATCTAGGCCCAAAACATACAGGGGGCCACTGGCACTCAAAAAGCTGTACAATAAGCATAACAGGAGTAAAAGGAGTAATATTATCTCCTCTGGCACAGTCCCCTCCAGCACACTTCCTCTTAGAAGCCTAAACATTTGCCTTTGCTAAACAACACTGTACAAGGAGCCGATTTTGCCAGCGCCATTTGTTTGGACACAAAATAGATGCTACAGAACAGCCACCGCAGAGGGGAGTTAGGACCAAGCTAAAGCAAAGGATCAAACACATGAATGGTAAACATATGTTCACCGGCTCTTCTTTACCTCCCTCTCCGATTTTTTAAAAATCTGCTTAGGACGATTCGATGAACTCAAGTGCCAGGTCGTAGCAGAACCGATACTGTTCCTGTAGACCAGAAGAATCAGACGCACATTAGACTTTTTTTGCCAGGTAAGTTTGACCTCGGTATGGACAGAATGAATGAGAGCGTCTCACCGGAGTATCCACCATGTTGGGCTTGCTGTTTCTCAGCGTCTTCACAGCGTGGAAGACGTCCACCACGCTCTGTCTCTTGGCCATCTCACACACAATGCTGCTGGCACAGAACACTCCACTTCGGCCGCCTCCATTTCTACAAACAATCAGAAGAACAAAGCATCGTTAGACCAAATAAAAAGTTCTCCGGATGTGCCATGTTGATTTTCTTCCCTACAAAATGCTCAATGGTTGGGAGGTAACTGGTCTAAAACCTGTCCTAAAACATATCTTTTAGATATTGATGCTTTCTTTCAAAAAGCTGCAGTAACAGACATTTTTAAGGTTTACTGTGCACTTACAGGCAGTGAACAATTGTTCTTCCTTCTCCCTCCTCTCCTTCACGCTGCCACTGGTCCACCTGAAGGATCAGCTTGAGGAAGGAGCGTTTGGAGGCAGGGACTTCTCTATGCCCCGCCCATCCCAGGTACTGGAACTGTCGAACCATCAGGTAGCCTTCCTGAGGCTGAAAAATCAAAGGAGAGTCTCTTGAGCAGCAGCAGAGCAGTAATGTATGAAAGCAGCATTCACTGGGTGTTTGCATGGCAGAAAAAAGTAGCAATCAGCTGGCCCACCCGTGTGAGGTTGCAGACTCTGAAGAGACGGCTGATGACATCACAGTCCATTGAGCAAGACATACATTCCACCTGGACTGGACCATAGCGAAGCATACCTTCCTCTGGCCAATACTGAGGACAACCCTGAAAATAAACAGCTTCATCAGCACATGCTGTTTAATACACACTTATTTATGTCTATCGGGCTAGATTATTTTTTAGAACAACAGAGGTGACCGGCTGTCCAAAAACTGTAAATCCAACGCTTCTTGGAAACTCAGAAACCTAAAATGCATTAGAAATGGACTTACCTGAGCCAGGTCAATCTCGTTCAGCATCACCAGACTGGTACATCCGTAGTCGTACACCAGACGCCAGAAATCTTTGACAGTGTTGGGTAATGGATGCTGGGTAACAATGAACGCAGCAGGCTGTCTGTAGCTCTGCAGAGAAAGGGCAACAAAGAGGATCAGAGGTCTTTCATGATGGAGGAAAACTCACAGTTTCATGAGAAATCGTCTTAGATACCTTTATTCTTATATCTACTGTAGAAAACTCTCATTTCTCTCATTTACACACACACACAAACCCAAAAAAATTAAACACAGACAGCAGTGTGACACAATTTGTGGGGCATGGGAGAACAAGCATACTAAAAAGACGATGTTTATCAGTGATGATCATGCAGTGGGTCCTAACTGTGAGGGTCGGACGCATGCGTACACACTTCAGCTACAGAGAAAAACCTTCATCTTTATGTGATAGGGTCAGCTAACTTTATGTTAGTTAGCTCAAGAAGGTATACATCTGAAAACATCCTAGAAGTGCATCTTCAATTACGTATGGTGTCAAATTTAAAAGAGTGTCATAATGGACTGAACAAAATCAATATAAACTGATCCCAGCTCATTATGAATGAAAATGTGTAGCCAGACACTTGGCAGAGGTGTGAATGACTTTAGCGAGCGTGGCATCATAATCATGATGAGAACCTGGTGTCAGGGTAATGTGAGGGGTTAAATGGCCATTGTACATGAAACTGGTGGCAGAACAACACTGAAGCCATGAAACAAATCCAGTACTGGAGATTTAAAGTAAAACTCCATTACCTGGAACTCTTCTGACAGCTTGGTTAGAGAGAGGCCAGAGGTAAGTGACTAAACTTCATATGTAAACTTCTAAAACCCAAATGACTTACATAACTTAACGGGTACCAAGATATTTTGTCCTCCAACAGCTTTGGTTGGAGAAAAGCCAAGTTTCTTGAAACAACATGATGTATGTATATTAAAATTATGGTTTCAAACATCCTCATACATTTATACCAACCCCTTAATTTATTTTCCTGCCTCTCTGTTTATTTTGAACAGAACTCCTAATAGACATTAAATTCCACTTTTGGTTGAAAATGACTGGATACTCTAATATCACCTGAACATTTCTAGCGATTCGTTTATTTTGCTTTTCAGCTTGTGGTAGACTGACAACACATTGATACTGTGTCAACTGTTGCCAGTTTAAGCAATGTTTGGGTGGAGGCCAGAGAAGTCGGTGGTCTTTTTTGGAACCTGGATTTGTCTCTAGCCTTCTGCTGCTAAAACCACAAACACAGCATCACACAAACAGGGAGGGGAATCTGTGTGTGTATCTGTTTGAATGTTATCAGTATTGAACTTATGCATGTGTTTCTCTTTGCCTTTAATTCTATAATTTATTAAAAGCCTGTATCATTTTCAACAAATACACAGTTTGGGACAACAAACAGTATATGGCAATTTTTTCACATTTCATTAAAAAAAATTGTGTTAAACGCAACACATCTGGTTAAATAAACATTTGTCATCTTTAAAGAGAAGTCCCAAACTTTTATTTTGGTTGATGTGTTGAAAATAACACAACCTTACTGAATTTATACTCAACAGAGTTACTGACTTACATCCATTAAAGCAGCATTGATGTAATTACTGCTTTCTCCATCTATTGTAATGAGGAAGGGGAGGCATCTGTCTGGAGGAAGGCCATCCATAAAACGGTTCTTATCTTGGTTTCTGGGCAACAGTGCAATGCTGCAGTCCTCTGGCTGAGGCTGGGGAGTCACTGAGTTTAGCGTCTGGACACAAAGAGAGCCAATACAGTTGATTCATAGTGTAGGCATAAAGTAAGACATTAAAGACAAAAACAAGGACTAGAACTTGTGTTTCTATAGCACTTAAGAGCCTGCTGTGAAGTATGCCAGAGGCACCAAGGAGAGAAAAACAAGCTCCAACTTTAGATGTCTGTTGTCAATAAAAAAAAAGGAAGAAAGAAAAACTCCTGGCAGGTAAACAACACTTGAGAAATTTTATAAAAAGCTTTAGAAACTATTTTAGAGACCGGGATTTTATGGATCTAAAAGACACACAAAATACATTAACATGTTTCAATACTTCTTCAATTTGTATTATGACTATAAATCTAAGATAATACAAGAAGATGTTCCTATGATACACACATTAAATCCACATTGTAAAAGTTTGCACAATTTAAATGAAAAGGACCGACAAAATAATAAGCTTTAAATTTACCTGAAACTCGTCCTTTAGATGTGATGAATTGGTCTGGGAATCAATGCGGATCAGCTCATAAAAAGCGGCTTTAAACTCACAGACGGGTATGGCTGTTTCTCCACATAGGCAAGCCTCTAATATGGCATCATGGATGAATATGTACTGCTCCTGTATATGATTTTAAGCACACATATTATGAGATACATAGACACACTCTTAGATGAAGCTGTTGAAAAAAAGATGACACAAATTGCCATGAGGATAACACAAACAGCTGAAATGAAAGTGAGTATGTAAATGCTGTGAGGACACATGGGGGATGGAAGCATGAATGAGATGGGGTGAGATTAGGCTATGTTTACCTTGCTTCTGTGTCAATCTGAACAGAAATGTTCAAGCAATGACAGCGGCTTAAATAGCAGGAAAGAAAGACAGCGATGGCAGCTTTGTTGAGTGGTTGCAAGATTGAACTGAATTTCAGCACCACACAATGATGCTGAAAAAATTAGATAAGGTGTGTATTTACTTTGTTAAATTCTTCACATGAGGAATTGTTATAATTTTCACTTCCCATTAAGTCTCTTATGGTTACAGAGAAAATTAAGAAGCCAGCCACCTCCAGAAGAATATACTTTATAAATCAAATCAGAAAGTAATGCTTAGAGTGTCCTTCTTACAGAACACACATACCCACAGCGTTGTTGTGAATGAACAGAGGTGATGTTTTCAGAATGACCATGATGATGAGTCTGAGGTGAGGGTTTACTCTGTTTTACATATATTCTAAGATGAAGATGCAGATGGAGGATGGTTGATGCAGTCACCTCAGTCTGTACCATGTTGATCCTCCTTGAGCGAAGGGCCTTCACGCAGTTGTAAATGTCGACCACTCCTTCTCTCTCTGCCATATCCAACATGATGTCAATTACTATGAAACAGCCTGTGCGCCCGGCCCCAGCACTGCAGAAGGCAAGTGAACATGAATTTCACAAATTGTTCCCAATGTCTATAATGTAACTGGTAAATGAAATATATAATACAATAAATTCATCACAGACTTGTAAGATCTGCCAGTATATTTTTACCTGCAATGAACCACAATTGGCCCAGCTGAAGGTGGATTGGAGATTTTAACTCTGCGGATGAAGGACAGGAGTCCAGTAGCATGATATGGAACTCCGTGATCAGGCCAGCCTGTGAAGTGGAACTGCTTCACTTCTCGCACCTCATTGAAGCCACGCTGAGTAAAAATAAATAACATCTTTAAGTTACTCTAGAAACAGCCAAAGAAAACCACTCTATTTCATATTCATTCCTTAATTTCACAAAGAATTATTTCTGTATAGCACTCATTGCAAGAAAGAGATCACATCAACCAGGCAATCCAATTATTTTAAAAAATCTAGTTGCTTTACTCTAGGTATTTAAAGGCCCAGGTAATCCACAACAGCTTATACTCACTGAATGCTAAAGATTATGCACAGATTTATCCATTAAGAGTGGTTACCATCTACACATTAATTAAGATTTAATTTTCATGATTCCGTCTTTCTACCAGATGCAAAGTATGTACAATATTATTCTGGTGCATTTGAGAGCCTTCTTTTAAAACCAGGGATGACGATACAAATAAAGGTAAGGGCAATCATTTAGAATGAACCAGTTAGGTTTTTAATCTTTATTTCACACCTCTTTCAATTTATGAAGCTGACAACACATGTTAATAAAGAATTTACATTCTATAAAAACATCAGTACAAATTAAAGTATAAGAACAGATTATATCAAATGTAGTTAGAATACTGCTCACCCTTTCCAGAGTAAATGTGCGAACCACATATTCAGCGAGAGGTTCAACCTCCACAAAAGTCACCTTGAAGTCTCCATATACTTCAGCATCATCTGGCCAATACTTGTAGCATTTAACCTGGTAACACACGAGTCCAGGTTACAGAAAATGACTGAAGACTTGTGAATACAGCATTTTATCTCAATGAGTAAATAACAATGCCTTAAGCAGCTGCAACTGAATGAATTGTGCACAGTGCTACTAATTTATATGACAGACAGGGGAATCGTTGAAATGCACAGCTGGGAAAATAAAACAAGCAACTTACCCTTCCAACCTCCACCAGATTGGTGACCATGACAATGCAGGCAGACTGTTCCTGCCACACCATCCTCCAGAAATCGTACACCGTCTCATGAACAGGACCTACAGACACAGCAAGTTTTTCACTTAATCTAGTGGTTATTATGCCAAAAACATTTTATTTTTTAACTTCCTGGAAATTAAGAAGGAATTCTAAAGTTCTGCAGTAACTTACCCTGGGTAGCAATGTAGTGACTTGGTCTCTGATATCCCTGAAAATAAAACATCACTGTCAAAATGCACTGATGCATAATTTTACCTGGCAGGAAAAAAACACAGTGCAGATTTCTGAACTACTGTAAACATGTTTTCACCTGTAGTACAACAGAAATTCTGTGTGTATGACTAGTCACTGTTATTTGTCCGAGGTAATATATTTATTAGTATTCAAAATTAGTTTAGAAAAGATTTTAAGATAGCATCCTTATCACTATGCATTAAAAATATAGAATATTATATCAACAACAGTGAAATCTGAGAGGGAATGGCAGGGTGGCAAGATGAAGTGAAATCTTTCATACAGAGGAGGCCCCAGCAACTGATGATGTGCATCGTCATCGAAGCATATGAGATCAGTTGCACAAATAAATGTATGCATGAACTCATGTAAAGAATGAGGGGCGTGAATGAAAGAATTCACAGTGATACTTACATCCCTGTACAGCCAAATCTACAGCCCAAGCCACAGGCAGAAAGAACAAGTGGAAGAAAGAAAGAAAGCACAACAATGTCAGTGAGTGTCAATCAGAAAAAGAAAAGCTGCACTGAGATAATGGGAGACTGACCAAAAACATGCAGAAAAAAAGGTGAAAAAGTCCAGATTAGATTGGATAGAAGGGACTCTTGATGGCTCTTTTCAGCTTTCTGCATCCAAACTCTGCAACAGCTGCTGCAGGCCAAATGAACAAGTGCCCACTCTATTCATTCTAATCTTTGCTTCATGTGAGTTGTGGCATGCATGTAATAGTTTAACTGATAGTAAATTATGACACAGAAAGGCTGTAAGCATATTAGCATTACAAAGCATGATGTGAGTGACTAACATGCAGATGTGGAGAGAAGATTGGAGAGGTGGAAGAACAATGGTAATGAGATGGAAGACATGATATGGACTGAGCTGTGTGAACTTACAGGCTGTGGTGACAGACTGTAATGCCTGTATTGCCTTTTTTATAATATTATATTATGTATTTTAATATTTCTTGCTTACTATAGCTTAGCATACTGGAAAAAGCCTACTAAAAACTGCTGATTGATATCTCTAAAGTCTATTAATTACCATGTAATGTTTTTTAACAAGTACAAAACTAAATGTTTTAGAGATTACATCTGCTTCCTGTGACTCTTATCCATCGCAATATTTAAAAATGACTTAATGAGTAACTGTAAGTCAGATGAAAGAATTGATTAGGAAGCAAGAATTTATTGGGAATTCATTTGGAAGGAATTAATTTGGAAGCACCAGAGAAAGACACAGATGATGTACAGATGATGTTTTGGGGCGTGGCTGGATGCATAAATGGTTTAATGGATGAATGATAGACGCAATAAAGGTATAGAGGCCTGACATACGAGCGAGGGAGTGTGGTTTCGTTGGTTTCGTTGGGAGCCAATAGTAGCATTCGCTGCGTTTCCACTTACATCGATGTAGTTGGCGTTGATGTAGTCAGAGGATGGATCGTCCTCAATGGGCTGCAGTATAACTCTGGAATGATCATCTGAAGAAAGACAATGAAAAACGTGTTGGAGAAGACAGCAGAAATAGACAAAGGGGATAAACTGTTAGTTCTTTTAATCAGAGTCCTAAATAATGAGAAAAAAATTATGAATGACCGAAAGTAATGGTGGTAGTAGGATATAAAGAACAGGTCAATCTTAGTAGCACAGATATAAATACTGCTAACTTACATGCTATTATGTTGCCGTAGCGGTTTTTGGTACGGTTCTGCTCTTTCTTGGCCACATCCCAGGAGGCCGACTGGCCCTCGAAGAAGCTCTGTATCACCAACAACAAAGTAAAATCACAGAAAGAATAAATTCAACAGCACACATCTTTAAAAACAAATCTAAAGAAAGAATTACTTGCATACTTACTTTATGGTCCTTTTTTATTTATATGAGGAATCAATTACGATTAATTTACACAGCAATTACATGTCCTTGAGTGATTAGTCATTATAGCTACTGTACCAACAAATTAATAGGCAATTTATCCATACAACTGTTTTTTCAGCATTAAGCCCAAACATCATTCCTGGTATTCATAATATCATGTTTATGTTGTTCTCCTTTACACAGGATAAAAGAATAAAGGTTACAATTTGGTTGATTACATTCGCATCACTTCTTCTACATTAACAACAAGACTCTGCTGTCTTTACATTTGTTGTGTTTGTTGTTGTAACTAGACAAGTTACTGATATTAGCATTCTCACTTCATATTCTTCCTTGAAGCCATAGCTGTCAGATGTCTTCATTAGGTTGATGTGTTGTAGGAGGTCAGCCACTCTGATGGCAGGATGCAGCTGCCCTGTCTGATAAGGGGACTCAGTGCCCTCACAGTGATAGCGAGGAACATCCAGAAGCCGACTGTTCTCCGCTGCGGAGCCACTGTGATTCTCATCTATCAGAGGAGGCAAAATTAGAGCAGGTTAGCTGTTAATTAATCACATACAGTCCTCATTTCTAAATTTCTTATCATTATTTTTTCAAGATCTCCTAAAATAAGGCACAGAATGGTGTCTAGTATGAACAATGATGCAGCAAAAGGTTTAGAGTAAAGCAATATAATGTCCACATATAGACAATAGTTGTAGTCATTCGACATACTCATTATGGAAGGTACATGGATGGAGTGGAAAGCCACACATGCTCCTTCCCCCAATTTACTAATTTCTAGATGTGATATTACCACAGAAAAACATCACACCGCCCAACACAACAAAACACTGCTCAGTTTGCTTTTCTCTTTGTACTTACCTGTGATTGGAACTACAAGCAAACGCAGCATAAAAAGAAAAAAGTTGCAAGGTTCAGTCAGAGTCCAAGCACAGTGTGTTAATAAGTGGACTTAGAAATAGATACAACAATGATGGCACATCTAAAAGGAACTCATGATTTCAAACACAATGGGTGATTAAAAAAATGAGGCAATACAAAACATGAAAACATCCTCAAATTGATTAGGAATAACATTAAAACAGGTTACTCATATTCACAGCAGACATCAAGCTGGAGAGTAAACCATTTTTTTTATTTGTGGTCAACTGTAGTGTCATCTAGTGGTGATAAACAACATGACCCATTGTTCCATTCCACTCTTCAAAGCATACTGCAGCCACTACAGGGGATTAAGAGATTTAAATAATAATAATAATAATAATAATATAATAGTACTACTACTACTACTACTACTACTATTATTATTATTATTAATAATAATAATAATAATAATAATAATAATAATAATAATAATAATAATAATAATAATAATAATAATAATAATAATAATAATAATAATCATCATCATCATCATTATCATGATGATCATAATAAGAATCATAATAACATATATATAAACACTGGTCATATAATGGAATAGCTAAAGGTTAGAGCACAGCCGACTTATTTGATCTTCTCAACTGCTAATTAACTGACACTGTTTATTTCATCCAAATGATGCTTCGCTCTGCTCTAAGGACATGTTAGTTCATTACTGACTGTTAAAGGTTTGTTAGCCCTCATCAGGCCAATTAACAGTAAACTTGACCTGACACTGCTTCTTAATTCGCTTCTTCCTGCTACTTCTTACTCCTTAGTGAAGTGATTGGCCAAGACAGATTGTAACTGCAGCCTTCACTCCACATTAAAACCCATGGAACAGTTAATTAACGCAACTTGGTGGCGTTGTGGTGGTGGAGCCCTTAAGGGTATGTTAGAGCTCTACAAAATTCAGCAGTGTCAACACCACATCACAGTGAAGTGAAAAACATTACAACGCAACACTAGCGCTGGAGAAACATTGAAGTAGGCAAAATATGCAGCTTTCACCAAAACAGGCCAGAGGGATAACACAGATGGTGGATCCACAAGCACGCTTCTGCATCCTCTGAACAGAAACATTTCAGCCAAAGGCATTGGAGTGTTACTAAAGATTTTTCAGTGTTGCCACCGATTTAATCTATAGTCATTTTTGGTAGTGATGTGACAAATTTACCCCCTCCTAGTAAGCTTTGATTTCTGCCAGTTTTTGGACGAAGAATGGTGTGCGCTGCAACGAGTTAAAACTGGGGAAATAATGAGATCTCCAGGGGAGAAGGATGGTAATCACTGTGAATATCAATAATTTTCAGGAGGAACAGAAACATGCCTGGAAGTGGGATTGACTGACTAGATGAATAATCATACAATGTGTCCTGCGGTTTTAACACCAGACACAAGTTGGTGACATGGTTGGAGACATTTAAACATTGATAGAACACTTTTTTGTTCACTATTAAGATAAGAATTAGTTGGACTTTTTTGTAAACTATAAAGAACTTTGTTGGTCATCTAACAGTGTCTAACAAAGACAATGAGGAAATACAGAATTAAATAAACTAATCTGCCAGCTGACCAATATGTCACAGGTCATCATAAACAAACATTAAGTGCATAACAGACAATTAATGGAGACTTAATGTTCATCAAACACAATAAGGAGTTGTTGTTTTTTTTCAAAAGTGAGGACAGTGATGTATGGTGGTATTCAGGCCAGGGAAACATCGATGAAGATGGGAGCTCACTACGGGGTGGCTGTGATAAATGTGACATAGCCAATGATGTCATAAGTCTCACCTAATACTGCAGTAGGAACCAGAGGATCATTGGGCACTGCAGAAGGAAAGATGGTGAAGAAAAAACTCTAAAATTATTTTCTGAAACATTTCTGTCATATATGTGCCTGCTCCCCCCTTTTACAGACAGTAAAATTCATATTAAATTTGTACCTGAACCTGAAATGTTATTTCAAGAAACTTTGATAAATTATCAGTTGACAGGACATTGATGTTAATACATTTAATAGTTGCATTGGATGTATGTTAGATAAAACTTAAGATTCAGTCAAACTTTTATGGATTTTTCCACATTATTCACTGTACAATATCTTAAATAACTGAACTGTAAAATATTAGTGTGAAAGAATGGTCTTGCCTGTATGGATACTAGGAAAAAACACCTAAACGTTTTATAACTGAAATATAATTCAGACTTTAATCATACATTTGGGTAAGTATTAACTTTAAGAACCTACATCTGTTATTGTAGTTGTGAGAGTCCATGAATGTCACGGCCATGGGATCTTCTCCGTGCAGAGTGCTCTGGTCAGCATAGCTGCGATCCATTGCATTCACCATGTGTGTCATTTCCTGCCTTGTTGTTCCAATGGCGTCTTTACGTTTTTTAGCCAGTTTCCTGTAAGGATGAGATAAATATACAGTCAGGGGTCATACTACCAAATGCACAAACCTAAAGGAGCCTGCAGACATCAGCCAAACAGAAAACGTTTTTTTAACCCCAAATGAGCAAATCAGAAAAAGTTAGGATGAAAAAGAAATGCAAAAAAAGGGCTTTTATCTTTTTTTAAAAATCACTTTCTTTTTCATGTTTTGTCTCAGCAGCTCAGACGACATCATTTTTGTAATTGCGTGGGGGGAAAAAAGACGCAGTAAATCTTAAAATGCTTTATATCATCAATCTCAGAATGTTGTGTTAGTGTTTATGGAAGCAATGGCAAAACTGCAAAGTGTAAACGTTTTACTATCCTATCTCTGTTTTGCCTGTTTACAATGAAATCACTTAATTTTAATGAATTGTTCAAATCATCCTAACTTTTTCTGATTTGGGTTGTGTGAAAAACAAGGCCTTCTTTTGACTCGGGCTGGTGGCTACTGGCTGAAGATGTAGAGACTATAACCATCAAACAGGAGAAACAATAAAAAGAGATATCACAGGAAAGAAAGAGAGGAGAGAGAGAGGAGAAAGCAAGCAAGGAATATAGACAACATATAAGAGGCTCAGAAAGAGGAGAATAAGGAAACAGTATGTCAATTAAAATGAAGGGAAATAACCTTTGACCATCAGGTAGCAAGGGGAAGACCTACTATCAGTTTTGATGTCATAAAGCTGTCAGATGAAAATTCAAAATCTTTCTTTGAATTCTGCAATCAACTGTCTGAAATATTTTTCAATAATACATTAATCGCAAATTATTGAGATAATGAGAATGAACACAGTGAAAGGGATATTCGATAAAGTTAAAAATAAATTTGTATTTTGTTTTCATCTAACAGCAAAGGCACATTTAAGACAGCATTAAGGCAACAATAAGGTTATGCCAGTCCATCACCATTTACCAACCAATGGCTATCAAATGTGGAAGATTTATGTAAATGAATGTAAAGGACAAAAAGGACAGAGTTTTTGAGGGAAGACACCGTCAATACATGTTTCTTTTTTGTTTTGTTTCAATATCCCGCTTTTCTGTACAGGTTGTACATTTTAGAAAAATAGGATTGCTATCATTAGTAATAACAGCGATTTGATAATAAACATAAACTGTAAAATCAAATTAAAGGAAAGCTTGTGACACTTATGAAGCACTAAACCGAACCAAATTCTGACTGAAAGTTTACTTCCCAGTAGGGTTAAATCTTTACATATTGTTGGTAATTATTATAAATACTTGACATAACAGTGCATGCAGGAACATTGTGTATCCAGAGCCATAGATGTACATCAGTCAGAACAACAGCTGTACTCGTGAGCACAAGAAGTTATCAGTATAGCACAGTTTGAGCTACAAAACATACCTGCAACCCAAAAAAGGCTGCAGGAGGCAGTGACATCCACTGCCTTCTGACACTAAATGAATACATTTAAAAATTGTTGTAAAACTGATACAATATACAGCTCTGACTTATTCCCACTAAGCAGACATAAAGCATGCTGTTCGTGTATTTTACCTTCTGACCCCAAAACACCAACTCCACTGCTAAGACCACACACACACAGCAGAAACAATTGTAAATGCTGATAAGCTTCTGCGGTTTTTTGTGTTTTTGTGACTGCATTAGTGGTTATCTAACTTAGTATTATGAATACAGGTCATGTAGACCACTAGACGTGAATAGATAGATAGTAAAGGGACTGGGAAATAATAATTCGGAAGACAGCTTGGAATGCTTGGAAAGTAAATAATGGCTTTCAGACTGGGTTTTTTCTAACATATTTTCTATGGAATTAATGCCGAAAGAAGGATTTTAATAGATTTTTGTCCTATACGTGTTAATAATGTGCCATTAAACATCACTATCTACTCAACCAATATGCTAAATTGTGCCTGTATGCCTAAACAAGATGCTATGCTCGTATTCATAACCATTCAGTCATTTTTCAATAAAGATTTGTGAGGAAAAAGTCCCACTGCAAACGATCAATTCCAGATCCATTTCAGCATCAGTCAGTGATGAACAGTAATGGAAATTGTGAAGAACCCGCAAAAGAAGGAAAATCCCCATGAGAACTACTACACCAAATCAAATTCCCAAAAAGGAAGGCGACTTGCTCTGACACCCGTCAGGAGAGCAGAGTTTCACCATGATACCTGTGACTTGATGGGCGATGGATGACCACATGACTACATGCACACAAAGAGCTACAAGTCACAAGTGCAGCATTCTTTTTTCAAATAACACGCTAAGGCCAGCATTGTTCCACTTAGGACTGCCTTTTTTCTGGTACTTGGCTGACTTTAGCCGACATAAGCCTGCTTCAGAGCAACTTTGGAGCATGTAGAGGACACCAGGCTGAGGTCAGTTCACTAGTCCTTTTAATAAATTCTTGTTTTAGTGGTGAATAAACATTCATTTATTTAATATTAATCTTTAAAAAGTAGCCATCAGCATTCTCTTGCTAAAATCCCTTTTAACATGCCTTTTTATGTGAAAAAAACAATCTAATCCTGAACTTGCTGATATTAAAGCAAACTGATCCCCACCCTGGCAAGGTGTCAATGAGGATGGTTTTGGCTGGTTGGTCAGAGCTGAAAATGTGTTTTGTCTTGAAAAAAGTATACTGCATCTTTAAAAATAACAACAACTAGCCACTACTATTTCGTCCAATAAGATAACAGAAGCTGGGTGAGCTGGTTGTTGATTGGTTGTTTACTTACAGGTAATAAGAGTATGAATAGTAGGTCCTCCTGGGGTTGTGAGCCAATCAGAAAGCAAAAAATGAGACACAAGGGAATAGGCAAATTAGGACAATACTGTCCTGTCTCAACCAGTAACAACAAAAACAGAAGAAACACCCTTTTTTGCTAAAACTGAAGGTAAATGCAGGGGTTGCCATAACAGCTATGGGCCCTATTTCTTTTTCTCTTTTGTAAAGTAAAAACCAAAGTGTAGTGCTACTTGAACACTAGAAACAAGCTATGAATACCAGCTGTTAATATAAATGTCACTATCAATATCAACCTCTCAACATGCAGCCTTTCTCTTGTTCATTTTCGAAAACTGTTATTGAGAATTATTCATGCATTATTTTAAAGCTACATAAACTGCAAACTGATGGCCGATTAAAGATTTAGCCCTAATCTGCTAATAAGCTTATACATGTTCAGTGAAAACTGATGCAAAGCTATCCAATTTGATATACGAGGCAGCTCGCTTTCCTGTAAAGCAAGCATGATGTCATTGCAATGTCATCATGGCCCACCATTTTAAAGATGCAGTATTGTTTAGTGTAATAAAGGTTTAATGGCAATGAAGGTTGATCTCCCCAGAAACCTTTATGGAACAGAAAACTATTAAGTAACATTCTGTAACGCTCATGAGGACAACATAGGACAAAAAAAAATCTTCCATCTCATTAAAACATTCTCTGTCCTACATCACCTGTAAAAGTAATCCAAAACAGGTCAAATGACACAAATGTATCGGACTCCAAACAAACTGAAACAAAGGATGAAATACAATCTTCTATCCCAGGAGAAGCATAGCATTGCTTTGATGAAGCAAAATACCAATAGTCACAAGTACGAGACATCAAGTTTAAAATGTTGATGTTTGCTTACAATATTAAAAAACATCAAATAATGTCTTAAAATATATGTCCAAGCTGTTTAAATGTGCCTGAAACCACCATATGTCTGTATATTCTGACTTAATAAATTCTTACTTTCATGGCAGTCCCTTGTGTTTAGGCATCTGTTCATTTAATATTTCTTGCCTATAATCCAAATTCATTATTGTGAGTTGAGCCTCAAAGTGGCTACAGTTCAGCTTGACAAGCACCATGCAAAATACACCAGCTTAGGCAGAAATATGTTTCAAAACGGAGCTTCTTCCCAAAAGCTTTGAGCACAGCTCCTTTGGCTATCACTTTTAATTACACTGTCACACCAAAACTGTATCATGATGACTAGCTTACAGAAATACATTAAACCAATTAAATAAATAGGGAGGTCAGGTGGCTCAAGTCAAAATGTTGCCAACAACTGAGTTTTAATGTCTGACTCTTTTTGAATGATTAATTGAGATTGTGATTGGCTCTAATTGAGAGAATGTACTCCTTGTTGGTCTCTAAGAATTTAAAAGTGTCAAATTTGAATGTTCAGTGAATATAATGATAACCAACTAAACAAACTGATTTTGTATATCCGTCACCAATCTATCAGATATTAGGTCAGAGAAAGATTGCAATTCTTAAGGTTTTGTACATGAATTCTAAATCTGGATATATCGACTTGTATATGTGCACTTGTATATGTTAATGAGTAATGTTGTTGTTCTTGAACAAACATATATATAGTTCACAGTGGAAGTGGAAAACTTAAAGCGAAAAACCTGCCCTGTTTTCAAGGCATGCAGTAACCATAGAACTGTCATAGAAATGTTTGATTTGACTACAATGTTCATTCTTGAAAAGCAAATAATGACAGCAAAACACGGTTTAGACATGAGATTCTGGTATTTCTCTTCTCTTCTCTGCCAACAACAGGACAACCCAGAAAATAAAAAAAGTAGACATGTTCAGCTACAAAATGACACTAATGTTTGCGTGCTGCAGCTGTGGTTGGCCACCACACGGTGGAGCTCTGCACCAATGTAAGCACAGACCTACCTGTGTTGGTGGCACTGAGATCAGCTCAGATATCGCTCAATGTTATGATCCAGCAGCAGCAAAAACTTTAGAGAAAGCACATGTGTGTGTACATGCTCTTTTTGCCTCCTAAACCAACATCACTGTACCGCTTCAAAAGCCTTTGCTATTTTTCTTTTTTTCTGTTTAGGGAAAATCTCCACTGTGAGCATCAGACACACGTTTCCTCACTTTCTGCCTCTCAATGCAGAGTTTCTGCCTTTGGATGGTGTATCATGCCACTAATAAAAACTTAATTCAGTTTTGCTTCTTGACATCTTAATTAGGACTCTCTTCCATGGTTTTTTCACCATCATAAAATGCAATATTAATTATAAGAAAAATATCTGAATTTTCTCATATAAACCAAAACACCGAAATGAATTAATTTTGTAAACTATCTTTTCATTGTGCATTTGAGAATAAAAAATATTCTGGTGTCTTAAAAAGAAGATAATGGTTCTGAGGGGAGATCAATATTAATGGTGGATGGATGGAAGATGGTTTTACCGACACAAAACAATGGATTTGGGTGCACTATTGTGTCTGTGCGCTCTTTTATGTACGTGTGTTGGTGTTTTCTTTTATGTTTGCCATCTCTGTTAAACTCGCCGTGAGAGCTGTTTTCATGGGAAAAGTTAAAGAGATGTCACTCACCTCTTCTTGACCAACAGGATGGCTACCAGCACCAGGAGTATAAAAACAAGAACACCAGCACTAATTCCCGCTATTTTCACCACACGATCTGTCTGTTTGGCAGGGTCAGGGATGACTTCAGGCTCTTCTGTAGCACCTACGAATAATGAAAATGAAACAACAGTTATTACTGAAAATGAAATAACAAAAATTCCAATTCAATGTCCTTCGACGCAACGTTTATTTTTGCACTTGTGTAATAATCTGTGGAAAGCTTGAGGCAAAAAATGCTCATTTTAAACCTAAAAGAATCAAATGTTACAAATGTTCTTGTTTAAACTGGCTTGTAACTGCATGTCTTTTTTTATTTGATCTATTCATTGGAGATTACGGCACTTGATTTCATATCTATTTTATTCATTTTGTCCTCTGTGACTGTCAAAAGTGCTTAATAAATAAACTTTGTTTACTTACTAAACAAAATGCCAAATATCAAAGGTGTTATGAGCATGACATAAAAGCATTCTAAAATTGAGGTAAATATCAAGCCCCAAAGGATTAATTGTCTAGAGTCAGACAACTGCCTGTACAAATATAATTCATAAAGTTGACTACCAAGTTTATTATACAAGCAAATAGCCCCTGTATGTCAGCAAATCAACCCTGAATGGTTGATGTCTGATAATGAGAAAAAAGAGGCTGTTACTAATAGCTTATAATTTGCTCACAAATGATCAAAAGTACTTTTAATGTTAGATAGAATACATCCATAAAAACAATAATAAATCCTTTCTGCGGATGCATAAATTGTGCAAAATAAGCCAACTAATTGTGAGTTGTACTGATCCTCAGTGTGTCACTGGTGCCCTGCATTGGGTGGGCACTGTTTTAAAATGTAATTTGACGATGGCTGTCAAATGTTTCTCTACCAAATGTCACTGTATATTATTTGCAGTCAAACTCATTGCTGTTCCTGATGACTTCCGAGAGGAGACTGAGCACCCACATTTTGACTGTTTGCAGTATAACTCATCAGCGATGTTGCAGGCAGAGTGCATACCCAGTTCATCAGTGATACAAAGTCCACAGAAAAACAGATAGCATATTTTAGGCTCCTGGGCTCCACTTAGTGATTTTATAAAGCCAGAATACTTCAGAATACTGAAATGTAAGAACATTATCTTGTATTATGGTAATCCAAATAATCCAACACAAAAACATATGTGCAAAACTCAAAATAATGCAATATATCTATCAAACAATAATCCATGTTAAATGCTGAATGTCAACAAGATAAAAAATAATCCCCTTTTTTAACTACCTCATTTTGGTGTCCTATCTTTTAAAAAAATGTTTTGACATTAAAACGCGTTGTTGTTTAACAATGTTACACAGTAACATTGGACTTGGTGTCTGTAATCATATTATCTATAGGGAAAACAAATTTGATCTGTGTCTTTATTGAAATTATCTGAGAAAAATCAAATCTGCAATTAAGCAGCTTATGCCATATCAATTCATTCCTGACGGTAGCATGGAGGGTCAGTTTGACGAATAGATACAGGATGAAATTTTAAGTTTTAGGCAGCCTGTATAGCTTTTCTATAATGGGTATATTAAGCATTAAAAATGATTTATATTTCCATTACATAAAACCTACAGGTTTTGTATATGAATCCAAGACTGAAAAAACTTACAAGCTTAAAAATGTTTTGCTGGATGACAAAGAGAGGAAGCTGTCCCATGTAGTGCAAATATTAGTTTATTCATTATATGATGATGTTAGGAATGGTTTCGAGGAAATATATCTAAGTGTCCCCTCAAATATCTTCAGCTTCATAACACTTTCTTTTGATGTGTTTCAGAATAGCTGTAGAAGACCCAGAAGCAAAAAATAAAGTGAAAAAAGAAGAAACACAATAATAACAAAAAAACAAATAAACAATCTTTAAAAGCTCTTCACTCTGACCTCATAATGTCAGTAGTAGCTCTTAATGTCTGTTAAAACTATCCAGGTCAATACGCAAGCACTCACACTTATCCTTACAACCACACACACAAAACCCTGGGGCTACTATGACAATACACAATACCCCAGATGACCTAATAGGACCACCATCACTTAATCCTCCAGCCTGGATGCACGGCTCAGTGCACGCACACATGCAGAGAGACAAAAAGAAAGGAAAGGATAGTCGTTCAACCCCTCTGTCCATTAGGTGTTCATCTCTCTTTAAAAAAAAACTCAAATCCCCTCTACGGTCTTTCTGCGCCACTCAGAGCTCCTAAGGCCAGAGGGACAGGACATCAGCTTGTTTGGCAATTTTTGAGTGAACCACCCACCTGTTCTGGTAACTATCGCCAAAAGCAATTGTACAAATATGATGACTCTGGAAAGTCTCCTATTTGAACCGAAACTGTAGTAAACTTCTACCCTCAAGCCAGGGGTGAACTACACCTTTGATCTGTCCAAGGATCAGCACCCCATATCTTGGTATGACTGGTTGCACTTATATCCTTTATGAGATTCGTTGATGAGGATGCATTCGTCTTCTTACCAGTTAGCCAGTTCTTATCCACTGCCTTTTTAGCAACACCACCGACAACATCTATTGCCCTGGTTTTCTGAGAGCCTGAAGTGCTGTCCCTTGATGGTTCTTTACACAAATACTTAATATAATCAGCAAAAGTGATCTCAAAATTAATCTTTACTGCTGATTGCCCTCTAAATGATGTCTCTTTATTGAGCAGTTTAATGAGAATTTTTTGAACAAGGTCAAACAACCAAATGTGCAAAAGCAACACTCTAAATTCAGAACCGGACCAGCTAACAAGGACAGCATTTAACTACTGTGGATCTGTGTACTGGGAGGTTTAACACTGCTACACAATAGTGCTGGACTGTCAGTGTCATTTAAGACACAATATATTTTTTTCTGTTTATCCTTGTTCTGACTCAAAACAGCTAAACACTAATGCATCAGACACATTTGAACAAAAAGCTTTTAAGAAAACAGAGTGTGTGCACTGATGTGTATTTTTATGTGTGTGGATGCTTTTGTGTGGTTGCCCAAGGATTATCTCGACACCATTTCAAATCTGTATGATTATCTATCAACATATGGCTATGGGTAAAACCCCTGACATTTAGACTGTGCACATAAATATTTTGAAGGTACAAACATGACATCACTATGTTTTGTCACTCTGACAGACATATCAAATCGCAATCTCTAATACCCTTCCAACAGGAACACAACAGTTGCTGCTAAGTTTAGTTTGCACACCAGATAATGTGACCCTAACCCAGCATAAATGTAAAAGTAAAAATCTGTGTGTTTTCTTACGTTTAGCTGCCAGTCTCAGACACTGCGTCTTAGTTTCCTGTAGAAAAACACACAACCAAAATACCTCAAAAACAACACACAGCAGCATTTGAAAAGAAAAATCAAGTTAACATTCTAAACATCTAACAAAATGTGTGTTATAAGAGTGTTTTTCAACGGTATTTATGTGAACTCAATTATTTTTTTTGCAGTTCAACATATTTACACAGCAGCTAAATGGTGAGATGCACAGTTCATTGTTTGTTCATTCTATGTCTTTTCACACAAACAAAAATGTATTTACCCTCTCTGTGCTGCTAACAGCTTGAAGGTAGATGTTGTAGTTTTTCCTTGGAGCTAATGGAGGATTCCAAAAACCCTGTGGAGCAGAAGGAGAAAGATTAGTTTAGCTATTGAAAAGCTATGTTTATTGGCTGTCAGCCACTTATTAATCTTTTTTTTTTTTTTAAAAGGACACTGGCATCTAAAAGTTAGGAAAAATGTCTGGCGTTCGGAGTAAGTGCCACATAAGTTTCTGCATCCAATTTGGAAATCCCCCAATGAATGAGAAACCGCTTTCTAATATTCAATACAATCCACTAAATTATAATCCCTAATTGTTTAGCTAATTCTATTATGAATTCTTAGTCTGTCTGTTTATTTGTTGGAACAAACATCCCCAGTAATTGTAAGTGGAAAAGTTGTCATCAAAGAAATTATGATCTAAAACCTGAATATCTTATGTTAAGGTCCACTCTTAAGTTTTACAGCTGGGTACTAATCTAATTTATTTGACCCCAAAGTTGTCATGGTACTTATTTCTTGCAGGAGTTGTATTCATGCCAACAAAATATTGGTGCCACCAAAACGAAGATGAACAGTGGAGGTAGAAGTGAGTTTTATCTGCATGATGTTTGCTCAAGTTTACACCATGGCCACGCTAACAGAGTCAGAGCACAGAAGGAAGGAACCATGTAATAATAATTACTTCAAATAAGCTGCAATTAACAGATACACAGAAGTAAATAGGCCAGTCATTTTTCAGCCCGTCAACTCAAAGCTCTGTGATGCTTAAAATCTGTTTCAGGATTCAGTAAGCTTCATCATCAGACAGTCTGAATACATCAAACATGATGTCTTCACTGATATCATTACATGCCTGCTGCGTGTTTGTCATTTGAAGCACAGTTTCATGATGGATAAAGTGGTCCAGTAGTCAGCTAGCCTTCAGTGTAAGAGTCAGTACCAAGCTGCACGCAGTTGCAGGAGTAAGTTGTAAACATATTACTCTCACATATTCATTTAGGCAGATTGATGATTCCACTCACTGGCAGTTTTTACACTTCAGACCAGGTGCGCTATCAGTACTTGATGCATCTGTCCTCTCTCACCTGTGCACCTGCCTACTCTGGGGTCTGATGCCTTGCATCATCCTTCCCTTTGCCCCTCACACTTTGAATCCTAACTCCCTGTAGTAAAAGCAGTGCTCCACTTTAACCAGCTCCACATTCGACCTAAGTGTCTACTCTCCAGCTACAAGGCTGAACTGCTTTCATTGCTGACTCACTTGCTTCACTCTTAACATAGAATTTATCATGCCAACAACTGGCCTCTCTCTGCTGTTTGTTTTTGGTTCACTTGCTCTCAGAATCTTTGCCACATCATGTAATTTGGAAAAAGCACAGCTTTTAATCTCTGTGAACCTAGTCTCACTAAGTATGCATAAAACCACTTGTACTACAATGCATTATGCTACAACAACTTAACTCTATCTTAATCCCTTTTTCTGTATTCTCTGATGCTGTTAATATGTTACACAACCATATACTTCTGTATTTTAAGCCTTCTATGACTTCTATTCGATACATCTTTTCATGTGACAATGGTGAAATATGCATTAATGGTTATTTCGATAAAACACTTGCCTGATATGTCTTATTGTCTCCCACAGTAAAGGGTAGAGGTTCGGGGAGGTTACTGGGGGAAAGCTGGGCAGCATAATAATATGGAGATCCACCACTAGATGCACTATGGTAGGAAACCGGAACCTAGGAATATTACAAATATTAGAAAAAATAGGTTAATAGATTTTTATGCAGACACAAACAAACATATACATTATTTCTTAAATCAATTATGAAATATTATTTATTATATTATTTAATAAATCAAATAATCTATAATGTAAGTAAGCAAGAAAATATATAGACATCACACTTGACGCTTGTACAAAATAATCACCTCATAACAGTCAGAGGAGGCCTGGCGACGTGTCCGCTGAGGATTCACTTCCTCCACCACGATCTGGTATGCACTGCAGACAAAGACACAATGCAAGTACAATAACAATTTCTCTTTCTGTTTCATCAATCAATATCAAAGTATATGTGAAAAAGATATCTACCTTATAGGTGCTCCTTTAGCCTGAGCAGGTTTGAGCAGGACAGTGATGGTTGTTGCAGTTTCATTCAGAAAAGCCTCTGACACATCATACTCCTCTATTGTTGGAGCTAATTAGAGAGAAGTGGAAAAATCATGTAGCTATTTGAACATGATAAAGACCATCTCTGTGTAAAACAAAAGGACACATGGAAATCCCTGTTTCTACCTGAAATATTAGTAGTCACATTAAGTGTGGCCGCAGAGCCAAACCCCTTGGAGGTAGATGCACGTATAGAGAGCTGGTATGTGACACCCGGGTGGAGCTGGGAAAACATGTGGTGCGTGGCATTTGAAGGCAGAGACACAGTAAGTCCTGGTCGTTGCAGTGGAACTGAAGGGTCAAATGAGCGTATGCCACTGTAGCTAATCTGAGGGGAGAGTGGAGAAAAACTCTTTTTAATATGCATCCAAGGAGCATGTTGCTCATTTGGCTCTGACTTTCACTCCCATAACAGATAGTACCTCATATTGTATGATGACTCCATTGGGCTCTGCTGGTTCCTTCCAATAAAGACTGATTGTCTCTTCAGATGGAGTGGCTCTGAGTGACTGACTGGGAACTGGACCTGGAACTGTAAATGCATAAACAGACAAAGTCTTTCATGAACCCATCACAATTCTGTTTAAGAGCAACATATGATTTATTTATGTTGAACTGAAATGCATTTTTGAGAAGGCTAACTAGAAATAACCATGACAATTTTGTTTATGTAAAAAAAATAAAAACCACTTCAATTAGAGTCGTACCATCTTCATCAGTTTGTATAATGGTCTCATCGCTCTCTTTCCGTCCCTCTGGGTTGGTCAGAATCATCTTCAGACTGACATTAGTGTAAGGTGGTAGGTTTCCCACCAGGTGGCGTGGTGCTAAGAGGAAAAAATATAATTAAAAGTTTCTTCTCAAACAACAATTTGTTCACTGTATTAATTTTTTAATTCCCAGCTTTTGTGTGAATCCTTCCAAATTGTTTTTTTGCTTGATCAACCATGTAGAACTGCCAAATTGTCCTCTTGTGTAGATCATCAAGCCTTAAAGAAACTTAACAATGACCTAATAATTCAAACTTGGTAATAATTCCAGTGATACCTTTAGGATCCATGTCCAAGCAGTCAGCTTTGCTGCGGTTGTTTGCAGTCATGTAGTGGTAACAGATGGTTACGTTAAAAGTGTGGCAGCGAGTGATGTTGTAACCCAGAGATTCCCAGTCGACTGCAATCAATCGAGACCTGGTCTCTGCAATCTTCAGTCTCTTAGGAGTCCTCATTGGCTCTAGAGAGAAAAAGGATGAATAGAAAAATAAAATTGTAAGACATTGTTTTCTGATCTCTGTGCCCTAAAAACGCTTGTGGTGCAATCATATACTGTGAGAATGCAAGATGTTTCAACTGAATGGTGAACTGGGACCGCAGCACTGGGGAAATGCTGAATGCTATGTGAAAAAGGATTGAATCCTCAGTGAATGTGAGAACCATTTATCAACTTTGAGTTATTGAAACTCCATTGAACATGTGAAGAAAATGCCCTTTCTGTTGCCAAAATAGCTGAGAGAGTTGAGGCAGCACCAGTCCTAAAGATGAAAAACACCCATTGCTCCGTCTTTGCCATTCAACCATTTCTCAAATACAATCATTTCTACATGGAACATCTTTGGTTTCCATCTTTTACAACTATTAAGACTGTTATTGTCAATATAATCTACTCTCCCTCCTTGCTGCCCAGGGCTTTAATTACCTTAACTGGCTCATTTAACTGGATCAATAACCCCACCTCCCAAGTTCTAACACACACACACACATTCAGAGGAAAGATTACAAACACAAAACTGGGCCATTCCTCATTGGAAGTCTGCCGGTCATTTGCATAGATGTTTATTTACCACTGCTTCCTCTGTCACTCAAAAGTAAGGATCCCCTCCCATAAAGAATGACCCTCTTCAAGTTTCTGTGGCAACCTAGAAGCAAAACTTAATAATAATAGGAGCTACTATTCATTGGCAACTACTTAAGGTCAGAGGAAAACTTCTAAATCTACAACATATAACAAATTGAGCCTGTCAGCTGTTGTGGAAAACATTCTGTGATGTGATTTTTAGCCAGTGACGCAGCTCTGTGCTGCTGTATCTCGGCTTCTTGCTCTGAGGACTAGAAGGAAGAGATGTAAAAAGTAGTAGCAAACACAGATGTCAGATGACAGAGGTAATCGAACAGGAACTTATTGCACAACTAGCAGTTTCTGACACAGCTGCAGTAAAAATTATCACTGGAATCTCCAAACAAGGAAAAAACCTTCACACTGCTTCCGCCTGGAATCAGCATTTATTTATCAAACTAGCGTTTCAGCCCTCCTGGGCCAAACTCACTCTGATGAAGGCTCAGAAGGGATGAAATGTTAGTTTGATGAGCAAATGGTGATTCCCAGTAAGAGATGTGTGCAGATTTTCTATCCAGTTTGGAACATCTTTGTAAAAAAAAAAGTCAAAGAAATGTCTGTTCCCCTCAGGACCAGAAAAACTGACATTCTCTGGCTGAGTAAAAAAACCTTGAGAGAAAGTATTTTCCACATCATTTCACACAAGGCAAGAGACTATACAGCAAAGCCCTTTGTTCAGTTAAAAACTGGGAATTTAATCTAATATTGTAGATTGCTACAATAGAAACAGGTAAATCAACCAACATATAAAGTAATGCTGTGATTAATTTCATCCTGATCATGGTCTCCCAAGACCAATGTACAAGCAACTTGATGGTCTTCATCATTCTTTATCATAAATAGGGCTCAGAGTGATGCTGCATACTTTATCAACTGAAGATTCTTCCTCCTTTTACGTCAGCCTATGCATAAGACGCCCACTTCCTTACATCCGGCTAGGATTTTTTATTAAAAACAGCTCACCTTAAATAGAGACAAAAGTCTTTCACCAAACCCTCCAAGTCTTTGTCTTTGTTTTTTCTCTGGGCCCTTCTGTCTCAAAGAAGACGACACAAGGACACAAACTGGTCGTTTCTTCTGACAACCCATTATCTACCTGTCACTCACACATACTGCCACAGAAACTCATGAGTGTGCAGACTCACACTCGATTATTACCCAAGTACACACATGCGCTTTAGGTTGAGGCAAAATAAAGATTAAATCTGGGCAAGGCGTCAGAGATGAGTGTTTGTGTGTGCTCATCGCACTAACACTTCTCATAATAAGAATTTATTGTCAAGGGCAAACACAACTTTCACATACTATCCATACACAGTGAACTATAAACACAACACACACAGGGCAAAGTTTGGTAAATCATTTAGATACAGATCTAGCACCGGTAAGATGAGGATGTACAGATAGCAAATGACGAGGAAGGAAAAAAAGATAAAGAAAGAGAGGTTATGCAGGTCATTTTCTGCTGAGCAAATATTATTGCTTTAGTGTGTGTGTGTATTTGTTTGTTAATAGTAGACAGGTCAGACCAATTCATTTTGGCTTCAATCAGTTATTGGATGGTTGACATTTAAATAGAGAAAGTGGGAGACCCTCTCCTTGTATGCCTGTCTCTCCCTTTTTTCTTACTCTTTCTCATTTGTCTCAGTCCTTTCTCCCTGCCTGTTCAAATCAATATCTGTGATCCTCCCCATAAACTTCACCATTGGAACAGACACACACATGCACACACACACATTGGGCAATGTAATAAATAGTATTGATTTCAGGGTCTCTTGATGCCTGCACTGCTTCACTGTGAGATGATCTTCAACAAGGAATTAAAACAAAATATATGGCTGGGTGCCTGTCCCTCACACACCTTTGTTCAAATACACACATACTCACACACAAAGCTGTGTTTCAAGCACTTCAGTCAGCATTACATTAATTTACGGAGACTTACTATTACCATGACCGTTATTATCCTAACTACTTGGCTACTCCAAACCTTTAACTGTCAAATATACAAAAGGGGGGTCTTGACAATTTGACCGTGTAAATAGATTTATGTATCCACACACACAACTACCATTTCAGAACCTCATCCCCCTCCTGACCCACAATGCACAGCTGCTTATCTGTTTACACGGTCAGATAGGCAAAGAAAGGTAGGCAAATAAAGAAAAAATAAAAAGAAGAGGAACAGCACAGACATCCAATAAGGAGAGTGCAAAAACAGTGCAATGCATGAAAAAATTAAGCTGCATCTGGAGGGAGCAAGGGACAGATAAAGGGAGCAGAGAAAGATGAGAGAGGGGAAGAGAGCGACAAAGAGGTGGAACGGGTAGAAACGATAACTAGTTTGGAAAGTGGCCAGAGTCAAACGGGACCAAGTCCAAAGACAAACCACAGAGCCTGCCTTGTCCCTTTCCCCTCCTCCGGTACACTGACAAATGGCTGGATTCATGTTGAAACTAAAAGGCTTTGTTCTTCACAGATGGAGCTTTGAAAACAACAACAATACCAATAAGCACCAACAATAACACCAAGGACAGAAAGCTTCATATCAGCAGAATCCAGAGGTTGGAATTAAAGAATGGAAAACAAAAGGAGGGGAAATAAACTAAATTAAACACGGCTGTGCTGAACACAACCATGTTTCTCAACATGAATCACTAAAAGAGCAAGTAAATAAACAGCTATACTGTAAAAGCATAAAGAGAGGAAAGGGGAGATTAAAAACAGCACAGAGGAGAAAGAGGGAAAGGATAGGATGGGGTGAAATAGAAAAGAGAGCCAGGAGATGCAGCTAAACCCAGGTTAATCTGTCCAATTAGTTCCTCGTAATCCTTCCTCTGTCATGAAGAAGACAATTGAAACTCACTCCATTCATGCAGTCTCTACTTCTTTACATTGCAACTCTCTATATCTTTGAAGGACAAATTTAAGAGAAGAAAAGGGAATTTTGCCCTGCACTGTATTTTCAATGTGCACCTGCAAGTCACAAGCAATGCGGTTCTGATGTGACTCTGCGAAAGCTAATTACAAAAGAGGCAGCTAATCCAAAGGCCTCGTTCAAGGGTATTTTCTTCACACAGACTGCACAAAATAGATTGGCAGTTCAACCAAGTAGTGGAGTTTCTACAGCAACTTTTCCAGAAAATTTCTTTTTCAGTAGAGAAAAAGTAAGACCGTATTATCTGTTGCCTTCTGAAATTTTGTCTTCAGTATCTCATTGTCAAACACAACATACAATATCGAATCCCTAACAGTAATATTAGAACAATGTCCAAAAATCAATTGTCTGATCATTTTTAAACTCGTTCATAAGTGCCACAATGTTGGCTGCTGTGTGCAAGGGTAAGGTTAACATGCAGTATATTGTGTGAGCTTTTAACAAAATACGTGCTTGTGTATCTGGAAATGTGTATTGTGTGATATTTTTCCTCTATAAATCCATGCGGTGCTGAGTTTGTGCAACATAAATGAAATACTAGGACACTCTTGGGTTGTGATGGCATGCCTACACATTTCTGTCCGTGTGTTTCTCCTGTGTGTGTGCATTTGTCTGCATCCCTATAGTGTGTGTGTGTGTTTGTGTGTGTGTGTGCGTGCCTGTGTGCGTGCGTGCGTCTAACCTGCCATGACCAAGAGGTTTCAGCAGAAAATTCAGGATTTGGATTAAAAGCTACTTCATCACCTTCTTCGGTGACATGCACACACGCACACATACACAAGCTCACACTCACTACTCTTCACTTCAAGTTGATTATTTTTCACCCTTCAGACAAGAGCAATACATCACCACAGAGGAAAAATCAAGAAAAAGCCAGGGTGTAGAGACAGACTAGGCATGAGAAAAAAGTAGAGACAGAAAGCAAAAACTGGAAAGCAAGAAATGAACATAAATGTGAGAAGAAAAGAATGAGGGAGAAGAAAAGATTAAATCCTTCCTGTTATCATATCAACTGCTCAGTAGAGTGTGTGATGTCTTCCCAGGATTTTATTAACTTTATTGGTTTTTAATTAAATAGTGTTTCATGCTGTGGCACTCTGAGGCTTGTGCTTGACGTCAGTGCATAGGTTCGCTTGTGTGCGTGTGCATCCATGACTTTATTATACTATGCTTAAGTGAATATTCAGTAAACTACAGGTGGCAGGATCATACTGACCCAACCAAACAGAAAAAGTAAAGGAATCATTACCATTTAAATAACATTTTTACCCCATGTCTGCGTGTGTCTTATTCTCCAAGCAAACACAAACACACTCAGTCCAACTCCAAGGGTGTGTGTGCATTTGCATGTCTGACTGTGGCAACGGAAGCAGGAACAAAAATGAAGATATCACAATAATATAAACATAGTCAGAATAGAAAAACAACAATAGCATCATTACTAACTAATATCTCCGAAAGATTTTACACATATATGTAAAACAATGCAAATGGCCTAATCAATGCGGTATTCCATGGAGTAACTGTACACTCAACAAATGTAAGTCCATACCAGGGGTGATTTTTCTGTTTGCTGCAGATTGCTCAGATAAACAGCCATATTTACTAAAAGGGTTTTCAAGCTAAAACTGCATTGGTGGGTTGACATGTTTCGATTATATTCAGTCTTTGGTAGTAAGTCTACAGACAGACTGCAGAATCACTCGGCCTTGTCAGACTCAGAACAAAAACTATACTGTACACTACACAGTCCCAAGCTAACATTTATTTTTTAAATTGTCAAAAAGTAGGGAAAAGTTCAGATATTGAGTTGATTTTATTCACATGCGTTTTTATTTTATTCTGTTATCAGTATATTACACAGATTTTAATGAGTTGAGGTTTTCCAGCTTCAATGAGGAGAAGATTAATTTCCTTTTCCTGTCAAACAGGAAACCATTCAATACGCGGGTCGCCCAAACAAGTCGATGAATTCCTCTCTGTTAATAAACACAAGCATACACACCAGCTCACACAAACAGATCCTTTCGCGCACACACTCGAGCACACACAGGTTGGCAGACATCAGTCAGCCCCTGTGGTTATGAGTTTTCATCTCTTTCATTTTCATTCTCCAGTTTCATCATTCTCTCGCCTCCTGCGCTCTCTTGCCCCGCTCCTATTCTCTCTTCTCTTTCTTTTCCAGCCTTATTGTTTTTTATCGTTTCTCCATTGCTCTCTTATTCTGTTTCTCATTCAAGCTCATTGCTTTTATTTCTGTCTCTTTCTCTTTCATATCAAGCTTTTTTTCACTAGCGCCGTCTCTCTCCCTTAGGCTAGCTGTGTTTATATTTCAGTCGTTTATTTCTACAAATGTCAGACAGTGTTTCTGCCCTCCGTCTATTGATCCACAGAGAGCGAAAGAGACAGGGAGGGAGAAGCAGGGTGAAAGGGGGAAAGCCAGTGACTTGGAATGAAGCAGAGAGAAAGATAGAGGGAGGAGTTGAAGATATGAAAGAAAAGTGAAAAAGAAGGGCTGGGGTGAGAGAAGTAAAGACGAGCAGGAAAAAAGTAATAAATGGTTCCCAGATCACCGAGCAACCAAAGACTGACTCAGGTTCTGCCTGTCTTTCCTTTGATACACTTTTCCTAAGCGCACCTGCTCATGGCAGACTTCGGAGAGGTGTATTGTAGTTGTTATTATATCAACTATAATACAGACACCAAGAAAAAACAGTCAATGGACAGATCGATAAATAACTGGAGGAAAACTATGTGCACTGGAGAATCTCTGCTTAGCTAATTTTTCTGGGTGGATGGGCTTTTTCTGCCACTAAGCTTTGCAAAACCGTTGATGTCCTACCTGCACATTTGGTTCTGGTGATCAGTGGTGGTCCAGCTTTCCCTGTCCCTCCCTCTCCTGGTCTGGTCAGTAACACCCTGATCTCATACTCTGTGTCCGGGTCCAGGTGCCATAGCTTGTAGTTGGGAGAATTCACGGCGTGAGTCTCAATCCAGCTGCCTGATGTCATACGGTACTCAACCTAAAAGAAATGTCGTTGAAGACAAATCTCAGCCTCTGCAATATTTTCACATAATGGTCCTACAATGCATCCAGTGTTTCATACAGAACAGACCTCTTTCAATATGATAGGTCCATCCCCGAAGATAGAATTAGCGTTGAGTTGAATTAGAAGGTATGTCGGGCCAACACCCAGCAGCTGAGGAGGGGCAATGGGATGTGGTGGCTCTGTGGAGAGAAAATGGAGACATAAAAATCTAGTTTAAAAGTACAATGCGGATTAAAAGAGACAAACGAAAGTAACAACACACAAGACCAGAGAAATTGGTTTAGCCGTTGTTGGTTTAACCGCTCAAACGAAGGCTAAACGGAGAAAAGTTTTGCTTTCAGATTTTATGTTCTTACTTATGTTCGTATTTTTAACATTTCTGATGTTTTTGAGCAGATTTAATAGCAACCTTTTCACAGTGCTGAGGGACTCAGAGCCCAGAGGTAATGATCAGCTTCTACTCTCATTAGGTTTAGTGTACTGAAGACATGGATCGTGAACTCTAAATGCCCATCTAATCATTCTTGCCACTAAGTCGCATATAAATCAATCAACATCGTCTGCCAACTTAAACATAAATGTGACTGATGTGTGGTGGCTCACATTAAGATAGCACATAAAGTACAAAGAGTTGACGCAGTAAGACCTGGACATGTTCCTCCCTACTCTCCTCTCCTCTGTTATTACCAACAAAACACTGCCAAATGCACACAGTGAATCAAGCATTCATCTCCTCGGCGACTGCAAACATAGATTAATTCATTCATTAATCTTGGTCTACATACATACATACACACTTGGAATATGATCTTCCTGACATACTGTAAATCATATCGATTTATGTGACAAGAGTGACAACACTGACAACAGTGATTTTTTAATTCTTTTTTATTTTTCATTTTGCTTGCCTCAGTATCAAAGTGAGCACTGTATTCTGGATGAATTATGTGTGCCTCTATATCGCTATTTATTTTTGCTCCAATAGTTTTTGTTTACCAAGCTGTCACCACTTTTTTACTTTGTGTGCGCTTGTGTGTGGCATTTTTGTGTGTTGCATACGACTGCCTTAGAGGTTCACGCTGGGAAGTCTTTTTAAGCAACAGATGAAACAGGGAAGTTTGACAGCACGTGCACACGTGCAAACACATGCACGCACACACCCTGGTGCTGAATCCAGATAATGAACGTTGAAGTGACTTCACACAACTAAGAGTGTGACAACTCGTAATACTATCAAATAAGAAAAGTAAACAACTTGATGACTGAGAGGCAGATGAAGAAATAAAGTGAAGCCTCATGGATGTATTTTACAGTATTAAAAGAATGAGTTTTGGCTGCTCATGTGCTATCCTTGTTTGGAATTGTAGTAAATGTGTAAAATAAACACAAATGTAACAGTGACTAAAATAACTGGGTCAATATGTGACTCCAGAGAAAATACAAGAGCTGAAATGAGTTCACAGTTTATAGTTGTTGTTTTTTTTTCTGTTTGCCTTCACTTGTCATTTGTGCATTTGACCTAAAAACATAACAGAATATCAGTGGTGTTATTGCGTTTTTTTTTGTGGTAAGTTTTTTGTCTCTATCTTTTTTATTATTAATCGCATGTGTGAAACCTCTCGGGTCTTTTCCAATAGTTTTTGGGTCAAATGTAAATTATAATAACGGAACAAATCAACGTCGGGAAAACTTCAAAGTTCCATTTTGACCTAAAACATGTGTATGATTAATTCAATTTAAGTATCTTCAATAAAAATGGTTTTTGGTGGATTTGCTAATACAAGTTTATAAAGCATTGAATAAACATCAAAATAGAGATGGTTGAGCGACATGAAAAAAGACGAGGGGAAAGAAGGCATACAGAAATTTCACTGGCCAGCACCCACTAGGCATGTTCTTCTTTGTTGACCAGCGTCAGCAACCTTGTCAATAAAAGTTTAGCTTTCCCAAACCACTGCTGACATCACCAGGGAACTGCCTAGAGGACATCTGACCACACAGAAGTGTGTAAGCATGCGTGCATTTTAGTTGCAACAACAGCTAACAGTGAAAGTAGGTTTTCTGTTATGCCTGAAGGCCCACCTGTCATTATTGCTTAAGTGTGTGTGCGTGCTTGCACACATGATAGGTTAAAAAGGAGAAAGGGACATTTTAAAGGGGACTTTTATATTTTGACGACAGCTGTATGAATTCAAGTTGGCTGTGTGTTTGCATAAGACTGATACTTTTGTTTGTTTGCGTTCATGTGTATGACAGTAATATTGCAGGAGATTTCTAGGCCATTGGTCGTGTGTAATTCATGCTGGCATGCTGATGTGTGTGTGTGAGCATGCAAGTGTGCGTAAGATACGAGCTGGCGTGATGATGCACTCTGTCACCATAGGAACCAGAGGGCACAGTTTTATTAGAGCTTCCATCTGACCAAACTACAAGTGACACACAAGCGCATACACACTCAGATACTCAGTGGAACTCTCTTATACTTCTCATGTTGTTTATCTACAGTAAAACCTGTAATGGCAGAGCTGCTGCTTGCCATTATCCATCCATCCAGTATGGAAACGTAAGGTTGCTGAACTTTAGTCAAAACTGAAATATTGTTAACTTATTTGTTTTAAAACTGGAAAATGGAAATTGATCCTATTTGCAAAACTGTGCACTTACTGTTAAGAACCATACTTTCAATGACTAAGAAATCTAATTATGTGAGATGGACTGCAAGATCTACCCTGTGTAATGACAAACTGCTCCATTTAGATAGTTGGTGTAATTCTTTTGCATACAAATACTAATGATTAAATTAGTTCAAATGAATGCTTGGGAATTTTTTAATTCTGTGTTTAGAGCACAATCTATGTGCAAGAATCATTTCGAAATTCCATGTTACACCTCTGCTGTTGCTCTGTCACCCATCAGCCTTCAAAATGTGTTTTCCCTCTCTGATCTTGACAGCTTCAGAACATGATGGTGGCCCATCTTTGTCATCTACATGTTATAAATATCAATAGACTATGCCTGCAAGTATCTGCACCCAGGCAATCTCCCAGCGGACCACTTTTCAGGCTTTGAAGATTGAAACCTGGCTAAGAGTCTCTTTGCCAAACATTTCAAATGTATACCATTCATTTTTTGGCATATAGCTGTGTTTTTTTCCCTCAAATTTCCCTGTTCATCATATCCCGATCAAATCATGATTCCTACAGCAATATCCTTTTCTGCAACGTTTTCCCTCTTGCTTCAATCTCTTCATAAATAAATACTGAAGGGTAAAATATTCAGAGGAAAAAAAATTACTGATGCAGCTAACTCTGTCCATATTCATGGCCATCAATGTCCTGCTGGAGCCTCAAATCTCTAACATGCATACTTTTCAAGAAGTATAATAAACACATTTTGGTTTTCTTTGATTTATATCTGGCTCTCAGCTCCCATCTGATATCTCTAATAAATAAACATGAGGCTTCTCTCTTTCAGCATGCATACATGCAGCCCTTATTCTTTCATTGTGACTTTCTAATAACAAGATCCAAAATCAATATTCATAATAGTCAATATAGGTTAATGTTCTAAAATTATATTTGGTGTTCGTACTTCTTAGAGATGGCAATCAAACAAACTGCTCTGCACTCAATGGATCTGACAGAACCTAGTATATTTTATGTTTGTAGCTTGGATATCTATTCATGTTTAGACACATGTCTACTGCTGTGTAGTTTCCTCATCTCTCTCCTCCTTACTTTTTCATATTCCAAAAAAGATGTTTCCAATAAATAAACATTAGCCACTTATGTATTCTTACTAAATCAGCAAGATCCATCTGAAAAAGTGCATTTCTAAAACTGATGGACTTTCTTGAGCAAAAGAAAAACAAATTGGTTCATTTCCAGATGCATTGATGAGGTCAAGTGACACAGACAGCTGAACCCCACAATGGCACAGTGTAAACGCTCCATTATGTGATGCCTCATTTAATATTCATATTCATAGCACTTTGAATTCTCATTTTTTTCTCCTCTGTAATCTCTATGCAGAATAATAAACATGACTGGGCTCTGCTGTTTACATATTCAGACATATTCTGATATGGATATTCCTTGAATAATGAGCTGACTATTTACATTTAACTTTTCTCCCAACATCTCCACTCTTCTCTTTGTCTCTATCTCCCATTTTCCCCCTTCTTTTCTGTCACATCCATATCATTCTCTCCAAATATCTTTTTTTCCCCCTCTCTCTCTGCCCTGCTATTCTGTCTCTCCCTAGGAGATGAATTGAATATGTAAGCTATTGGATGTGAATGAATAAAGCATCCCATCTCAAACACACATTGGTGACACCTTATTAACCACATGTCAGATGCACATGACAGCTGGAGTACACACACACACACACACACAGTTTCCATTCACATACACTCACATGCAGCCTATGCCATTGGCATACAGACAACAATGGAGCAAACTCAAATAAGCACCCACACAAGCAGACAAAGCACACACACGTTCACCCACAAGACTGGCAGACACACATCTACACTACACTCACACATGAGCCTCCTCATTAGTTCAAATTATGTCGTGGGCTTACATTAAATCAATTAGACACAGTATATGCAGATTTGAAGTTTAAAAAATACAAACCTTTCATAAATGGGTCAGAAAATCTTGAGAGGAAAATAGTAAAGACTCAAATGAATTTTAAAACTAACCTTTAACAAAAATGTATAGTGTCTGTGAATTCACTCACACTTCACTTCACACTTTCTAAAGCAGGGGTCTAGCAGCAAAATATTAACATTGATAAAGAGGATTATGTTGGGTTATTCCAAAATTAACTGCCGGTTAGATATATCAATGACAGTGACTCAGATGTTCTTTTCTTTGCTCTCTACTTCAAACAGCAAAAAAAAAGATAAAAAAGAATAAACAAAGCATATAGAATTTGTACTTTCTATGTATGACTATGATGATTAAATCATGCACACTTATAAACTGTGTGAGTTTAGGGAATATAATAATAATCTTGTAAGAGTTTAAGAAAATGTCTGCAGGACTTCACTGATTCGGCAAAAAGGTTGTTGGTGCAGAATTTAAGGTTGGAATAATTGAAAACAGGAGACATAGTATGTATAAAAACAGTAACACCATAAAACAGCCAGCGGATGCAAAAAATATTAAACATAGCCTGAAGTAATCTGCAGAAAATGAACTGTGAAATCATAAAATGAAACAGGATGCAATGCTACAACCCACACGACTGATAGCAAATCAATCAAATAACCTCAAAATATTCTCACCTCTGACGATAAGACCTGCAAAGTTAGACACCCCAGAGCCACGCTCTGACTGGGTGACACAGCGATACAGATCTTGATCCTGATTAGTGACTTCTTTGAGATGGAAAGAGGCAGCGAACCGTCTGTGGTTGATGTTTTTGGTCAGAGCCACGGGAATATCTTCACCATTCCTCCTCTAAATAACAAACAGAAAACACACAGTCAAATCTGATGCTGCAATGCCTGCCGAGGGTTCACTGCCTTGCTCAAGGTCAAACGTCAGCAAGGGACCACATACACTAATGTGTAGACACACAACCCCCCCCCCCCCCACCCCCCCATTAATGACAGCAGGTTTGAAGGTCACAACTACAAAAGAGCCATAATGAAATCAGCAGCTATTAAACTCTTAATCATGTTTCCTACTGGATATGGCCTAGAGTTGAACAGAGTGTGTGTGTGTGTGTGTCTGTGTGTGTCTTTGTATGTGAGTAACATAATTAGACGTACCAGTCCTAAGAGTGAACTGTTTGATTTCTGTGTGTCAATTGTTTCTGTTCCTATTTGCAGTAGATATTTGACTAACTTTAAGGGACGTTTTTTAAAGATAGCGTAGTCTCATATAAAACGGCTGGTATACTCAGATTTCAAAAATGTTTTGTGTAACCGTATGATGATGTCAAAAAAAGAAAAAGACTGCACCTGTAACCACAGTTTATTGTTGGAGGTGTCTCTTCCTGTAGCAATACACTGAAAAGTGGCATTTTGTCCAGCATTCACTTCCACGTCTCCAAGGCGCAGAAAATGAGGAGATTTATCTGCAAAAAAGCGTTAAAAAAAGATTAAATACATATTAATTTGTTTTTAAACTGTAAACACTGTATACATTTCAAGATCTTGTGTTACTATAACGAATTTGTATAAATAATTGTAATTTTATGAACATCAGAACAAAAAAGCGAAATAGTGTACCAACGTCATGTATAAATCTAAGTAATTCCAATAGGTCGTATTTCTAATTACCATCTCAAGTTATTTAATGAGCAGTTTAGACACAAAGATGCAGCTCAGTGAGAACATTTTTATCAGGTATTGCAATAACAGAAACTCCTATAGTGAAACAAAACACACAAACAAACACACACATATTCATGCAATGTACACACATACTTACACACGCACACTCACACACACAAACCTGCGTCCTGAAATGCAGCTGTGAGAATGAATGCTTCCACTGTGGAGGCCAACTACTAATTCCTTCTCAAATAGTTGTTTCTTCTGAATAAGAGTCTTGGTGTTCTGCCTTTGAGGTACTGAAGATCCTGGTCTTTTAATATTTTCTGTGATTTTTATAGGTCTGAGAGTGTGATTTACCATACTAAGGTCCTCTCATAAATAACAGTGGCTATAGGGATAACAAAACCACCAAAACTGAAGAGATTGGGATGCCAGGCAGCTTATTTCCTCTGACTTTTAATCAGTGGAATTCGTTAAGAAACAACTCTCCAGAAATATTTCAGTCCTGCTGGACAAATCACCTAAGTTGATTTTTCTGATGTAAGGAACCCCCTGGAGCACACTGATAAGTTCTAGATTTAAATGAACAGACCCCTCCGTTAACAGTATCAGTTTGTCGTCATGACTCTTTTGTCCTTCTTTCAGTGAGAAAACACTCAAGCAAAGTAGAGAAGAAGACTTGAGATGTAGCAAGAATTTAAAATGGATCGCAGCCTTCCTCTTTTTCCTGTCAGTGAGGAGACAAGACAGCTACTGTTCACTCTGTATGTGTGTCTGTGCAACTGTGTGCACTTGGGGGTTAAAGGGATAGAGAAATGCTGAGTGGTCAGAATCTTCTCTCTCCATGATTGCCCTAATACTGTCTCATTTCCCGCTTCACTCTCTCCTCTTTCCTCCTTCTCTCTGCTTTTCCTCCTCACAATCTTCTGGTTTTTATTTCTTTAATTTTTCTCTACGACTTGTCTTTCTTCTCCTGCAGCAGCCATCCTTTCCCGTGTCACCTTCCCACTTATCTAACCATTCAGCTGCAACAGAAGCCATCCCAGGTACAGTCTAATTAGTGGCCAAAGCTATCAGCCTCTATTCAGCGAACTAGGACTAATTGCTGGCATGATAATGACTCACCGCATGGGTAGCTGAGCACCTGAATGTCATCTATGGCAATGAAGCCGGCTTTGCTGTCCGAAACTTCTGCTTCAAATATAACCTGGGGAAAGAGAGAAGATTTACTTTTAACTGTCTTCATTATAATTTTATATTATGTACAGATTTAAACAGTTTCACAGAGAATAGGAAGTTGTTAACTTGTGCAAAACCACCAGTGGAAAAACATGTATTCTAATATGCTTTGTTCTAGAAAGAGAATCAGAGAGTATGCAGTTCTGTTTGATAAATTGAATTTTAAATGTCTTTTTTATTTCAAAATCTCTGCAGAATGTTTGGTGCATGTTTCACCAAATAATGCAGAAGAAGAAATAGAAGGGATCATTGGACGTAAAGCGACTTCCTTTTGTCATGCTAAAATTATTTTAATCTGTGGAATAAAAACAGCAAAAAAAGTCCTGAATGCTGTTTTAGTACACAATTCAAATAACCATCAAGTGTGGTTTGTAGGTTAAACAGAATTAGCAAAAATACATTTTTCTGTATTATTACTAAAGCTGTTTAGATGCCATTTAAATTTGCCGTCAAGGTGAATGATCCAATCATGGGGCAGTCAGTGACAGCTGCTGGTGAAGTGCAGAAAACTGGATGAATACAAACCCTCCATTCTCCCTGCTGCTGGTGGATTTTAACATTCAAGGCGACATGAAGGATAAATGGTATACTTCCTGTTGGATCATAGTAATCTCCTTTAGTACACATAAAATGGGCGCCACAAAAATAGTGACACTTGTAATGACACTCGGTTAGATAAGACAGAATATGTTTGTTTGTCATCACCATGCCTTTCTGTCTCTTTTCCTCTCTGCTTACCATTTAATCTTCTTTTGACTTTTGCCTTCTATTTGAGCCTTCAACTTGAGAATATATTTTGTGTGCACTGGTTTATAACAGTGTATGTGTGTGTGTTAATGAGTGGATAATAAACTCACAGTTTATCTAATGTCAATTCTGTGTGTGTAGCCACTCAAATAGCTGATTGAAATTTAATACACCAACCTACCAAAACACTCTGCTGGCAAACTAATATAGAAAGGCCCATTCTTAAGCTTGAGTTTGTCCTTACAAAGAAAGAGGGAGATAAGCCTCCAAAGGTAAGATATGATTTTCATACTGTATCTCTGCCAAAAGATATTCATAAAGACCCACTTGACCTTTAAAAGTTATGATGTGCTTGTTGTATAAAACAAATTCAAGGACAGTAAAGTAGGTTTTGTGATTGTTTAGATGTTTATATAAATGTTGAAAATAAATCATTAAAATTTGTGGTCATGTTGTTGGCGTGGGTGTTATTAATGGCATTTTTTTGTATTAACTGTCAATTAAATTATTACAAAATAACATACCGTATGTCATAATTTCAAAATCTTTAGGAAATTGGTCTAAATGTGACATGGAGTGCCGGATGAAAGACTCTAAGTCATTGGAATCAACCAGTCGTACTTGTTTGAGCCATCTGGAAAAAAAGCTAGATTTTTCTACTCCAGCTTATACATGTTAAGCTGATTACTGTGCCCAAGGGCTTCCCGAGCCAGATACTCCACTGATAGGCTGCTTCGGATTACAATGGGTGGCCACAAAAAAAGGAAAAGGAAAAAACAATGCGTAAAAGCATATTGTGAGTTAATCTGATCTGTGCAAGCATACTGAAGGAGGAGAATAACCAATCAAGCTCACAACCAACTAACACTAAACAAAATTATCAAGTTTTAAAGCAAGTGGTGCTTCAATTCCACTCCAGTTCATTAACTAAGGATCTGAATAAAGATGATTCTCCTCATCACCAACTCTTCTCCAATCCCCTCTCACCGTCCATTTGACTCTTTATTGTTCCATCAAGATCTCTTTCAAGCCATTTCCCCACTCTAATTCCTCTTTCTTTGTGTCTCGCTTGCCATCTCATTTCTAACACTGTTTACTCAAAAAGGAGACCTGCAATGAACCAAGGATAGGAGGTAGTCATCAAAAAGAGAGGCAAAGGGAGAAAGAGAGTGAAGTGCTGAGCAGTTGTTGTCATTCATCACCTGTAAATGGAAATCTGCCATGAACTGTTTACCCATAACTTATCATCTCCTGCTTGTCACACTCTCCTCTCTAGGTCTCTCTCGCTTTCCAATCTCTCTTGTCTCTCTTCTTCATCATCCTTCACTCATAGCTCTCACTGGAGCACAACAGAGAGACAATAGCTGACTTTTAACACCTTCATCTTTGTCTCTCTAATTCCCAGTTCACTTGGTTGCATGATTCTCAGGTGAAATAATATTTGCTTGTAATATGTTTACCTTTTTTACTGTTCCCTCTTTTTTGTATGAATTACATGTTAAAATTCAATATGATACAAACAACTTTCTTAAGTCTGATTCAACGAGACTTTTACAAAAGCTAGACTTAGAAAAGATGTTACAGGGAGAACTTGAAGTAAGTCCAAGTCACGAATCTTTGTGCCTATCAGGTCCATGAGTTTGGTCAGATATTGATGTGGGTACTGTGGGAGCTTTTTAGGTGGGGTGGCTTATGACTGTCTCCTTGTCAATCTACCATTTATATGAAAAAAATAATGTTTAATCATTATTTTGAACATATGTATCATGACATTGAATGTAATCTGAAATATATTGCTTTTTTACTGCAAATATCGTAAGTTGTTTTGGTTGACAGTAAACCATAACAGAAGGATAACTACACAAGGCTTGGTTGTCTAAGTCTAATCTTCTGAGTTTCAAATAGCTCAAAAGTTTAGATATGAATCTACAGTTGTTTTTGTTTCTGGAGAAATCTTTTGGCAAAAGTATGTCATGTATCACTACTCTCAGACAACTCAAGTCTGAATGTTTTAAATTTATGGCTGTGATAGTGATCTTGTATTCCCGTGTGTAGAACTAGATTGAATTCTATAGTGCCTGGGGTCACTTGGATGCAACCCATTGATTACTTCACCAGATTTTAAAATTTTGATAATCAACAGTGAGACTCTTTAAATTTTGTCTGTTATGGAAGATATGGTGGTCACCTTTGATCATACAGGATCCAAATGCCCACAGAAAGGCTGATCTGATCATTTTGAGGCAAGATTATTGATAGCATGTGTTTACAAGTTCAGACACAAGCAAAAGTACTCTGAAAATCTGATGGAAAAGACCTGACATATCACTGTAGAGCAGGGCTGGGCGATAGCATACATCCTCTTATCATCCAGCCGCATTTATCACTTTGATGTATGCGTGTATGGGCACTGAAGGAAAAATATTCAAAGCTTCAGGGAGGAGAGAGTTTCCTATGTTATAGTCTGAATACTAATAAATGCAAATTTGGTTTAGGGCAACTCCTGTCTTTCTCTATATAAATGCCTTAATAGTAACCAGGACTATATTTCATATATACTCCAGTGACAAAAAATAGAAAAGAGAATTCTGGAAATGGTATACAAAGCTGTTATACAAGCCACAAACAACTATACAAAAGGAAAAATGGTTTTAAGTTTTCATCAAGTTGTATATGTCATGAATCTATGTAATAATTATTGAATAATGTTTGAATGTATTGTCTAATAGATGTACAATTCTGTTTAAGGTCCACATATTTAAAACTACTTTTTAAAAGTATCTGTCCACATGCAATTAGGATTATTTAAGTTTAGGAAAAAAAATGAAATATGTTCCGGAGATGTCAAAGAACAGATGAAAGTGTAATTTTAAACAAACATTCGTGGAGTTTTATGCAAAATATATTTGCTTTATCATTAAGTTAAATGTATCATCGCATTTAGGGTCTAACAGTTGATGAAGTAAAAATAAAGACCTCTTTAGATGTAAAAACAAACAGAAGTCAAACTTTTCCTACGTCCTAATATACAAAAAGAACCAATGTCCTTATCCAAGAATCATGGAACAGCACAGATTTTGTGAGATATCTTAACTGAAAACAGGATTTCATCATGAGAAAATAATTGCTGTTTCAGCCTGAACAAAAAGTGGTCCAATAGACTGTAAAGTAATGAAAGCCACGTAACTTTATGTAGTCTTGATTCAAAAAGTAATAAGTGCAGCATCTGCACAGTATAGACTGAAAAAACTTTATGTAGATGTGTGTTTTGTGTTAAGCTTTTCTCATCAGTGTGTTTGCAGAATGTCTACATATGAAAAGTCTTCCCCTGGAGAAACCAGGCTCATTACAACTCAAGTTAAAGTGCTAACACAGAAACATGTTCAAACTTGACAAAATAGCTTCATAACCTCAAATCCAATAACCAGCTTCACAGCCTAAAAAAGACAAAGACATACATATGCCTCACCAAACAAGGAAGATTATGTTCAATTAAAACATGTTGACACACGAGTTTCAAGCTGGTGAGCTCCTCCCACAGACACTAAGAGAGACGGGGTTCCAGATGGGCCATTTGGAGGAAGCTTTCACACTTACCCTTATAGTAGTATAACATGGTCCCCTGGCTGTGTGTGTTAACATAATCTGTGTGAATGCCTGCGAGAACGGACTAGCCTGAAACATGCACACATCTGTCTACACCAGCCACCAAACACTCACACTGACATAAATTATCAAACGAGACAAAAATCCACCCAAGTTTGTTATAATGCATCCTACATATTTCTTTGTGGATCTAATTAGGTTCAGTCTAAGGTAAGACAGCTGTTTATTAGAAGCACATAATCAAGACATTAAAGCGTTGAAAACAATGTCAGACATCTCGGTGTCCAAGGCAGCAACATACCCAGATGCACAAAATCACACAAATACACACACATCCTTGCCTAATCGTCACCTCCTGAGCATCAGTCAACACAAATAAATCAAGAGTTTGCCTCACAGCATGCATGTGTTTGTATTTTGTGTGCGATGTGTGTATTCATATCAACACAACTGAAGTGAGTCATTAGTCATTAATTGACATAGCTTTTGCTCGTAACTAAGGGATTCACCTGATATTCATTAGGCCAGAAGGTAGACACGGCAAGTTCAGCTTTCAGCCAATCTTTACCTGAAAAAAAAAAACGAGTTAACGTCAGAAAAAACAGATCAGATTGAGTGAATGAAATAATTCTGAAAGAAGATTTAGGCAGAATTACCAGTATAAGTAGTCACGTTCCATATGGGGTTTGCCAAAGGACCCTTGTTTACCTAAAGATAATGCAGAGAATAATATGACATTTCTGATTCACAAAACAGCTTTCACTAAATTGACTTCTTTTTACAGAGATAGGCCCTTTCAACTAGGATAGTAGGGGTTTTCTCATCAGACAAAAATATTGATGACAACTAATGCTACTGATGATTTGTTGTATATGAAAGTGTTTGAATCATGCAGGTGATCTGGGATCAGAGTCAAACAAAGTCACTCTAAACTAACAGTTCCAAAAATGAGGCTATTTGTTTGGCTTATAAAAAGCCACACATTTGACTCATCGTGCTGTCCCTGTTTGTTCACCAAAAAAAACCTGTGTTTGGTCTCTGAGAGCTTCCTAAATTTGAAAAAAAAAACAGAGATGACGACTGGATTGCTGCGAAAACAAATTAAAGGGAAGGAAATCATTGAATTATGAGATCCGGTGTCAAATGTGCCTACTGTGATTAATTTTTTCTATATTCTGTACCTTGATAAATGCAAAACAAAATAGCTTGATTTTACACCACCTTCAGAACACAAAACACCTCCAGTAAGTGAAGTGTGCAGGTTTGTTTTTAATCAATATTTTTTTATGACATTAATTGCTCATTCAGCTGTTAGCCGACTCTGCTGTATGCAGTCTACTTTACTTGGTGTAATGTTTCATAAAACAAAGACCTTTTTGAATAAATCCTTTTTTTCTGAAAAGACTTTTGTTACCATCTGTTATTGTCACGAACAAAAGCTTAAACTCATTAAAATAAATGCATTTAATTTTATCTCTCCTTTCTTCATAGTTGCAATTACCCTTACGAGGCATGTGAAACTTCACATTTGGACTTGATTCATAGTTGTTATTGTTTTCCATGGAAAGATAAAACAAAGTAAATTGAACGACTCATTCTTAGTCCATTAACCCCATTAAACCCAGAGACTCTGAATATTTGCAACGGTAAACCCATACACTGAGTCAGGTCTCAGCGGGTTGAAACAAATTCACTATAGTATAACTCATCTCTTGCCATGTTTTGGTGCGCCATACCTTCACCAAGACGTTGAGTGTACCGGGGCTGGAGCCATCAGGGCTGGTGAGCATATAGTTGAAGTCAATACAGTGAGTATCATTCTCCTTCATGACTGGCAGCTGAAACCTGGCCTTCTCTCCAACGTCATACTGAGATACATCAACATATATGTAGGAACCTGAAAAATACATAAAAGCATAGTCTGAGAGCCAACATCAAATGTAGTCATAAAACGTACAGTAGATTAGTGAATGTTGTTAAAGAATCAGGAAGAATCAGCTCAGATTTCCTGGCAGCTGTTTGGGCTTGCATATGCCCTACCTACTCTAATCCTCCGCTTGAACAGAGTAGTGATGGTGCCCTCTGAGGAGGTAGTTAAGAGTGTCAGAAAAGTCTGTTTATGATTGGGCCTGCCAAAGAGTGGGCTGCATGCCCACAGCTTAGGTTACATGCACCTACATGAACAAACCAGCTGCTCTGTGTAGGTTCTCTTCGTCATTACACATGGAATCTCATAAAACTCTTTTTTAATTTTTTTTATTGTGATTTTAAAAGTGATTTTTGGTATTTGACATACAGGAATGGATAAAAAGAAGACACTGCATTCAGTGTGTGCTAATTAACTGCTGCACATCTTCAGAAGATGAACATATTTTCCCCTTTTTCTTTGCTCGTCTGAAATACAAATACGTTATCAGTGTTATTTTTTCCCAGATATTGAGAAAGTCGTGGACATTTTTTTTCCTTGCACTTTGACAGCCCATTGTTACGACGGACATCTTGTGCTTCCAGTGGCGGACTGTGGAAATGGAGCTTAAAAATTACTTAATCTTGGTAAACTGATAGTCTGCCCTTCCAGGTGTTCTTGTAATCAGCTAAAACTTCAACCAGATGTTGCTCTAATGAATTATGATTAAATGTGATCCTTTCTTTTCAATCCGACTAAATCAAACCCGACCCCATTACAACAAAGATTTCAGGTTCTAATTGAAGGGTATTTTGTTGGACAAAAAGAGCCAACAAAATGAAGAGCTAATGTATTTTCAGTCATTTTATAGGCTTCTGATGGGACTAGTTAAGACATTTCATTTTGGAGAGTGACAATAAATTGTGTTTTAGCATAAAAAATAATGAAATTGAAGCAAATGAAAGAGGGTAAAGCACAATAGGGCATCATGATCTACCCAACAATTAAAGTGTTCCTAGTACAATTTTTTTTAGAAAAAGATCTAATTCTATGAAGGTGCCAAAACACTGACAAAAAACTGGTTCATTGTATTTGCATACTGTATCATGCACAATGTAAAGAGTACAATCGGCTGTGGGACAATGGTAATTATTGGTTATTGTCTGCCTAATCCACATTTTCCTCTGTGGAAAAGAGAAGAACACAATAGGCTTTCAACTGGTGAAAACACACGTGTGGGCATGAACACACACAGTAGACTTTTAGCACCCTGGATATTAGTTTGGCAATTCGTTTCACTTGATCTCTCAGCTCTTTCTTGACATTTCTTTTTCACACACCTACCTCTGCACAAACAAAAGAATGCACATTTCTAGATCTGCACTACAGATATAAATCACTTCTCAGTTCTGAATGTCACCAAGTCCCAAAGAGATGACAAAAAGAAGCCAACACCAATTCCTCCCTCAAATTTTTAATTTATATCCAACTAAAATGAAAACATGATTGACGTTATTCCTATTTCTGTATTTTAAGCACTGACACTATGACGGTGACATGAAGAAAAAAAACAACTTCACGATGGCTGCCAAGATGATGTGCTAAACTATAAATATTCCTATCTGTCTGAGTCCCGCAGACCCAAATATGTCACAACACACAGAACATAGAAAAACATAACCTTTGGCACTTCAGCTAGTCAGCTAGTGCCTCACAGTCAACGATATAGATAAATACAACAATTAAGCCTGAAAACAGATCAACAATAAAATAAATTGTTCACTTGCCCAAGTATTGACTCACAACAACCAAAATGACTAAACCCAATTGACACAAAAAAAGCAGAAAATATGAGTTGACAGATCAAAAATATGCGAGCAAGATTCATGATGCAAAGAACATCTGAAGACTGCCAGTTTCTAAAAAGGATTATGTGTTTGAATAGCTCAAATTCTTTGAAAATAAGTCTAAAAATAAATTTACCTTGGTCTATAAATACTCCAGGAACAGCCCAAAAAGACCTGAAAATGTCACATAAACGACAACAGCTGTGTGGTAGATCCTGTATCCTTTGGCAAAACAATTAGAGCTTGCGGGTGGAAAATGAGCTGACAAAGTGACTTTTTAGGTTTTTTATGTTGAGTACAAAATAAGGTCTAAAAGAATGGAGCTGGTCTTCTCTAAATTATCCATTGTGTAAATGTGACTCATTACTAGTAAGCAGGATTCATGTACTTATTTGAAATCATCTTCAGATTCCTTCATATTGTGGTATATTACCATAAGCATTGTTCAATAATAAAACGCACAGATCTTGGTTGATAATATTTCAAGACCTATGCCTTGGTGAAATTTTCTTTTCATAACTGCACCAATGCCCCACTTTCAAAAGAATATCTGATTTTTTATTAGAATTCTTAAAGCACTTTGTCAAAGGTGCTTTTCTTTCAAATATTTCTACATCATTTCAACTAAATAACAGATTCGATGAAGATTTAAAGTTTATTCATCGAATTCATCTGAAAAGCAAAAGAAATGCAGATCATTAATTCATATACACAACAACCCAAAAATACTATAAATATCATGCATTAATATTAACCTTACAGATAAAAAAAAAAAGAATAATCTGAATGCTCATTACATTGATTTTATCTTTGATTTGACTTGAAATCAGATAACGTACATTTGCTGAAGATATAACGAAGCCACACTACTTTCATGATTATTAAGGTTCAAGTCGTGCAGAGACACCAAGGGAGAAGGTTGCTTTAATGTTATTTATGGGGCTGCGTTGACGTATCCATCAATAGGTTCCTCATTAAAACATCCGGTGGATCCGGCACAGTTTTAGGGTCTTTTTTTCTTCCATATTAAAGAGTTCAGTTGAAAACAAGAGCGAAGAGAGAGACATGGAGAGAATGGCATGCTTAATAGGACTGTTACTGGCTGACAACATTATGAGTCAGGAGTATCGGCTTTAGTCCACTGAGCCACAGGGCCCTGGTCCATGAACGTTCGACTGGCAGGACGCTCACTGCCAGCGTTGCATCCAGGCCCGGCTCTGGTGCAAAGCGCCAGCATCAACCCCCAGAGAGATTAAACAGACGAGTCTTATCTCTACGCGAAAAAGCTGCCAAACCCTCCATGTACTCTACATACTGTCTGAAATATAAATGGCGATCAGGAACTGGGACAAATTAATGTGGGTTCAAAGGAGTTAAATGACTCAAGCAAATATTTGTAAAGACTTTTGTGAATGATTCTCTTTCTTGTTTTATTAGTTAACTGTATATTGTTGACTTTTTTGCAGTATCTTTAAACTAATTGGAAAAGAAAGCAGTTTTTCTTCTCTTAAATGTCTTTTAGATGCCAAATGATTCTATCGCCCCTAAAACATACAGGAAATCTATACCATTGTTTTTAAAAGCTAAAAGGGTTTAGTGCTGCTCCCTCTTTCCAAAATTAAACCATACCCTCAGGGAAACACCAACAAACAATTCCAACACAAACATTAGCTACGTATCCCTGGGCAAGGTTTTTTAGGCTCCCAATTCGACTCTTCACCACTTTTCTCTGACTACTTCAACAAATAAAAGCCTCTGTATCTCTAACACCCTGCAGCAGCCTTGTTTTCCATCCACTGCACCCCGTTCCACACCCTGCTGGCATTATTAACACATCAAATGTCAGCTCATGCTCCCGTACCTTTAGGCAAGGCTTAGAACCTACCCTTCAGCACCAGTATCTCCAAACCATTAACCTGCTCTGCCATCCTTATGCCCTGCTCCTGCCACTGGCTTCCAGAGGAATTAATAATGTTAATACCAGGCATTACCCGTGTTCCCTTGGGCAAGGTATTTAACCTCTTCAAAGTGGTCACTCTGCCCTCGGTGGAAGGTGTCACCTCTTGATATTTACAACACTAAAAGAAAGATTTAGGCTCTGCACCTCTGGATGCTTTTATATGCAAGGCCACATGGTACTAGACAACAACACGTATGCAGAGAGTGTGTGTTTTTTATGAAAACTGTTGAGAGCTGGCTGGTTTTGAACTGAACCTTTCTCTAAATGTCAGCGAAGGTGTGTTGTCAAGATGATAAGTATCAGAGATAAATAATGCCATTACATTGTCATAGTAACAGTGTCATAATCTCCTGGAAGAGTGGAAACGATGGAGAAAAGGGATGTGGAATACATGTAGAACCAAGAGGACGTGCAATTAAAGGAGAGGAAACACAAATAGGAGACATCTACACATTCGAGTTGTTATTCTCTTCCAAGCGACTGACTTAGTTTACATGCATAAAGTCAGCGTTCTCACTCTGTGGCGTTGATTTGATTAAGCAAGTTAGTATTTCAACATTGTACAGCGAGGAACTGCTGTAACAGTTTGCTTTCTAATACCGTAAAGTACGCAACCTTCCCTGTTCGCTGCCGTTGATTAATGACCTCATATTCTGTTAATTAGACCCTCAGCCCTGAGGCAGAAAGATTTAATTTCCCCTTCATCATCATCACTGAGAAAAACACGATTGATTAAAGAGAGAAGAGAGCAGAGCAGAGTAGAACAGAACAGAATCACAAAGATAAACTCTCTTAAAGTCCTGCATTGAACTTCAACTTCAGCCAACATAATAATACTGAAAATCCAATCCTAAATCCAAACTGAATTGAACTGAATTCTGAGCAGATCCTGGTCAAGACATATGTGTGTATATATATATATATATATATTTAATGAAAATAAAGAGAAATATAGATAATAATCTGAAAACACCCACACATTCACACTTAGTAAATTGATAGTTGACCAGATATTGTACATTTAGTTCAACATTTACTCTAAAAATGTAGTAAAATGTGTAAACAGTTCAAGAGAATTGAACTGAATACTTCATGCTTAAATAAGATATGTAAGTGCATGACAGTCAGAAACCAGGGAGACGAGCCTCACCTTGTGGCAGATCTGGTGAGACATACGGCTCCTCTTGGGTGTTGATGTGCGTCCAGTCAAAATCATCGTAAGGATCCTGTTGGTAATCACACTGAGAGAAGCCCTCATCAAATGTGCAACTTCCTGCAAAAGAGACACAGAAGACACAAGTTTATCAAAACTGAAACGATAAAGTTTGGTGATATTACCCAAAGCCCTTTACATTTTCATTATGGGATGTTTTTCTGTTTGTGTGTTTTGTCTCAGCTTATAAAAAACACACTGGGAGTCTGAGCTCTGACTCTCATCACTCAGGGCCAGTCGGGATCACCTCTGACTCAACAAGCGGAGCCCTCAGCTGATCATCTGAGCCCATCCCCACAGCCTTAGGGCAGCCATGTGTGAGCTGGGTGCCTCTGGCTCCGCCTGAACAGGAAGTTTCTCTAATACAAAGAGACGTCGCTTGTCCCTGACAGATAGCTGAAGCGCTTAACCTGCAGTGATATGTGGCTCATGCTGGCAATATTGCTGATAGGAACAGAATGCTGTTCACTGCGAGCTATCTGATTCATCGACCTAGCAGTGATGCTCGGCTTATGCTAACAAAAAATGGCTAGAAGAGACATGGCTAAGAAAAGCCATGGTGACATCGGAGTCTTTGGCAGTCAAATGGAGGTGTCCTTTGTGCACTTCATAAGCTGAAGTGGACAGTATTAATATTAATAAAACCTTTTATAACTGGTTTTCCATTCACTTGTGATGCAGATCTAAAGCAGTCTTTAGAAAGCCGTAAAACTGTGTATGAATTGGATATCTTTTAGTGGAAAGAAAACATGTAATTTTCCTGGATTGACCTAAAATATCACAAAATGCAGGGTATCGCATACTGAAACTTTAATGATATCAACATCAATACTGACTGATGATGCTGAACAAAGACCCACACATGGAGACATCTGAGTGTTTAGTTTCTGTATCGTATCAGTATCTTGCAAATTTATTGCAGCCTTTTTCTCCCTTTCTGGAGACTTAGGGGCATCGCAAAAACACAAAGCCTCCATTCCAAACTGCACAAAATAACATGTTAAAAACTCACTTAGAAACTACTGAGAGAGAAGATGTAAGAATGCCAGCTTCAAGCACTATCAGCAACCAGCACCGCGAGCAACAGAAATCTAACATTCGGTTAGCGGTACAGCTTTGCTACCTGTTTCCTAGAGCGAGCTGTGGTGGCTGTGATGGAGAGCAGAGCGACAGGCCCTCAGATACCCCTCTGATCTGAGCTACCGCTACAGAGGCACACCAAGACGTGACAGACGCTGCCAGAGGAGAAACGACTTAACATCAAACTAAGCGACTGTCTTCCACTGCCGGCTGCATGGTTGACTGTGACTCACAGCCTCAGAGGGACACTGGATTTCATTCCTCTCAGCGTCACCCTTGAAACCAGCCTCTCACCAGGCAATTCACTTCCCTCCCATTCAGTTCAATTACATCTTTGTCATAGTGTGACACCAACAGTCATAATTAAAAAGAAATGCGGGGATGTACTGAGGGCAGGAAATAAAGCACTGAGTTTTTTTTTCTGCTGTATGCCAATACATCAAAATTACAGCTAAACATTTGATGCAGGCACTCTAATTTATTGAGTTGCTGTTTTGTGTTTGTACAAAGCTCCACAGCCTCCTGTCTCCCACAGTGTTGTGTGTCATTTTACATCTTGCTGTCAGGTAGTTCTCTCTATGTGGGTAAAAAGAGCAAAGTGTGTTGCGCTGATATGTGTGGATGTATATGGGAGTGTGCAAACTAGTATGGCAGTATATAGAAAACATCAGCAGGCAATCCTGTCCATGCAACATTCACATTAATCAATGTGTGTACAATCTCAGATTTGATTGAGAGTATGTAATGTCAGATTTTGGTGCCAGGAGTTTTTCTGCCTTCTGTTTGGTGTGCTTATGATCTGAGTAGACATGACGGTTCATGTTTGAGCTGGCTCATGTTGCATTCGGGAAGCAAAAGAGTAATGTTTTCCAAAACGACATCTTTAAACCTATAAACTGCATTCTGAATGGTACAAAGCTTCTATAGCCTATCTTATATAGATCTGGAATCAAAGAATAACCGTCTGGAATAAAACTTTTCTTTCTTTTTTGGGGGGAAGTGCAGAGACATTGACAACTGAACCAAAAGTCACAGTACAGTCTCACACCAGAATGTTCACAGGGGGAAATGTAGCACTTTTGCAAAAAAAATGTCAAAAACTGTAAGACTCAGACAGTTTTTTGGCTACAAAGTCTTCATATGCCCACATCTTGCAGTTCAACTAAATGAGATATCACCATTATGCACAAAATTAAAACAAACAAATTTTCAAAACCTATCGATTACAATAATGGGATGAGACACAAAAATACAACATTTTCCTTTTTTGTAAAACATGTTTTCCATTTTTCATTATGCCAAACTGTGATGAACAAGATAATGTAGTCTTTAAGAGGGGTCAGATCAGAAACAAGCACTTAACTCGACAAATGGAGATGCATACCATTCTATTGACACCTGGGGAGGTTTTTCCATACACACTTTTGTTGATGATGAATAAGCATGCTTGGTATGCATTTTTGTATCCAAAATGGTGGGAAAATGCGAAGTTATTACAAACAAAAAAGAAACAAGAACTCCAGCGAGTAGAAAACAGATTAAACTCAGACCAAATCTCACACTCCCTCACACTCGGCTCAGTGCTGTGTGCAGCTGTGCTTTTTTTCTTTAGTCCCTGTGATTCCAATGTGACTGTGATTACAAGTCAAAAATTTGATTTGACCTTTTTGGAGAGCTGATGTCATTTTCTGCAAAATGAAACTGACAAATTTGATGTTTGTAAAGTAAAGTAAAGAGTAAAATCCGAGATATGCCTTGATTTATATATTTTCTTAAGGTGTTTCTCTGTTATACTTTGACATTCCAAACACACTTAGCCTTGGATTACCTGCTTCGGCATGTTTGGCCCTGTTTCACTCTGTTGAAGTGATAATAGAGAGGCCCTCTTTTAATTTCAGAGATGTGTTTCTCTCTACTCTTAATCTTGTTATAAACTAAAGCTCAGCAGACAGTTTCAAAATTGTATCGTTGAACATCTAAAAGTCTTCCCTTTGCTATTGCTGACATACCAAATAAACCATCTGTGTTTGTATTTGTAAGTGTGCTTACAGGAAATTACATTTGTGAAACTACATTTGTGCTAGCACTTCAGAACACACAAGCCTCACACTAGCGCGCCCACAGTCTCAGTTAACACTTCTCCCTTTACCAAATGTCCTGCCAACTTAAACCAACACACATATCAACTGACACATGCATCTGAAAGCAAATCCTTCCTGCCAAAAATGAGTTCAACAGACAGTAAACTTTTCCTTTTCATTTTGCAGACGACAGTGTGTATCATTATTACTTTAATATATTCTGCACGTACAGCTTGTAAAATATGGTTAATACTAATCCGTACAATATTTAGTAAAAAAGACATGTATATGCATGAGTGTATGTCCAGATGGGTCATTACTGCCACCGTCTCCTGCAATCACAAGGACGCACACACACACACACACTGAGGAAATGCCTGCATGCTAATCACTTTCTAATCAGCTTCTGTGACTGGTCGCCTCGCTAATGAAATAATAGGGGCTCATTTACATAATAAAATAATTAGAAGACTTGATAAAAGCTCAAGGGCAGAGAGAGGAAACCACACACACACACACTTGAACACAGAGAGGCACCGGATAGCTGGAGTCTTCTCTTAAAGATTGCTGAATGGTATCAGACACAACATCTGCCACCTTCACTCAGAGTCATTCTATAGTGATTTGCATTGACCTCCTACCTCACAGGGTGACTCGGGGAAAAGTACTTTGACTAAAACTGCTAAAAAGCATGGGTGCTGACAGCCCCCAGGAGAGCTCCTGCACAGACAAGGAATATTCCTGATTATTACATATTACTTTCAGATTAGTAGCAGACCCCGAATATGTTAAAATGGTGTGATTAGCTATTGGTCCCCGAGTCCGACCCATCTTCTCTACATAAGAGGTGGTATCAAATCAAATTGAACAGCTGATGTTTGTTCAGATGGAATTCCCCGTGACAAGTCGGAATCAAATTAAACTTTTATGTTTTTGCCTTTTCCTCTTATCCATTAATTCAAGAATGTCCTGTTGGAGAAATAAACCAAACAAGAGCTTCTATTTGAAGAACACTAAATCAATATGTGTCCTTTTGTACAAGAAATGTGTCCTTGAAGTCTCAGACTGAGTAACGAAGGCATATTGGAGAGATTACAACTACAAAGCCTGGTTTTGATATTGTGCAACGCTGTCAATTAAACAGCTGTATCATGTGTAGAGGTTATAAATGAGCCACAGTTTGTAAATTCTCTGTCTTTTCTCACAGGAAGAAGAATATTACCTACACTGGCATTCTAACAAAAACCATCTCAGCAATAGAAACAGAAAAATGTCTGTTTCCAGAGTGGCTCTTTGGAAACTGTTTTACTTTATTTATGTATCTTATCAGCATGAACATGAGGTCAGTAAGTACATAATGTAAGGAATAAAAGATAGACTTGTCAAATTAAGATTATGTCAGCATAACCTTTTGGCTACAGAGTCAAATGTACTTATTCATATGAAAATTCTACATTTCTGTCTACATGCTAAAACTTCGAACCAGTCAAAGGGCTCTAACTTTGTTAGAGGTCAGTTGGGTGAGAATCATCTTCACGTTTTGGCCCCGATTATGAGCTGAGGTGAAAAAGCATAAATCTCTTAAGGAATCTAAAGGACTCGGGAGCAGAGACACTATCTCATAGATTCTGACTAATCTGAGTAAAGTACAAACTCTCTGTCTCCTTCTCACCACTATGTCTGTCTAGAATTTATCAGAGGGGCTCTGTTTCAGTCTGCAGGCAGAGATATTATCACCAGAGAGCAGATAAGACAACATGAGTGAAGGAGGGCGAAGCCGAGGAAAATGCCATGCAGAAATGGAGACAAAGCCGAGATAGGCGGAAAAGGGAAAAAAAGGGAAATTAATTTTACAGAAATTCCACAAAGCATATTGATGAGCAATATGATAGAGCGGCTTCG